CCGCCTCCCCTCTACCTTCTCCTTCTCCCTACACTGGTCCTACTGGAGGTCTTGCTGAGCGTCGTGAGCCTGCGTCTCGTCCCGCGTCACCTGTTCGTGCTGCTCGCACTAGTGGTCGTACTATGCGTCCGCATCCTCCTGCGGTCCCCGGCACACACCAGATGGCACTGCGTCCTTCCACTGCTCCTCTGCGTGTCCCGTTGCCGTCTCCTCCAGATTCCTCTCTTCCTTCTCTTGCAGACCCGGAGTCTGACTCCCTTCGTGCTGCTAGTCCTTCGGTCACGCGCCTTCTTGCTACTGTCGTTACTGACCCTTCCTTTGAGTCTGCTGCTGCGTCTGCTCTCGTTGCTTAGCTTGTCGACTTCGCTGCTCGCTGTCGTCTAGACTACGCAGCCAGCCTTGTTGCTGAGTCTGAGTCTGTCTGTCCTCCGTCCGTCGGGGGTGAGTGTGCTCTTAGCACGGACGTCCTTGAGGACAGGCAGGAGGAGTTTCAGTGCTTTGCGGCTGCTTTGCCCCATCTCGTGTCCACGCTGATTGCCCCTGAGGGAGACCCGGATGCACCAGACATCCCGACTCCTCGATTGTACGCTGAGGCGATCGAGGGTCCCTACTCCTCTCAGTGGCAGTCGGCCATGGATGCAGAGATGGCTTCCTGGAAGTCCACAGGCACCTACGTCGACGAGGTTCCCCCACCTGGGGCGAACATCGTCAGTGGGATGTGGATCTTCAGGGTGAAGCGGCCGCCGGGCTCTCCGCCTGTCTTCAAGGCGCGTTACGTGGCTCGAGGCTTCAGTCAGCGGCAGGGAGTTGACTACTTTCAGACCTTCTCTCCCACCCCGAAGATGACCACTCTTCGGGTGCTGCTGCACATAGCCGCTCAGCGCGACTACGAGCTTCACTCTCTTGACTTCAGCACTGCTTTCCTGCAGGGCAGCCTGCACGAGGAGATCTGGCTGCGCCGCCCTCCTGGCTTCACTGGGTCGTTTCCTCCTGGCACCCAGTGGAGCCTCCGGCGGCCAGTCTACGGTCTCCGCCAGGCGCCCCGTGAGTGGCACGACACACTGAGGACTACACTTGCGGCTCTTGGGTTTGCTCCTTCTACAGCCGACCCGTCGCTGTTTCTACGCACCGACACCTCTTTGCCGCCGTTCTACATCCTCGTGTACGTCGACAACTTGGTCTTTGCCACTGCTGACACTGCTGGACTCGCCCACGTGAAGTCCGAGCTGCAGAAGAGACACACGTGCACAGACCTGGGTGAACTGCGCAGCTACCTTGGCTTGCAGATCACCCGGGACAGAGCACAGCGCACCATTACCCTGACTCAGTCACACATGGTGCAGCAGGTCCTTCAGCGCTTCGGTTTCACGTACTCCTCGCCTCAGGCCACTCCTCTGTCTACTCGCCACTCGCTCTCAGCTCTGCCTTCGGATGAGTCCGTAGAGTCGAGTGGCCCGTACCCAGAGCTTGTTGGCTGCCTCATGTACCTGATGACCTGCACACGACCTGACCTTGCATACCCTCTTAGCATCTTGGCACGCTATGTTGCTCCTGGGAGACACCGGCCAGAGCACATGGCTACAGCGAAGAGGGTGTTGCGCTACGTGTGCAGTACGTCGGGCATGGGGCTAGTGCTTGGAGGGCGACGTCGAGTGGTCCGCACAGGTCACGCTGACGCTTCTTGGGCTGACGACCAGGCTACGCAGCGGTCGTCACAGGGTTACACCTTCAGCCTTGGCTCCGGCTCTGTTTCGTGGCGGTCTACCCGCTCGTCCTCTGTTCTCGGCTCTAGCTGTGAGGCTGAAATCTACGCAGGGGCCATGGCATCACAGGAGCTACGCTGGCTCACCTACCTACTGACTGACCTAGGAGAGCCGCCTCGTTCTCCTCCAGTTCTGTACGTAGACAACAAGGCCATGCTGGCCTTGTGTCGGGAGCACAGACTGGAGCACAGAACGAAGCACATTGCTCTCCGCTACTTCCTGTCTCGTGAGCTGCAGCAGCGTGGTCAGCTCCGCCTCACCTACGTGGCCTCTGAGGCCAACACTGCTGATATCTTCACCAAGGCCCTTCCGCCTTGTGATCATCAGCGCTTATGTACTATGCTAGGTCTTGTGCCTACTTGGCCTCACTTGCTCACTTCTTGATCTTGTTTGTACTGTCTTCTTTCTATACCTGCCCTTGCTTGTTTTACCTTTATATATGTGACCTTGCATGTGAACTGGCCTTGTGGCCTTACTCTTGTGCTTGGATTGTGTGTTGACTTTGTGATCCACCCTGAGCTTGCTTTGCTTTGCTTGACTGGTCTTGTGACCACTTGTTCTCCCCCACTTTGCCTATGGGGGTGTGTCAGAACATTATAGCTTATACATTTGTGTAGGCTGTAGTGGGGTAGCCCATAAGGGGTACAACCCAATTAGGGTTAGTACTTGTACCCAACTGTTTCATAGTGCATTCATTCCATTCTCACTTCTCGTCATCGAGCAACGAATTGCTTGAGCAGTTTGAGAAGAGCCTTGCAGGGCGCGTCGACATCACCTGCAATCATGACGTGAAGCAGTTTCTCGGGCTCAACATCACCTACTTGCCCGGAAGCCATTCATCTCTCGGCAATGAAGTATGCAGAGGAGCTAAGCAAGCGCTTCAACATTTCACCTGCACCACTCTCCACCCCTGCACTCCAGGACCCAACCACAAACCGGACAACAAAACCCTGTCCCCTGCTGGACTTCACACCTACCAGAAGCAGTTGGGTTGCCTGCTCTTTGCATCTGTTACCTGCAGGCCCGACCTTTCCTACATCGCGAGCCAGTTGGCTCAGTACTCACGGAAACCAACGGCTGAGAACCTCTCAGATCTTCAGCGAGCCCTTCGATTCTTCATCTCCACTCCCAATGTTGGGCTCTACTACTCCACCATCCCAACCGCATCCTTCAGTCTCGTCGGCTACGTAGACGCAGATCATGCCGCTGATCCCGACAATCAACGGTCCAGGACAGGCTTCCTCTTTCGCCTTGAGCCTAGTGGCCCCATCTCCTGGAACTCGCAGAAGCAGGAGCTGGTTGCCCTGTCATCAGCAGAAGCCGAGTTCATCGCAGCAACAGCAGCCGTTCGTGAAGGCCTCTACCTTCAGGAGCTACTGCAGGAGGCGAAAATCCCTGCCTCAGCGAACTTTTGTCTGCACTGCGACAACCAAAGCGCGATCAGAATCGCGAACAAACCCGGATTCGTCAACCGCACCAAACACATCGCACTGCGGTACTTCGTCTAGGACGAAGTTGACAAGGGCATGGTTGATCTAACCTACTGCCCGACGGGTGACATGGCAGCAGACTTCCTCACAAAGAAACTGCCGCGTCAGCATTACCAGCACTGCTCTGAACTCAGCGGGGTAGTCAAGCGGGTCAAGACCTGCTACGGCCAGGAGTGAAGGGGGGTGTTACGAATAGTAATTACTGAAATACTATTGGGCACTCCTCACCGCAGCAAACGCAGCATACACTACCGAGACTGAAGAGGAAAGGGCGCAAGTGACGCGAAGGGTCACACGGTTACGAGAAGCATCTGGACCGTTGGGCAGATAGCGTCAGGCAGCAGCGGTGGTGAGGATTCTGCCCGAACGGTTTCGTAACCACCCAGAGTCGCACGGTTGGATTTCGATGCAATCAGGGAATGTACCCCTTAGAGTACATGGCTAGCTAGGACGTTTCGAATTCCCCTGTACTCCTGTTTATATTCCTTGTACTGCATGTTTTTATTATCTCAAGCATTTATATTCACTCTGCTATTGAGGTCAAGGGCCCACCACAAATCAGAAGTGTGCGAACCTTCCCGAGGTGATCCCGGTCACGATCAACTTCTGATCGCAACAGTCAATTCTACTTACTCCGCGTTGTCATAACTTCCGTTTACATCACTGTTTGTCCCAGTTTTTCGACCATCCGTCTCATTGCCACTCCTAGTTGTTTGCCCATCCATTACTATTCGCTCCATCTCGCCCTTGCAAGTTGCCACACGCCTCGGCGGGTGCTCAGTGCTGCTGCATGTGTCTTTACCGAGAAGCATACCCAGCAGCATCGACTGAGACTAACCACTAAGGTTTACCCAGAGAGCCTACGCAAGTTTACTCTCCAACTGCACAACAAAGGCTCACAAACATGCTAACTCCCAAGCGCGTAGTGCTCGATGGCACACCATCAGCACCTGCCATGACACGATAGGTTGGGGCTACCAGTACCCTTTGTTGCAGCCAGGGATGGCGGTGCACATTCTTTACATGATGGTTATCACTAGGCTAGAGCAAGCTCCGATCCGCGGTTGCTGCTTTGGCATAGGATGTTATCACGCTTGAAATCCTCATGTACGTACCAAACCACACGCCCTCACCCCCCCCCCCCCCCCCCCCCACCACCACAATGCCTCCTCCCAGCGGGGATCGTACAATCAGACATTGTGCGCTCCCCACGTGTTCATCCCAAGCCATGTCTCTGCTGGGCTGGGTGCTTAGAAAGTGCTTGAGAACCTCAACCTCTGGAGTACGACACCTGAGAAAGCCACACAGGTCATGTTGACTAACTTGAAGGATTCTAGACCTCATACTCAGTGTTCTAGCTCCCTTTGATGGGCATGAAACGTCCTTGGTACCTTGTGCGATTCCCAACAGAGTTTCTGATAACCAGTGTGCAAGTCAATCATCCTTACAAACGAGTATGGTCGTTATGTGATGGGTCCTCCCCATAACAAGGAATCCTAAAGCGGAGCCATTGAGTTGACATGGCATGCGCTATTCACATCACATCTTCGCTGCTGTGAGCCAACAGTATAACCTGCATTCGTATAACCCGCTGTGAGAGTCTCACAAGCGGGCACAATTCTGTATACGCTTCAAGAGGAACCCCTCACCCGAGTCCGCTTTCGCAAGCGGACAGCTTGGTGTCCTTTCCCCTATTTGCCTTACGCGGGCAGCTTGGTCAGCGTGGTGCCCTTTTCCTCTATTTGCCTTACGCGGGTAGCTTGGTGCCCACGGGGAACTGCGGGTTGTCAACTCCATGCGCGACGAAATACGGTCCAACATACATCTCTGGATCCATCACCGTGCTCCACGTGGCCTTCGCCAGCCCCTGCTGCCCCAGGACCACGCTCGGGCCAGCCTTCGACATTTTCACGAGGCTTACTCCATTGAGCTGCGTCGGCAGCAGCTGGCCCTTTTTGACCGCCTGCAGCTGCGGCAGCGTGAGGCGCGTCGCGACGATCTGCACGGCCGTGAGGTTGTACGCCGCGTCGTTGGAAATCTTCTTTCCCTTGAAGCGCAGCGCCAGGCTGTCCGCCACCGCGTCGCTCAACAGCAGAATCGTGGCGCTCTGCAGCGCCGTCAGATTGTACTTGGAGTTCACTGTATCGGGGATGGGGAGGCGAGGAGGGGGAGTAGGGGGAGGGGAAGGAAGGATGCTCGGAAAAAGCTCAGGCAAATCTCGATTACTTCTTGAAAAAAAAGCTTTGAAACTCAAAATTGGGTGCTTTGGGTTCTTCCTGGCATTTTCTGACGGGACTCACGGGCGATGTTGATGGCCTTGTTGACTTGCGTCGAGTACTTGGCGTATTTGGGGTACTTCGCCGTGATCGCCGCCGACAGCTTCTTCAGCTCGGCGCGCAGCTGCGCCTTCGTCGGAGGCGGCGATGGCTTTGGCGCTGCTCCGCCCGCTGCTGGCTTCGGCGCTGTTCCGCTCGCCGCTGGCTTCGGCGCTGCTCCGCCCGCTGCTGGGGGAACGGGCGCGCCCTTGGCGGACGGGGCTGGTACTTTTGCGGGCGCGGGGGTTACCGCGCTGACAGATGACGCGGCGCAGATGACGGCGGCCAGCGCGGCTAAAACGACGGCGATGGCGACTGAACGAGCCATGGCTCCTATCGAATGGCGTCGAGCCTAGCAGTGGATGGAAAGGTCTAGGCAACGGGTAGAAGTACCGTTGATTCGGATCCCTCCTAGAGCGGCTCTATCGGTGGCTGGTTGGAAAGGCGGACGGATTGAGAACGATCGCTCTCGTGACAATTCTAGATGGTGCTGTATTCTCTGTCGCGGTTTTACGACGTCGAACGAAGTCGTCAGGAGACACGACAGATCTTGGTTGAAGTGAGAAGATTGAGTTGCTGAAGAGGACTGTGATGTGCACTTGGCTGGTTCGCAGATGATATCACAAAGCTCAATATATGGAGCACAAATTGGCAAAGACGGCCCAAGCGACTGCTTTGCTTTCGTCGGTGGTATGTTTTTCGAACGATTCGGCAAGGTTCCGACCCGAGGATACAACCTCGCCACCGAAGGAGCATGCAAGTACTAGCCGTTTCAGCACGACTCAGCGGTGCATTACCATGATTCACCTGTAATTGTGCGCTCGGCACATTGACGGTTCCTTCCCTCTTGGAACTTTTTGTGGGTGGTTTAGCGGTAGGGACTGGCGGTGACTGGGTTTCCATTTTTTCGCGCCCCTCCATTTTTTCCTGGCGGTGCATTCAATTGCGCGTGGCTTTCGGTGTTCAGGGGAGTTGTGTCCGCCCGCGGTCTGGGTTCGCGTTGGACTGGATGTGGAAATTGGAAAAGTCAAGGGACGAGATGAGAGAGAACAGGCGAGGGGAGCCCAGCTGTGTCTTCGACGCGCCTTGCTTTTGTATAGCGCCACTTGCGGTGCGGGGAGATGACGAATTTTGGAAAATTGTGCGGCTCGACGACTCATGAAAGTTGTCTTCCCTAAAGGCTTTTTGATACACCCAGTAGCATTGTCGCGGAAAGCGATTATGTTCCAAGTAAATCAGCCAACAAATGAATGTTAATGAATGTAATTTCCATAGGTGCGAATGTCCAGTTCAAAAAGAGTGCTAATCTCATGTCGTGTACATCATAGTACATCAACAAACAATGCTGGAAGAAAGTAGTTATTGAGAAGTGTAAGGAAATTCCCTTTTCCTTCCTTCGCGTCCCTGCCCAGCGCGTACGTCACTGTAGCACCTCAGTCAGCACCGTTACCACTCGCGACCATCGCATCATTCATCATCCCGCCTTTTTCGCACATCGCATCCCGACCTCACGGCTCGGCTGGTAACCCGCGCTCCGGGCCTACGCTTCGACACTTTCCCAACCTCAGTCCCAGGCTCGACGCGCGACAACCACAGTCCATTACCGTTACCACTATTGTTTCGCTATATAATCCTTCGCTCATGCCTTCGCTCATTGTACTTTGCTTCGATAGTGCAATTCTCGTTCCTTCACTCAATTGCACACGTAACACTTGGTATTCAGAGCCTACGATCTCATCTCGGACCGCATCCACACCTTCGCTTCCCACTATCTCAATTTTTGGGGGGGGTAGACGTCTCTCAGCGACACAGCACCGCCGCTCGAAGTGCTCTCTCGCAAGCACGCACGGCCACGACCGAGGCTCTCGCTGAGCTTGCCCGACACCCCCGCCATGGCCGACCTCAATCTCGCCACGTTGACGCAGGAGCAACTCGATCGTCTCGTGCGACAATTGGAGGATTCGGCGCTTGAAATCGCGACGCTCACGGCGGAACGTGACTCCGCCCGTCAACAGTCAACGGTGAATGCTCCGACAACATCCCACGCACCAACCAATGTCTCTGTACATTCGGAGGAGCCGATTATCATTTCATCCGGCACACCAACGCAACACAACAGCACGGGACAGCGCTCAGGCGCAGCCAGTGACGGCGCAGCCCAACCGATGCCCGGCATGGGAGGGAACAGGAGCACGCTAAGCCCACGGGAGCCCCGAGAAGCCCGTCGGCACGTGGAGTTTGCGACGACAAGTGGTGAAAACGCCATGATGGCCCCAATGCCACTCAAGCCGCAACGCCCGCCCTGCTTCGACCCAAGCCAACGCGGCGGCCCGACAGTTCAATCGTGGGTCTTCACGATGAATGTGTTTTTCGACGCCAACTACGTCGAGTCGGACGCCGCCAAGATTCGGTATGCGGTTTCACTACTCAGGGGCCCCGCCATGGACTGGTGGCGAGTCATCGTGACGTCGCCACGCGCCTACGAGCCACCGTCGCACGAGGAAGGGCCCTCGGGTCCAGCTGTCACCTGGAGTTCGTTCTGCGAAACAGCCCAATACAGCACGTGGGATGCGTGGTGCGCAGGGCTTCGGGCGCGTTTTGAGCCGATCGCGGCTTCGATTTCGGCGCGTCAGAAACTGCGCACTTGGCGCCAGCTCGGGTCGGTTCAAGACTACACCAGCGGTTTTCTCGCACTTTGCGAACAGGTCGGCTACATGCACGAGGCGGAGCGGGTGGACCGTTACGTCGGAGGGCTGAAGCCGGACATATCGCACGAAATAATGCTACGCGGGCTATCGAATTTCAACGAAATCCTCGCGCTCGCCGAGAAAATCGATATCCTACGCCGACCGAGACCGGGGTCCTATTTCGGACATCGCCCTCGGGGACCGATCGAGCACGCCACTGTACATGCCGTCGCAACGAATGCAGCTGCCACGCCATTTAGAGGGCGCTGCTTTGCTTGCAACCGGCCGGCCCATCGCAAGAGCGAATGTCCAGAGGAGCTGAGGCGTCGAGGAGCAGAGCAGGGGAAGGAGTCTCGGAGGCAGGGAAACGCCAGCAGTCAGTAGAAGTTGGGCCAACTACTGACGAGACTGCCTGCTCGCCCAACCACACCGACCCTCACCGAGTCACAGTACCGATTCACGCCATCGATCGGGCTCGGATGAATAAGGAGGGTACAGCGACGGATTGCCCGGTACTGATCTACGGGAAAATACAGGGAGCAGCAGTGAAAATCTTCATTGACGGAGGAGCAAGTCACAGCTTAGTTAATACTGCAACCGCACGGAAATTACAGTTAACACTTAACCGATGTTTACCTGAGATAGATGCACGCTTAGTCGACGGCACGCCTTTGGCCATACGAGAAAAAGTGGAGCGAGTAAAAGTCCGCTGCGGGGGAAACTTCGGGTTTACACAGGAAATGCTCGCAACGACGCTGGATGGGCACGACATTTTACTGGGACGTGATTGGCTGCGACGGTACAACCCACGGATCGACTGGACGACGGGGAGCTGCACAGTGCGAAGTAGTGGTAACTGGGTCGTCCTACCTCGCTGGCGGCCACCCGAATCTTCGACAGTCCAGGTCAACGCCATCGCGATGAAACGGGCTGTCGCTGCTGGAGCTGACGTGTACGCAGTGGATATCGCAGTGGTAGAAAAAGACGAGCAGCAGAACGATTTACAGAAACTGCTAGCAGCCCTACCAACCGAATTACAAGCACTACTGAAACGGTTCCCGGGGATATTTCCGGATGATTTACCACAGGGACTGCCACCTCAGCGAGCGCACGACCATAGGATCGAGCTAGAACCGGGGGCACAGCCAACAGTACAGCGGCAATTTCGACTGACACAGCCCGAGCTCGACGAGTTAAGGAAGCAGTTAGATTACCTGTTAGAGAAGCAGTTTATCCGACCGAGCTCGTCACCGTTCGCTGCACCCATACTGTTCACACCGAAAAAAGACGGAGGTTTTCGCATGTGCATCGACTACCGAGCGCTTAACCGAGTAACAGTCAAATCGCGATACCCCATCCCCCGCGCCGACGAACTGATTGACCAACTGCGAACAGCACGTGTCTTTTCGAAAATAGATTTACGAGGAGGTTACCATCAGATTCGCGTCGAACCATCGGACTGCGCAAAAACAGCATTTAGGACTCGGTACGGGTCATTCGAGTATACAGTAATGCCCTTCGGGTTGACGAACGCGCCTGCGACTTTTCAGATGACCATGAACGAGGCATTTAGGCCACTTTTAGATAAATGCGTCATCGTTTACCTAGACGATATCCTCGTTTACAGTCGGGATAAGCAGCAACACTTAGCAGATCTTGAAGCAGTTTTTAAGGTTTTAGAGGAACATCGGCTGCTCACCAAGGGCTCCAAGTGCGAGTTTTTCAGGGATAGGCTAGAGTTTTTAGGTCACGTCATTTCAGAGGCTGGGGTTGAGATTGACCCAAAGAAGCTGGACACGGTAAAAGCGTGGCGCCCCCCGACGAACATCACGGAACTGCAGAGTTTTTTAGGGTTTGTTAATTACGTTCGACGGTTCGTGCCCGACATGGCACGTTTAACCGCCCCACTAACTGATTTACTGCGTAAGGGGGTCGCTTTTACGTGGGGGGAGTGAGCATGCTGCCTTCTCTGCCCTAAAAAACGTTCTCTGCTCACCACCCGTCCTACGCATCGCTGATCCCCACCGCCCTTTCGAAGTGGTTACCGACGCAAGTGACATCGCCATCGGAGCTGTACTGTTACAGGACTTCGGCAACGGCCTCCAACCCATCGCCTACGAATCACGAAAACTACATCCGCCTGAGCGAAATTATCCGATACACGACCGCGAAATGCTCGCGATCGTGCATGCATTCAAAGTTTGGCGCTGCTACTTGACTGGCGCAGACGTGACAGTACGGACAGACCACCGATCTCTACAGTACCTCCGCGCACAGCCCCACCTCAACCCACGACAGATTCGATGGCTCGATTTCCTCGAGTCGAATTTTCACTATACGGTCACATACAAAAAAGGAGCATCGAATATCGCCGACGCACTGACCCGACCCACTGCCCAGATCCACGCGATACTACTCGCCCAGACCAGCCCACTGCTTACCGGCCTATTTACCCACGGATATCAAACAGACCCGTTCTTTACAGGAGGCAACTCACAGCAATTCGCAGCGGCAAAAGGAGTCTATTACGTAAAAACTGGAACCGACCGCATCTGGGTACCGGGATACACGTTACTTCGGGAATTACTGTTACAGGAAGCACACGACGGAGTTACCTCGGGACATTTCGGGGTAGAAAAAACACGGCAGCAGCTGCAGCGGTACTACTACTGGCCAGAAATGTTGACTGACGTGCAACGACACGTGGCATCGTGTCCCACTTGCCAGCTCATGAAGACAAGCAGGAAGCGACCAGCAGGGCAATTACAACCCATCCCGCCTCCAGAGCGTGCTTGGCAGCAGGTGACGATGGACTTCGTCACGGGGTTACCAGCTGGGGCGAGTGGGAATGACGCGATCCTGGTCGTCGTCGATCGACTAACGAAAATGGCTCATTTCGCAGCATGCAGGAAATCCATCACAGCCGAGGAAACCGCCCGACTATTCATCTCCACCGTCGTACGCCTGCACGGGATACCCGCGTCGATCATCAGCGACAGGGACACGAAATTCACCAGCAACTTCTGGCGGAACCTGTGGCAGCAGTTCGGCACGCGCTTACAGTTCAGTTCATCCTATCACCCCGAAACCGACGGACAGACGGAACGGACAAATCAGACCATGGAGCAGCTGATTCGAGCCACGTGCGACGACCCGAATAGGTGGGAACAGCAACTGCCACTCATTGAGTTCGCATACAATAACGCACCATCAGCCACGACGCAACAGTCGCCGTTTTATCTAAATTACGGACAGGACCCAACAGTACCCATGACACCGAATCCCGACAACCCCGTCCCACGAGCACAACAGTTCGCCGAGATCCTGCAAGCAGCACGGACCAGGGCAGCAGAAGCAATAAAAAAATCAAACATCATCGCTAAACGCAACGCCGATCGACATCGCAGACCCGTTACTTATCAGCCCGACGACCTCGTTTTACTCGACACTCAGAACCTTCGCCTGCCCATCACTCCAAAACTTCGCCCCCGATATTGTGGGCCATTTCGCATCAGCCACATGATCACACCCGTCACCGCCCACCTCCTCCTCCCCGCTGACTGGTACGTCAGCCCGTCATTCCACGTCAGCCTACTTCGCCCTTACATCCCATCCACGAGCCAACTGCCACGAAATCGCCCAGCCAGCATGACACGTCCCCCAACCGAACCACTCATCACCCCTGAAAAAATCCTCAGCCACCGCGTCCGCGACCCTCGGGGAGCCCGAAGGATCGAGTTCCTAATTCGCTGGAAGGACCGAACGCCCACAGAAGACAACTGGGTCCCCCTGGATAAAATTGAGAACCACCCTGTCTTCACCGAGTATCTGCGAAGCCGAAATTTCCGCGACGTCCATGCGCTCTCGTAAGAGGGGCCTCCTTGGGGAGGGGGGTAGTGTAAGGAAATTCCCTTTTCCTTCCTTCGCGTCCCTGCCCAGCGCGTACGTCACTGTAGCACCTCAGTCAGCACCGTTACCACTCGCGACCATCGCATCATTCATCATCCCGCCTTTTTCGCACATCGCATCCCGACCTCACGGCTCGGCTGGTAACCCGCGCTCCGGGCCTACGCTTCGACACTTTCCCAACCTCAGTCCCAGGCTCGACGCGCGACAACCACAGTCCATTACCGTTACCACTATTGTTTCGCTATATAATCCTTCGCTCATGCCTTCGCTCATTGTACTTTTTGCTTCGATAGTGCAATTCTCGTTCCTTCACTCAATTGCACACGTAACAAGAAGGCTTTCATCCGAAGCATTGGGCTTCCAAGTAAGTGGGCCTACCACACACCCTTCACTTCCTAACGTTATCACTAGAGAGGATCGGGTAGGACCCCACCCGAGACCCCAAGGAGTTTCGCGACTCCCGACCCGAGTGCAGGTCTCTCCAGAGTCCCACCCGTCCTGCCCTTCTGTATCTGTCACGTCAACTCACAAGGCCAACAAAGGCCTCAAGAATCCCCTGGCCTCAAGGTCAACTGAACCTGTCGTTAGCATATATGCTTTCCCTTCACTAGCACACTGGCTTGGACGCCCAGCGCACAAGCGAAGGCCGTCCCATCTGCCCGCGAATCGCGCCGTCGGGGAAAGCCTCCGTCCGGATCACAATGTAGAAATTCCGCGGCGTCGCGTCGATCTTCTGAAACATGCTGTAAAACGTCATCGTTGTCCCTGGAACGAGCTTGCGCGTCGCGTCCGTGATCCACGTGTCCATTTTCAACTCGTCGGGAGCGCCCCCAACAGTCCACGCGTTGGGCAGCTCCCAAATCGGCGTGCCGTTGCTGCCGCGGCGGCCGTCATAGAGCGTTTGGTTGGTGGGCGGCAGCGGGAGCGTGAGACCCTCAACATCGAAGTGAATCTTGATGTTCATCGTGCGGTTGCCCTGCCTGCTCGCATACACAAACGCAACGAATGCACGCATGTCAGTGACAAGTTCGGGGGATGGTGCCTGCTTCTTTCCAATCCCGTGCATTAGTGAGACGCGCACGATTCCACGAGTCGGAGGGAGCAGGAGGCGCGGAAGCTGCAACATCGCTTAGATTGAGACGACACTTACTGGTAGATTGTAGAGCGAAAGCTGCCGGTGGCGAGCGAATCTCCTCCCAAGCTCGCACTGAGCACCTTCTTGGAGCTGAGGCTGGACGTGAGCAGACCTGATAGGTCAGCAGGGCGCGCATGAGAGTGAAGAATGTTTGAGCTTGATTTTACTCTCACAACCACTCAATAACCGCTGAGGCTGGACGTGAGGTCGGACAGGGCAATCCGGACAAGGTGAACAGGAGAGACGAAAGATTGAAATGGGACACGAGGTGCAGGGACGATTGGGGATGCCGTCGAAGCAAGTATAACGAGACGGGATGTGACTAGAACGAAGGGTAGACTTTTTATTTATTGGGAGAGGTGCGGGCAAATGGAGTAGGTAAGGGAAGGTGAGGAAGAGCGAGAGGAGGGAACCACTCACATCTTCGGATGCCGGGAAACGGAATGCCGGTGATTTTGGGCATGGGCGGGAGACTGGGGGGTTTGGATTTCGGGGGGGCGGCGAAAGCGCATGATGCAGCGGCGGCGAGAAGAACGCAGGAAAGAAGAGCTGCTGCAGGGGACGAGGTAAGAAGGGCAGGGAAGCCAGGAAGGTAGGAATGGAATGAGTGAGAGGGATGGGAGGAATGGGAGACATGGCAGGATGCGGTACAGGATAAACGACCATCAGCTTATGGTTCTGTACATTACGCTTTAACCTGCTTAAAAGGGTAACTATTGTTACTAAAGACATCCCGTATTTCTAGACTTGGCAGACAGCAAAGTGATGCTGTGATGTGATGCTGGATGCTATCGGCAAACCAGAGAAAACAGTGGCTTAGCTGAGTCAGGAAGAAATCGTAGGTACTAGTAGGTTCTTTTCTTGATAGAGCGCACCTGTTGCGGATGAGCGGTTTACGCGAGCCATGGTGGTGGGTTCAATATATTGGGCTTCGAAGCTTCTGGCTTGGAAGGGGCGCGCGTCTGGATCAAACTGGCAGTCACACGACTCTAGTGGTTATACGGAAAATAATTTTAAGGATGGTGTTAATCGGGAATCTCTTTGGCGGCTTGCCAACGCTTTCTATCTCGTGTCGGCCACCGGCGAGGGCCATTTTCCGAAATAGCAGCCGACGCTGCAGATACAGGGCGACAGTCATGGGGTGTGGTGTGGAACCACATTGTTCCGCGTTGTTCGATGTTGCACTGCGAAAGAGCCGTTGTTGCGAGTGATTCACCGCCGCCCACACCACGCAACGAAGGCCCAAGCTTGGGGGTGTTGGTTGGAGGATGTTGGTTGGAGGATTGAAGGTTCGCTTGGACTGATTGGTGGGGGGCTAGCTTTGGGATGAAAATGAGGCTGGTGGGAGTCAGGCGGGCCAACAACCACAATCAGCGCCCTGCAAAATCGAATTGTCTGTCGGTCGCCCCGCCAAACGCGAAAATTGCAAGAATGTCGAATTTGGCGAAGCGAACGAAGCGCGGCATAAACTCCCCCGCATTCCACGCAGGCGTCCCAACGCAACAACCCCTCCATCAGGGTTCATTTCCTTCCGCATGCACAATGAAAGTGCATGAGATTTTCTTCCCTAATGTACGAAACTCTCGGTAAGATTTATATCCAAAGACTGCACTTTTGAAGGACTTCCCAGTTTCACAAGCATGTTGGCATACATACATAGGTTTCATATTACACTTCAGAACGCTACAATGAGCACAGAGGGAGTGCTCAATCCTAGCACAGCACATACAAAATAAAGCCATAGAACCAGCAACACAGTAAGAAACAGCAGCAAACGGCAGGCACAGAGGCAAGAGTAGCCCCCACCCTGCCCTACTCTTGACCCTGTGCTCAGCTTCAACCCCCCAGCTCCAAATTCCATACAAGAAAATAACCCACACCACCCATCTTCTACAAGCTTGATTGCCTTGCCATGCAATTACTCCATGCACCCTCCTCACCCAAGATCAAAATCGGGGCTGTTGCATGTTTGAGATATTATCTTCCCACCTTTAAGCACGTATTTTACATAACAAGTGGTTCTGACCTGCAGGTGTTGAAACAGATAATAAGGTAAAGCAGGTGTTGGGGTGGGGAGTGGCGGGGAGGGAAGGGGGTAATCAAGGGTGCAGCAGAGGTGTGCAAAGAAACCCAAGGAGGAGAAGGGCAGTGGGAACAAGACTCTTCTGCTAGATATGCGTGAGATGTGAAATTTGAGAGCAACGCATGGTGGTGCTAAGAGTTGAAATCCAGGTATGGAAGGCAGGCTTCCTGTGAGTAGCTGGCAAATGCAAATGGCAGTCGATTCTGAAAATTGTACCTACCTCATCAATATTCACATGAAATGCTACATGCAAACAGGATCCGCAAAGATACCAGGCGAATGTGAGAGCAAGGGTACCTACCTGTCACCTGAGCATCATGGGAACAAGCGCACCTGCAATGTGTGGAACCCCAACTCACCTGCATCACAGGACTTTTGATTCCAAAGCCGGTGAATCTCCCAAACCCTTGGATGTCAATCTGGAATGTGCCATGGCCATGGCAAAGGAGAGTAGAGGATGACACAAGGAGAATAAAATCTTGCAGTTGCAACAACAAGGGCTGATGGCAAAACAGGAGAACGTAAGGGACTCACGACATAGGCAGGGAATTGACAGCAGTGCAATTGCAATGGAGAATTAACACCCGCTTTTTACCGACAGCATTCATTGCAGATAGTGTAAGCAGTGCAGTATTAGGAAGGGAAGTGCATGAAAAAACGGAACAAGTGCAGGATAAAGCAAGGTGGAAGCACGGTTCCTCTCACAACACTCACCTTCGTTGCAAGCACATCCCCCTTCTGGTATATGCGCCATCCTTTCTTCATAGGGATATTCACCAGGTTGAAGGGTGCTTTTACCGGGGATGACTTTAACGGGTACACGTTCATGGGGGGGAGCTGAGGGCATGGCGCAAGGGGAAAAGGAAGTGGGGAACAAAGTCAGGCACTGTTACAAAATAGAATAGAAGGGGGTGAATGAGGACCTCACGCATATCCGCTACATCAAGGCACAAGCGCGTCTGTCACCTTGAAGCTGCTGAGGAAAGTGTGCCAGAATTGCACACCTGTGCATGGCGATTCACCTTGGAGTTGCCGAGAAACGTGTTGTTGTACTCCGCGTGCACGTATATAGCGTTGATCTTGAGCCCATAAGCGTTGGGGTTGTAGATGAGCGCGTTGAACGTCAGCACGCCTGTGAGGAACACGTCGAAACCATTCAGCGGGTCGCCGCCCAGCCGCGCGTGCTTCACGGTCCAGTCCATGGTGTCGATCTTCAGCTCCGGCTGCTGCTAGACGCGGAGGTTGGGGGGGAGGTGGGGAGGGGGGGTTTGTGGGGGGGTGGGGGGGGGGGGGGGGGTAGACGGGTCAACGTGAGCGCTTCACGGTTCAGTCCATGGTGTCGATCTTCAGCTCCGTACTTGACCACCCAATCCATGGCGTCGATCTTCAGCTCCGGTTGCTGCAAGGCGGGGGGTGGGGTGGGGTCGGGTGAGGGGGGGTTGAGGCAGTTAAGCGAGAGCTTGAGTTGAAGGAGCGCGCGTGCTTGACCACCCAATCCATGGCGTCGATCTTCAGCTCCGGCTGCTGCGGAGGGGAAGCAGGAGTTGGGAGTGGAGGAGGGAAGAAGTAAGAGCATGCATATTCTGTCGCAAGTGTGATTGCTTGTTGAAAGAGACGGACCACTCTGCTTTGGCTATCGCGAGTGAGGGAGTGGAGGAGAAGCGGGCGGGGAGGGTGGGGGAGAGAAAGGGCGCGGCGGGGGGGGGGGGGGGGGGGGGGGGGGGGGAGGCGGGGAGAGGGTACGAGGTCGGAAGGATAAGCAAAGAACTGGAGAGGTGTTCAAGGCACGGGTGCCGTGTGCAGGGGGGAGCACCTTGTACGTGAACGGGCTGCTGGTTTTGCGCTGCGCAGACGCCAGAACCCTCTTCGTCCACAGCACCCGTGCCGCGCCATCCCTGCCACGTCATGTCACATCAGAGTAAAGAGGACGTTACGGACGGAACCCGGAACACTTCACGTTTCTCCGTACGGACAGGCGATGCGAGACGGCGGAAGGGGACGATTGCTGACGAAAGGTCGCAACATAACAAACCCTCCCCCTCCCCTTCCCCCCTCCCCCCTCTCCCCCAACGAATCATGAGTCCAGTCGTCAGCATCTCGTCCAAACCTCACCCGAACGTCGTTGGTCTCCGCAGTTGTCGCGACGTTTGTACAGTTCCAGCCGTAGCTGTAGCCGCAACCGTAGTCGTCGGCTTAGCCGTAACGGATATACTACTAGATGGACCGTGAGCCGATCTAAGACTCGAAGGAGCTGCTGCAGCCTGGCTTTTAAAGACTTGGTTCCTAATGACGTGGCTGCCTGTAGCGCCCTGGACTACTGGGTTCACCGGAGCAGCGAAGGCAAGAAGCAGGAGGATCGAGAGAACTGTAGCTATTAGGGATAGCGATGCGCCGATCCCGGGGGAGGAACCTGCCATACGGAGCGGAGATTATAAGGTCTCCCCTAACTCGTCGCCGCTCAGAGCAGGCGAGGAGCCAATAGGAAGGAAAAGCGGATAATTCCTAGTTGTGCAGCTGAAGAAGGAAAAGCTGTGTACAAGATCCCAGCTAGAGATTTCCTTACGGTGAATAGTGAATAGAAGCGACGGTGCTACCATCTAGCCTTGGTCTACTGGTTGAGACATTCTTATTGAGCGACGGTTGAGCGACTAGTGTGATCGGTTGTGAATTGACGGAGGGTGAATTGGCGGAGCGAAGATCGAGCGACGAGATGAAGATGAGTGCTGCCTGCCACTAATGGGGCGAGGGAGCGCTGCATATATTTACGCGTTCGAATCGCTTCGTTTAGAGTCACAGGTACTAAAGCCGAAACAGGGTTCCTAACGAAGGGGGTGCTGGTGAACTGACAACAGGCTCGCCTCGTCGCCACGTGTATCGCGTGCCTGCGTTTCAGTCACCAGCAGCGGCGACGACTGTCTACATTAGAGACGACAAACAAGAGGATGCTTTCATTGACAATTTGCATCACGGAGACGTTGGTTGGGAGATAGGAAGATTAACTAGGTATGTGGACCAGAAATCACGAACATATGCATTTCGTGGAGATATGTAGGAGGTGCTAACTGATATGACTGCTAGCTTTCGTACAACGACTCGTCAACTCGGCGTTCAGGAGGGAGAGAAAAAAAGCGGTGAAGTACGATTTAGCCGAATAATTCACGGTATTCTGGTGTGATGCATTTTGCCGTCATGTTTCCTCTTGAATCTTGGGCCCTCGAAATTGGTTCCCCTTTTTCCAGAGCAACATCCGTCCGTCCGTTCGTCCGTGTCCCTGCTCCAAGGCAGGCGCGGAACAGTGTGTGGTACATATCGAATTTCGCGTCGCTCTTTGCATGCTTGGCAGAAAGGGTGCGCGGTTCGGTTTTGCCCGTCGCTGCGTGTCATTTCTAGAGACGCAACGCAACGGCCTCGAAGTCGAGTCCCCTCGTTAGAAGCGGTGCAATGATTACGTCACCCCATCAACCTCCTTCGTTACAAGCATTCGTTTATCCACTTCGAGTTTTAATCTCGTTTGAAGGTAGCCTGCTACACATTTTACCAGCTATATTATTCAATGAGGGTGTCTCGAATTCTGTATCAATGATTGGGAAATCTCTGCGCCCCTTCAAACAGAGGGCATCTGAGAGAAATGACTGCGGAACCTTGCGTTAAATATAGCCATAAGTTGCAATTACTGCTTCACAAAATCCTGCTACTCCCTTTTCTTGTGTACCCCTGATTCCTCTACAGACGGAGCGCCAGAGCAGGGAGACGAGAGAGATGCATGGTTGGCAGGTGGGGGATCGGAAGCAGAAGAGGGTGATGCTGGCAGAGCGGAGAGAAGGGATTGAGGAGGAGAGGAGGTGTGGGAGTGAGGAGAGGAGGGGTGGGGGTGCAGCCCTTTAACAAGGTGCGAGAGGGAGACCACCTGATAGCCCTGCCGTCTCAGCTCTGGCAGCATCATCCGCAGAATCTGCAAAGAAACGGGGAAAAGGAAGGACGCCTCAAAGTTTATATCACTTAATGTGCAACAAAAGCAGACACGAGCCACAAAAAGCAGTAACAAGAGGCCTGTGCACTTCACCTCTCAAATTTGAAAGACTAGAAGCAGAAGGCCTGCGGTCTGAGCACGGTGCACCTCCAAAGTTTGAAAAACCATGAGTTTATAAGAATTCTTAAAAACACTGTGCACAGTGCACCTCCAAAGTTTGAAAAACCAGAAGCAGAAGACCTGTGGCCTCACCTCAACGGTTTGTGTGCCCTGCTGGGGACGATCATGCAGGATAATAATAGCACCTGGGTACACCTGCGTGCAGACACGTGGAAGGGAAGGCAAGGGAAGTGAATTGAAGGGGTGCCTTGCTGTGGGCGGCCGTGCAGAATGATGTTGGCCCCAAGGGGAGAGATGAAACGATGGGGATGGTGGGGATGATGGGTCCATGAAAAACGCAGAGCAGAAAACCGCATCTCCAAAAGGCCCCCAACCCATAGCAGTACCATCCACAAGCAGTAACGAGAAACAGTGAGGCTGCTGTCGTTGAAAGGAAGTCCACAGGGAACACGGAGCGCAGAGTTACAGATAGATAGCTGCAACCTTGCTTTTCCACTGCACTCTACAGGCGCAGTCAGTACCATCCAGAGACAGTAGGCAGCAAGAGGGCGGCTGCTGTCCTTGAAGAGAGGGTCCACGGGGAACACAGAGCCCAGGGCCACATTGTACCCGTGCCTGCTAACCCCCCCCCCCCGATGCACCCAGTAAACATACCTTCCATAAACAGTAGGCAGCGAGAGGGCGGCTGCTGTCCTTGAAAAGCGGGTCCACGGGGAACACAGAGCCCAAAGCCACGTTGTACCCGTGCCGCTGTGCCTGCTGCCGCATTCGCTTGGTGTACCACCCATGGCCCTGGAGGTGGGGTAGGGAGAGAGAGGAGGAGGGTTGACAGAGTTGCCCCCTCAATCTCTTCGAAAGTCGCGGAGGAGCTTGGCGTCCAATTTTGAGATGTCTCGAAATTCGTCCACTGCCAGCAGAGACGACTCAAACAAGAAGGCGCCTAGCAGGGAAAAGCTGACAGCGAAACTAATCGGGCGGAACCATGTGACTGGGTTGCCTCCGGAGTCTGTACGGAAGTAGTGGAGCATCTTGGCATCCACACTAGGCTCAAAGCACACTGACCCACCGGTCAGAACCACTTGACTGGGCTGCCTCCCTGTGTTACTCTAGAGGTAGTGGAGGAGCTTGGCATCCAGTGCCAGGAGCGACGACTCAAACAGGAAGGCATGCAATCCACACAAACCCACCTGTCTACTTAACCATGTGACCTACCGGTCCGAACCACTTGACAGGTTTTCCCGCAGCGTCTCGTCGGAAGTAGTGGTGAAGCTTGGCATCCACTTCCAGTAGTGACGATTCAAAGAGGATGTAAACACCAAGACAAGGCAAGGTTGACTGCCAGACTGACCGGTCGGAACCACTTGACAGGGTTGCCTCCGGCGTCTCGTCGGAAGTAGTGGAGGAGCTTGGCGTCCACTTCCAGCAGCGACGACTCAAACTCCCCGGCTGACAGGCGCCAGCTGGGCTCGTCTGCTGTCATGTGGTTGCCCACCTCGTGGCCTGGTGGGGAAGAAGTAAGGAGATGGAGAGGCATAGGGAAACAGATGAGCAGAGGTAGGGAGTGCAGACAGACGCCAGGTGGGTTCGTCCTCTGTCATGTGGTTGCCCACCTCGTGGCCTGGTGGGGAAGAAGTAAGGAGATGGAGAGGCATAGGGAAACAGATGAGCAGAGGTAGGGAGTGCAGACAGACGCCAGGTGGGTTCGTCCTCTGTCATGTGGTTGCCCACCTCGTGGCCTGGTGGGGAAGAAGTAAGGAGATGGAGAGGCATAGGGAAACAGATGAGCAGAGGTAGGGAGTGCAGACAGACGCCAGGTGGGTTCGTCCTCTGTCATGTGGTTGCCCACCTCGTGGCCTGGTGGGGAAGAAGTAAGGAGATGGAGAGGCATAGGGAAACAGATGAGCAGAGGTAGGGAGTGCAGACAGACGCCAGGTGGGTTCGTCCTCTGTCATGTGGTTGCCCACCTCGTGGCCTGGTGGGGAAGAAGTAAGGAGATGGAGAGGCGCAGGGAAACAGATGGCAGGATGAACGTGGTCGAGGATGCGAACGAACAACTCAACACCCATCATTCAACACTTGCAAGCGGACAGGCGCCAGCTGGCTGGGTGTGTTGTCCGTCATGTGGGTGCCCACCACGTGGCCTGGTGGGGAGAGGGGGAGCCAGCTGGGTCCAATAATAAGGTGACCTTGTTTTAATAACGCCACACAATGGCACATTACCTTGAGCGTGCATACAACCCACTATGCCCGGGTACCTGCCCAGGACTCCAGTCACATGGTGGCACCTTACCTTCAGCATGCATGCGATCGACGATGCCGGGGTATCGGTCAATGTTGGATCCAATCAGGTGATCTCTGAGTCGACTGTACAGCCTCCTCGTTCCAGTAGTGCATGGCATGGCACATTACCTACCTTCAGCGTGCATGCGATCCACAATGCTGGGGTATCGATCAATGTTGGATCCAATCACGAAGAACGTGGCTGTGCACCCGTGTTCCTTGAGAATATCCAGCAGCTGAGAGAATCCGTGGCATGAGCGGTCGGGGGGGAAAGGGATTGTGAGGATATGATCAAGAACGATGCGGTCCTGCAGTGCACCCGAGGTCCCTTGACCTATACAACTACCGAAAAATTTTGGTGTTTTTTTTTTTTTTTTTTTTTTTTTTTTTTTTGGTATACGTATGCAGAACACGAAATACTTCTATTGTTTGTTATTGAGGTTCTTTCACAAGAAGCTCCAGACGAATTCTGAAAAGTTTCAAGATGGGCGCGCCAAGTATTGCAATGAGTTGTCATTCTAGTTGAGTAAAAATCGTACCTCGTGGGTCGTGTCTCCGTTCGGCCCATCATCGATCGTCAGAGCAACCAGGCGATCTGATTGGTCAACAGGATAGGGAGGGATCAGGAGGATGGGTGGATGGGTGGATGGGTGGATGGAGTGATGGGGGGATGGGGTGCATCATGCATGGTAGTGGATGACAGGGAAGGTGAGCGAGAGGGAAGGAGGTTGAGAGAAGGTGGGTGAGAGGGAAGGAGGTTGAGAGAAGGTGGGTGAGAGGGAAGGAGGTTGAGAGAAGGTGGGTGAGAGGGAAGGAGGTTGAGAGAAGGTGGGTGAGAGGGAAGGAGGTTGAGAGAAGGTGGGTGAGAGGGAAGGAGGTTGAGAGAAGGTGGGTGAGAGGGAAGGAGGTTGAGAGAAGGTGGGTGAGAGGGAAGGAGGTTGAGAGAAGGTGGGTGAGAGGGAAGGAGGTTGAGAGAAGGTGGGTGAGAGGGAAGGAGGTTGAGAGAAGGTGGGTGAGAGGGAAGGAGGTTGAGAGAAGGTGGGTGAGAGGGAAGGAGGTTGAGAGAAGGTGGGTGAGAGGGAAGGAGGTTGAGAGAAGGTGGGTGAGAGGGAAGGAGGTTGAGAGAAGGTGGGTGAGAGGGAAGGTTGGAACTTGGATGTGAGAGTGAGGGTGGAAAAACCTCTCAAACCAACCTCTCGTAACGCATGCCGTTGAGTGATGTGTACCCTTGATGACAAGTACTCCCGGTCACGTGTGCCCTCGGTGAAGTGTACCTTTGGTGACGTGTACCTTTGGTGACGTGTACCTTTGGTGACGTGTACCTTTGGTGAATTGAACCTTGTGTCTGTACCTTTGGTGACGTGTTCGAACAGAATGTGCGGCTGGTTCTGCCGCACCCAGGTGATGATCCACCTTGGCTGAAACAGCACCCTGCACCCCACGCCACGCACACAGGCCGTGGAAGATTGCACAGGGACAGTTTTGAGAAATACCTTTTGAGTTTTTCAACAGTGACTCAGATATAGCCGTGGCTGGAACAGCACCCTGCATCCGGCGCACACGGGTCGTGGAAAATTGCACAGGGACAGGAGAGTTCGGTAAAGCATCCCATCCCTGTGCCATCCCAACGCCATGCCATCCCACTTGATGCCATGACATTCCATGACAGGTAATCCCGATAATTGGTTAAACCTACATGCATGAGAGCAACGTGACGAGTAACTACTACTCTCGCCTCCCTTGTTTCACTTCCAACAAGCAACCTTCAAGCTCACCCCACAGCGAGGAACAGCACGAAGCCCAGCCCAAGCGCGCCTGCAGCGGCGGTGGCGGCGAGGAGGGCGCTAGCAGGCGTCACCCCCACCAGCGACGGCACCAGCACCTCCCACTCCACAAGTAGGGTTACCACACATGTGCAGTGCCCCTACAAACTCACCCTACGGCGATGAACAGCGCAAAGCCCAGTCCCAACGCGCCTGCAGCGGCAGTGGCGTCGACGAGGGCGCTAGCGGGCGTGACCCCCACCAGCGACGGCACCACCACCTCCCACTCAACAAGTAGGGTTACCACACATGCGCCCCTACAAACTCACCCTACGGCGATGAACAGCGCGAAGCCCAGCCCAAGCGCGCCTGCAGCGGCGGTGGCGGCAATGAGGGCGCTAGCGGGCGTCACCCCCACCAGCGACGGCACCAGCACCTCCCACTCCACGCCGCTGCCGCTCATTGCCGACGCTGTAGCGAGCGGAGGAGCCTGGGTGACTGTAGTGAAAGGTATGGATGATACTGTGCCGAGGGGTATGGCCGAGGCTGTAGAGAGTGGATTTGGAAACGCTGTGGCGTAAGCAGGGATAATTTCCTGGGGAGACGCTGCGGGAGCGGCGAGCGCGGGTGAGGAGCAGACGACCAGAGCGAACGCTGCTGCTGCAGCGACAGCGGCGGCGGCAGTGGCGGCAGATGCACTGGTAGGGGCGACGGTAGTGGCGGCAGTGGCGGGGACGAATGGAATTGCGGGAGACGCGGATAGTGGTGCTGCTGAGCCAATCGCACCAGGAGGCGTTGCGACAGGGCGTGCTGGGGACGAGAATCTGGCGACGAATCGAGCGACGGATGCGACAGGAATAATTGCAGACTCTGCAGCAAATGAGCGGCAGAAATCGTCGCAGGCTTTGTAAAATTGAGCGGAGGGATCGGCAGGAGAGAATTCGCAGGGTGGGAAGAACTTTGGGAGGGGCAATGGCAAGGGCGGACTAGTCTTGATTATGGCGGGAGTGGGTTGCGAAGGCGAGCGAGCAGCGAAAGGGCGTCGGTTCACGCGAAGGGCTGCAGCGCAGGCGATAGACGGTGGGCGACAACGATGGTCTGCGAGTGCGACGGGTGCGACTGGCCGTGCGACGACACCGGCTGCTCGCATGAGGCCAGCGGCACGCACGCGTCGTGGAGAGCAAATGAACCACACAGCCGCGCAGGGGGTATCAGCCAGCAGCCATCCATCAGCCATCGGCCATCAGCAGAGCCCCAGCTTTTCTGATTTGACGGAATATGCCTTGCCAACCAATCAACGGAGGACAGGTTGAGAGCTATCGGTCGAGAAGGGTGAGCTTGGGTTGGGGGACGAATTTGAGGGGGAGGGGGTGGAGTGGTTGGGTTGGGGGTGCTGGCGGTGACGAAATGCTGACGAGAGGTATGGTGGCTGTGATGAAGCATGAGGCACAGCGGACAACGCGCCTTCGCTATTCTGCGAAGTAACATTGGTGTCAGCTGGGAGTTCATAATGTTACAACGTAGCCAATAAACCGCCAAGCCACCTACAAGTACGCAACCTTGGCCTTACCACCTCACATTCATGCAGGCAGGTTCCAGCCAACCATAATCTGCAATGCACCTGCTTGGTGTCAGTAAGAACAAAGCATGGCATTATGAAAAAAAGGTACCTTGATGTTTCTACCTAGTTCCTGGACAGCGTTTATGCCGCCACTAGTTTCTAGCTGAGTTTGGCATGTGCCTCATGCAACTTCTCCAGGAGCACTTCACTCATCTTACTGCAACCCACCACCTCCTGCAAGTGAAAACACGCGAAGGACAGTGAGCGGCAACGTTGGACATGGGCAGTGATGCTCAGCTAAGAAAAAAACCTAACAGATGAAACTTCAACAAAAAATAAGCAGTTGAAATACAAAAAAAAGGGATACACACACTTCAAGGAAGTTGTGAAAAAATAAGGTTACTGAAACTTACCATGCCGGGGGAAGCAATGTCACCAGTCCTGTATCCTGCCTCCAGGGTACTCATGACAGCAGCCTCCAATAGGTCAGCACCACGTGGCAGGTTGAGCCCGTATCGCAGCATCATGGCGGCTGAGAGCACCTGAGCCATCGGGTTCGCCTTGTCCTGCCCCGCAATGTCCGGTGCCGAACCATGCACTGGCTCATAGATGCCCGGGCCCTGGGGGGTGGTGGAAGAGTGGGGAGAGGGGGGTCTATTTACATGGTGCCTCAGAAAAAGGTTTGCCTTGTCTTGCCCTGCAATGTCCGGGGAAGACCCATGCACTGGCTCATAGATGCCCGGGCCCTGGGGGGCGGTCGAAGAGTGGGGAGTGAGGAGTGAAGGAGTCCCATTGCAAGTAAGTACCGTGCCATGATGTTCTGTCATGCCAGCAAACCCCCTCCCTCTTCGCCCCTCCTCCCCCCTCCTTCTCCGCTCAGCTGACTCACATCAGAGCCAATGCTGGCGGAGGGCAGCATACCGATCGACCCAGTGAGCATGGACGCCTCATCCGAGAGGATATCCCCAAAGATGTTCCCCGATCTTCGCCCCTCCTCCAAGTTTTCCCCTCCTCCAACCCCTTTCACTCTCCTCTCCCCTAAGGACACTCACGTCAGAGCCAATGCTGGCGGAGGGCAGCATGCCAATGGAGCCAGTGAGCATGGACGCCTCGTCGGAGAGGATATCCCCAAAGATGTTGCCGGTGACGATGGTGTCAAACTGGCGCGGGTTGCGGATGAGCTGCATGGCAGCGTTGTCCACATACATGTGCGACAGCTCCACATCCGGGTACTCCTCCGCCCCAATGGCCGTCACGCGCTCGCGCCACAGCTGCGACACCTCCAGCACGTTCGACTTCTCCACGGAGCACAGCCGCCCGCTGCGCTTGCGCGCCGCCTCAAAGCCCACTCGGGCGATGCGGTCAATCTGGCAGGCAAGAGGGGGGGAGCACGGGGGGGAATTGGCGGAAGGGGGTGGGGGAAGGGGGAAGGGGGAAGGGGAAGGAGAGGGGAGGGGGAACGGAGAAGGGGAAGGGGAGGGAAAGGAATGGGTGGGAGTCATCTCAAGGTCTTGGAGTGAGCTTTACGTCCGGGTACTCCTCCGCCCCAATGGCCGTCACGCGCTCGCGCCACAGCTGCGACACCTCCAGCACGTTCCACTTCTCCACGGAGCACAGCCGCCCGCTGCGCTTGCGCACCGCCTCAAAGCCCACTCGGGCGATGCGGTAGATCTGGGCGGAGAGGGAAAACCAGAAGCGAGAGGGGGAAAAGTGTGCACGGGAGACAATTCAGGTGTCCTTGAAGCCCAACTAGCCAATGCAGTAGATTCCAACAAATTTGTTCAGATGGTTAAGGTATGGGGGAGGAAGGGGAAAGGGGTATGGTGTGGAGTGAATGGAAGTGGAATGAATGGAAGAGTAAGACGGGTGCGTGCGTGGAGGAACGGGCTGGGGAGAAACTGGGACAGGTGGGAGGACAGGGTGTGGGGGGGGGACCTGAAGTCGTATCTTCACGGAACGTACCTCAGGGGCGGAGTAGATCATGGTGTTGAAGCCTGTCCTGTTGCCCTCTGCATCCAGTCCGAAGCCCTTGGGCTCTCCGAAGTAGATTCCTGCAGCATGTTACGAGCAGCACGCAAAGACGTGAAGGGAACGGGGGGGGAGGGTGGGGGAGGGGAAACATTAGTTTCAGAAAATGAAACTCAAGCTCCACATATCGATGACTGCCTTACAGGCTCGCCTAGGATGATCGGCTTTCAATTCTGCTGCTCCTATAATCTCAGGCAAGATTGTTGTCCTCACATCCCCTTTGTTTGCTTCTCTTCCAAATCCTCGCCTTCAATCTCCTTCCATTTCCTTCGCCCCACCTCCATTTCATTCACCTCGTTTTCACTTCATTTGCCCCACACCACGTCAGTTCGCGCACCACCTCGACTCACCGCCCGTAAGTTCGCGCACCACCATGATGTCAACGCCCTCCACCACCTCGCGCTTCAACGACGACGCCTCGATCAGCTGTGTGGGGCGTGGAGAAGAGATGGCGGGAAAGTGGACGGGGTATGTGAACCAGGGGGGCGGATGCATGGGAACCAGGGGGATGGGGGATTTTAGGCTGCTTGGCATGCCATGATCCAGGAGAGCAGAGGGTGATTAAGAAAGACCCAGCCGATACACGTAGAGGTCTCGTCCACGTATTAACGAATCCATCATGATTCAAGCGCGCAACCCGAGCACCGTCTCATGACTAGGCCATTTTGCCCGTTTTTAGAATAAAGTGAGTATACAGTGAGTAAACCAGCTCAACATGCGCGCTGGAGCAATTCGTGCAACGCAACTGGCACAGACACCGCAACCACTCTGTTACTAAATGCAGCCGCACCTGGGTGACGACGGCGGCGACTCGACAGGTAACCCAACTGTGCGCGCTAGCGCAAAGCGTGCGACGCGACTAGCCCCGAAAAACTTCCAGTCTGTTCGACTTCTAAGGCGCCTCGAAGTGCAACTGTCCCGTAACCAATACCGCTAACGGTGTGTTCGGGAATGTCGCCGCACCTGGGGGAAGACGGTGGCGGGGCGCAGGTTAGCGAAAGCGCCGAGCCCCGCGCGCAGACCCAGCAGCCCGCGCTCAGGGCGGAGATCTGCGGGCAGGGTGTCCCACTTGTACCTGCGCAACGGGTGTGGGTAATGGGGGCAATGTGGGGGATATCAAGGACTTGGAAGGTAGTAGTGGTATTCTAACTGAAAAAGGAGGCGTGCACCAGTCCGGAGAGTGAGCATAGCAGAGCGAAAGCAAGCAACGCTTTTTTCATGGTCTTGTGTTACTGCATTGAAGAAATTTCTACCTCTACAAACAAACGGTTGGCGACTCCCACTCACCCTCCAATGGCAGCGAGCAGAACGGCATCGCTGTCGCGGCACGTGGCGAGGGTTGATTCGGGCAGAGGCACGCCGAATTCGTCGATCGCCGCACCTCCGACCAGCGCCTCCTGGAACTCAAAAGTGATGCCTTCCAGTTCGCCGAGAGCCTTGAGCAGCTTCACAGCCACTGCCATGATCTCAGGGCCGATTCCGTCGCCCGGCAGCAGCGTGATGCGACACTTCTTCGTCGCACCGTCGCCCGCCGCCGCCATCACTGGCTGTCTTCTGCGACTGCTGCTCCCATTCGCACAGGTCCTGCGACGGTTAGAGACAGACTTGCGGCTGAGGGGGAACGCAGAGAGACCGTTGGGCTTCACGGACTTGGCGAAAGCCTTCAGAGAGGACGACTCTCCCTCTGCAGGGGAGAGTTGCGCGGCGGTGAAATGCGCGCAGACCAACGAGCGAGCAGTCGCAGTCGCCATGAAGGAAAGGTCACAGCGATGCAGCAGATCACTCTGGTCAACGAAGTTGATGGCAGGGGAATGCACTAAGAGAAACCCTCAGCCCTGGGAAATTCAGCTCAAGGCAAAATGGGGGGTGGAGGGAGTTCAGATGCAAAAGGCGAAGTGCATTAGTGGAGTGTGCAAAATCTGACCAGCACGGCACACTTCGGAGGGACGACGTTGACGTGACAATGTGCCAGCGTTGCGGGGGCCAGTAACAGCCATGCTTTGGTGAGATGTTGCTCGGTGGAACCACGTCAGCCAGTGTAGAATTTAGACTAATGCTACACTTTAAAATCATAAGGCTTTGGTAAGCTAAGCCTCATCCACTTCAAAATCCTCCTCCTGTGGAGCAACAAAAAACTCTACAAATGATGTCCTTGCAATCCTATTCTGCTGAGTTTGGCTCCTTGCCCCATCCTGAGTTGGCTGAGAAAAGGCAGGAAGACTGCCCACACCAAATGCATCTGGAGCATCATTAGCATTTCTTCCACCAGGCCCAGTGGCTCGCATGTTCACAACATGCTGCACTCTCAAGAGGCCATGATGGTCAATTGTCAGTTTACTCGCATGGTTTTCCTTCAGGACAGCAGCAGGGATGCTAGCAGTTGCTGCACTGAGATGCTTGTAGCGATACCTGCACAACGAAGCATGGGAGGTTCAACTATGGCTAATATTGAAAGGAAAAATCCAGAAAATAAGTCCTTACAAGAATGAAACGGGCCGGTGACATTTAAAGTCAACAAAAAGGTTGTTGCATCGCCCAACAAGGAGATCAACCTGAAAGGTAACAAGACGTTGTCATGCCAAAACGTTATGGCTTAATAAATAGCACAGCCTACGAGACAAGTAGCTAACCTGCTGACCAACTACCCAACTTGCTGACCTGCAGGTCACCATGGCCTTGTGCCAGAAACGTCACTCCGGCTGGCTGAGGACTGATGGAGATTCGAACACTGGCACCAGGCCATTCCAAATCTTCAATCAACTCCTTGAGTACGCTAGACTGGATAACAAACAAGAAAACGGAAATGAATGAAAAATAATACCTGTCTGAAAAAGCGAAGACACATGGTCCATACTGCACAAATGAGGAGATGCATCGAAGAGAAGCTCACCCGAATTGCAAAGCTGACAGGCGCGTTTTGTGGAGTCGATGTGTCAACATCCAGCGCCCATTCTGGCGGGTTCATATCAGGAAGCAGAGTACGAATCTCCGCTCCAATGCTGCTGTTGCTGTTGGATGGATCCGAAAGCCTGAAAACGCCTGATCGCAAATCCCCCGCCACAGAGGCAGAAGAAAGAACCTCACAATCACGATAAGAAACGTATCCCGCAGAATGCACGCACATCTGCTGCAACGTAACCCTTACTTGAGCAACAGCTGGTTATCCGGTCCAGGATACCGCAGGGTTAATACATGTCCTGTGGTAGCTGACGCAGAGAACGCCGACAAGCAGTCAATCAAAAGAGACAGATTGATGCCGAACCGATAACGGACGTCTGGTCGATAAACGTAGTCCACGAAGAGCTGCACAATAACATAAAAAAGATGAGAACATATCATAGAATAACCGCGATTGACCGTTCTACGGAAGGGTATGAATTGGTTCAGGTGACAAATTCCGACCTCTTTCCTGAAAAACGCACGTGCGTGCAGGCAATTGAGCTCCTCAGCTACGACTACAAGACCGGTCTCGGACATCTCAACAACCGCTTCCTGCAATTAGATTTGATGAGAAAGCTATGTAAGTAACGTCGTCAGTGACCGCACAAAAAATGTATATGATGCTAAATTGGTTCTACTTCTTACTTGCTGACGTTTCCATTTGATCGTGGTAAGCTCGTCAACGAGACTGGACGTGCTCACAAGGGTACAAACTAGGTCGAAATCCATGGCCACGGCTCAAAAAGAAGCCACTAGATTTCCAAGTCAACGTGGAAAGGGACCAGACACTAGACATAACATTTTCGGAGAGCAGGAATTGTGACTCTCTAGTTAGGAACAAAAGCGTCAACTTCACCCTTTCCCCCAATTGGGACTCGAGGATGGGAAATGGGTTTGTTGCGGTGGATAAGTGGAAAACTAGGCGGAAATATGGCGGAAACTGTTGCAGAGGTTGCAAGAAATCTCCCAGGTTCCACGCTAAGGGGTTGAGCTGTGCGGCTCTGTGCAGGGCGGAGTAGAGCGTTGTTGAAATTCGCGCGTAAATCTCTGGGCGCTCGCGCAAAAAGGCGGAGATTAGCCCCTGCTGATTGGAGGTTTGGTAGTAAGTTGGTCTGGAGACTCCAAGGTTTCGAGCAGCTGGGGCCGAGTGAAGTTGGCTCGGAAGAGGGTGTTCCGCGGGAAAGCGGGCAGCAGCCAGCCACAGTGCGCTGTGATGGCTCTCCTCTCCGACCAATCCCAAGGCGAGGTCGAGGGAACACGTCAAACAATGGATGATCCCAAGGCGAGGTCTCTGCTCTGCACTTCAGGGTCTGAGTTCAGGGTGTCTCTGGTCTTGCAACTTTGATGAAAAATGTTATGCAGACAACCACCCGGGGTCATTATTGAGATATATGGAACAACAAATGTTATGGCAGGTAGTGTGATGAAATTCGGAGGCTAAATGTAATATCCATCCAGGGTAACTAACCACCGAAGATAACACAGCTGCCCGCTTTTCGCGATTTGCTGGGCTCCCATTTTGGCTTCCCTTCGGTCATCTACCATCCTTCCTTGCGTCCTCATATCCTCAAACCATTGCCTATTCCTTCATTTCTCCGTCTCTTGTTTGCTGGTCTTTCATCTATCCAGTGAACCTGCCTGACTTTATGTCATCCCCTTTACTTCGAAACCCTTCCGATAGTTGACATGGGGTGGACCTTTCTTCTTGATAGTCTTCCGGATCTTCATTACCGTCGACCGTGCCCTTGACTAATAGCTTAAGACTCACGGGATTGTAAGTTGCATGTCCTCAGCACCTCGTTAAGTGCATTCTTCTTACAGAAAAATAAGTGGTGGTCTTAGAGAACAAAGATATTCAATTAGTGTGACTACTCATCCTGCCGTTTTTCATCATGCATAGGTCGAAGGCCGTCCGTGAAAGGGACTGGTGGATTGTTCTCGAGATTCATAAGTAGCATTTGCCTTCTTTCGCGCGCAAACCTGATAGATCTTGTTTCTTTCTTTCTCACTCATGTAATTTTCCACCATTTTTATAGCAACGATGACATCGTTTGACTTGAGGTGCTGGGATCTGTGGGCTCCCCCCTATATTTTGCATCAGAGTATTTCAAGTGGTCATTTTGCTGTCTCTCTTGCCCGACCCTCCCTGTCTTCTCTTCTCAGGTCAGAGATCGTACTGGAGAAGTTCGGGGGAGTCCAGACTCCCAACGCCCCTCAACCTTCTAGTGAAAGGCAACAACGATGCAGAATCCAAACCAACACCTGCAGCCGGACCAGTCCCACCAGCAGCAGTACCCACCCCATCCCCAGCATCCCCAGGGTCCTCCCTTATCACAACCACCACCCACCCTGCTTTCAGGCCCGCAGCAGCCGAAGCACCTTGGCCCTTCCCAGCAGATCCCATTGACTCAAGCATTAGGCGCTCATCCCGGCCCAACTCCCCACGGAATCCCCCCTCATGTCCTGCAGCAGCGGCATCTGCAGCAGTCCGCGCAGCCTCCGGTGCAGGCGCAGCAGAGGGCGGTGCAACGACAGCAACAGACGCTGCTCACCCAGCCGCAGCAGCAGGGGCCTCTTTCGCAGCCTCAGCATATGCCGAAGCAGCAGCCGTTGTCGCAGCAGCAGCATAAGCAACTGAAGCATGAGCACGCAGCGCAGTCCATGCAGCCGAAGCAGCAGGGTCCGCCGCAGATGCAAGCCATGGCTCAGCAGATGCAGCCGCAGCTGCAGGCGCAGTTGCTGCAGCGGCAGCAGCAGCAGCAGCAGCAACAGCCGCAGGATCAAAGGCGGCAGCCGCCGTTACACCAGCAGGTTCCGCCTCATGCGCTCCAACAGCAAGGCATGCACCCAGGCCAGCCCATGCACCAGCAACAGCGGCAGGTGCAGCAGTCCCCAGCGTTGGCGCCACGGCAGCAGCTGATGATGGCCCAGCAGCAGCAACAGCAGCAGCAGCACGTGCCTTCAGGACTCATGCAGCCGCAGCAGCCGCCGCAGTTGCAGCAGCAGCATCAACAGCAGGCGGGAGTCGCAGCACAGAAGCATCAACAGCATCAGCAGCATCAGCAGCAGCATCCGAGGCCCTTAGGCCAGATTCCCGCTCAGCAGCAGGTACTAATGGGACAGCAGCAGGCAGCAGCGCACGGGCAGAAGCCGGTGCAGCAGCAGGGTGTGTTGATGCAGCAGCCGGGTATGGGGCAGCAGAGACAGCTGAAGCCACAGCAACCGGCAGTGCATGCAGTGCAGACTGGTGCACAGCATCCCGTGCCAGTAGCGCAGCAGCCGCAGCAGCATCATCCGCAGCAGCAGCAGCAGCAACAACATCATCATCAGCAGCAGCCGCAGCAGCACCAACAGCAACAACAGCAGCAGCAGCAACAACAGCAACAGCAACAGCAACAGCAACAACAGCAACAGCAACAGCAACAACAGCAGCAGCAGCAGCAACAGCAACAGCAACAGCAGCAGCAGCAGGGCGGTAAACTGACAACAAATGACGCGTTGGCGTATCTGAAGGCTGTGAAGGAACGGTTTCGAGACGAGAAGGACAAATACGATGAGTTCCTGGATGTCATGAAGAACTTCAAGGCACAGCTGTGAGTCCCGCACTTGCTAGTTTGCATGCCATTTATAAATCGCATGATTGCAATCACTCTTGCCTGCGCCCTCACCTTCCCACTTCGCCTTTTCTTTCCCTCACTCTTCTCTCATTCCTGCTCTCGTAAGTCTTTGCTCCTCTCTCAACCCCCCCTCAGGCTGTCCCTGTCCCCACTTTTTCACACCTTTTTGTTCTTTCCATCTACTGTTTTTCGTGTGCCAGGATCGACACAGCAGGAGTGATAGCGCGCGTGAAAGAGCTCTTTGTGGGGCACAGGCAGCTCATTCTCGGCTTCAACACCTTCCTGCCCAAGGGCTACGAAATCACCCTCCCCCCCGAACCCACAACTCCAGTCCCCGCCCCCGCGCCCGCACCTCCGCCTCAGCCTCGGTCCGCGCCTCCTGCGGTGGCTCGGCCGCCCATCACCCCATCCGGACCTGCAGGGCCCATGCCGGTTGCTCCTGCTGGTGGGATTCCCCTTGGGCCTGGAGCAACCAGTGCAGCACCTCCCCATGCAGCATTGGCAGTGCCGCATGGGGGTGCTGGGGGTGGGACTGTAGCAGCCACGCGCACCCCGCCCCTCCCTGTAGCGCCAGTGGGAGCAGGCACAGGCGCAGGAGCAGGAGCAGCAGCGGTTGCTCCTGGTGCAGGTCACGCTGGGGGAGGTGCACCTGCCGCCGCTGCTGTGGCTGTGCCTGGTAGTGGTGCTGCTGCTGTTGCTCCTAGTGCGGCCGGTGCTCCTGGCGGTGCTGGTGCTGGCGGTGCTGGTGCTGGCGCTGGTGCTGGTGCGGGTGCTCCTGCTGGTGCTGCTGCGGCTGGGCCTGCAGCAGCAGCGGGAGGAGCAGGAGGAGCAGCGGGGGCGGCAGTGGCGCCAGCTGCTCGGAGCAAGATGGTGGAGTTTGACCAGGCTATCAGCTATGTCAATAAGATTAAGGTGGGTACAGTGCAACCCTTCCAAGACCAGTGTTTTGAGTCGACTTAAAACAAATGCACCAGTCACTCAGAGCAAGATGGTGGAGTTTGACCAGGCAATCAACTATGCCAACAAAATTAAGGTACGACAACTACGCCAACACCAATGTCAATGCCAACTCTAGTCACAGCTGATAGGAATACGTGGGCCTTCGCATAATTGCTGCCTTTTTATCTGCTGTGATTCCTCGTTTTGCATGTTGATGCCATGTCAGTCGGTCTTTAAGCCGATTGGATTACCCACGCTCGGATGTCGAGCTCTTTCTCTTGTCTTTACCGTGCGCTTCTCTCTCTGGCCCTCTCCTCTCTCTCTGGCTCTCTCCTCTCTCTCCTCTCTCTCTGGCTCTCTCCTCTCTCTCCTCTCTCTCTGGCCCTCTCCTCTCTCTCCTCTCTCTCTGCCTCTCTCCTCTCTCTCTCCTCTCTCTCTGCCTCTCTCCTCTCTCTGTGGCCCTCTCCCCTCTCTCTGGCTCTCTCCTCTCTCTCCTCTCTCTCTGGCTCTCTCTGGCTCTCTCCTCTCTCTCCTCCAGGCCCGCTTCGCGGACGACGAGTCGGTGTACAAGAGCTTTTTAGAGATCCTCAACATGTACCGCAAGGGCAACAACAACATCGGAGACGTCTATAAGGAGGTCAGTGGTGGTTGCGCTGTGTTGTCTCTGTGCAACGAGCTCACCTTCTTCCTGCCAGAGTGACTTTTGAGTCGCCTCAAAATTCACCTTGTCTACAAGGTCAGTGGTTGTTGCGCTGTGTTGTCTCTGTGCAACGAGCTCACCTTCTTCCTGCCGGACTCTGCTGCTGCTGGTCGTACATCAATTGACTTGAACGAATTTCTTGCATCTTTCTTTCGTCCCTACCCCATGCGCACCCGCTCCCTTCAGGTGGCAACCCCATTCAAGGACCACTCGGACCTGCTGGAGGAGTTCACCTTCTTCCTGCCGGACTCTGCTGCTGCTCGTCATGCATCAATTGACTTGATCCAATTCCTTGCGTCTTTCGTCCCTTCCCCATGCGCACCCACTCCCTTCAGGTGGCCACGCTGTTCAAGGACCACTCGGACCTACTAGAGGAGTTCACCTTCTTCCTGCCCGACTCTGCTGCCAGTCACTTACCCCAGTGGCGTGGGGTGGGCCCGCCCCCCCCTGGAACTGTTGCTGCTGGCGGTGGTGCTGCTGCAGGTGTTGCTGCTGCAGGGGCAGCAGCAGGCGCAGCAGGAGTGGCAGGGGCGGCAGTGGCAGCAGGAGCGCGGCCGGGTGCAGCAGCTGCTGGTACAGCTGGCGCTGCTCCTGGGGCTGCTGGTGCCGCTACAGCCGCTGCTGCCGCTGGTGGAGCTGCGGCTGGTGGCCGGGCAGAGAAGGCCAAGGTGTGTTTGGTTGCAGGCTGTAGCGTCTATTTTGTTTCTTGTTTACTCATGTGCGTGCCTTAAGATCTGCTCTGTTCTTCTGATCTTATCTTGAGGCCCTCAAGTTGAGGGTCTCAGAGCCTTCTCACCTTACGTCTTTAAGACTCCCTACCTAGTCAATGATTCGATCCTGTGTTCCTCCTCTTGCTTGCAAGTTTTCTTGCTCTGCAGTGGCATCTCTGGCTGCTTCTGCTGTTGTGTGGTGGCGGTGATGGCTCACCGAGGTCCCTTCCAGCTAAATGCTATCCAGCCCTCCTGTCCTTACAAGACTGCCTCCTGCGTTTCTTGACTCTGATGTGCAGAGGGAGAAGGATGGGGACCATCCAGAGAGAAGGAGGAAGGGGGCAGAGGGGCGGGGCAAGGAGAAAGACGCCGAGGGCCGCGGGAAGGTGAAGGAGGAGGTAGAGGAAGACGCATCAGCACACCATCCGAGGCGACTGCAGCAGCAGCAGCATGTGGACTCCTCTCATCCGCATGTGCACCCCGCACACCAAGCAGCGGGGCTAGGAGTGGGAGGGGTGCAGCAGGCTGGGGAGGAGGGCTCTCACAGAAAGCAGCCTCTGCTGCTGGACCTGCAGAAACCCCCCCGAGATGCAGAGATGCAGGTGGAGGAGAAACGGGTTGGGCTGGTGCCGCCACAGCTGCACCCGCAGCCGATGCAGGTGGATGGGACTGGGAAGGAGGGGCATGGGGAGTGGGGGCAGCAGCAGCAGGAGGAGCGGGAGGGAGGGGCGCATCCTGTGGTGCAGCCGCCGCAGCAGGCGCAGCAGGGGCCGAAGCGGAAGGGGCGGAAGGGGGAGGAGGGAGGGAAGAAGAAGGAGCTTGCGGGAGCGGCAGGGGAGGGTGCAGGAGCGGACGAGAGGAAAGGGAGCAGGGGTGAGTGGGGCTAGTAGGATTTATGGGCAGGGATGTTAGTGCGGGGTCGAATTAAGGGGTTGGGCTGGTATGGTTTCACGAGTCTCTGTCAATGCCTAACTTTCTCTCTCCCTCCCACTTGCCTCCTTCTTCCTCCCTTCCTCTCGCTCCTCACTATCTTCCTCCGTTCCTTGTTTTTCTATCCCTCTCACTTTCTTCCCCTACCTCCCCTTCCTCCCCTTCCCCCCCCCCAGCCCTGGGCATGCACAGGGAGTTGGCGTTTTTCGAGAGGGTGAAGGCGAGGGTGCGCAGCAGGGAGGTGTATCAGGAGTTCCTCAAGTGCCTCAACATCTTCTCCCAGGAGATCATCGCCCGCGCTGAGCTGCAGAGCCTCGTGGGGGACATCCTCGCCAAACACCCCGACCTTGTCGAGGGCTTTAATGAGTTTCTGGCTCGATGCGAAAATCTAGGTGCGCCTTTGAATAGCATTTGGGAAGTGTTTTTTTAGGCGCGCCTAGTTGCTTACTCTTATGTAGCATACATATATCAGGGTTCTTACAGATGCGCGTGCAGATTCTTACATGACTGTCTGGTGTGCACGTGTGCCGGCTGGTGTTTTCACTCGCTTTCAGACTTTGAGACATTGGAGTCGGCAGGAGGAGGGCCAGGGGTGAAGGTGGAGGAGGAGGAGCGGAAGGACGGCGGGGAGAAGGATAGGGAGCATGAGAGAGTGGAGACTAAGGAGAGGGAGAGGAAAGAGGTGGGGGAGCGTGAGAAGGAGGGAGTGAGGAAGAAGGAGAGGGAGAGAGAGCGAGGGAAGGACCATGGGCATGTGGAGAAGGAGGTAGAGGAGCGAGAGAGGGAGGAGAGGGAGAGGGAAGAGAGAGAACGAGAGGAGAAGGAGCGGATTAAGGAGAGGGAGAGGGAGGAGCGGGAGAGGGAACGGGAGAGGGAGCGGGAGAGGGAGAAGGAGAGGGAGAGGGAGGCGAGAGAACGGGAGCGGGAAGCAAGGGAGAAGGAGAAGGAGAAAGAGCGAGCAGCGGCAGCAGCAGCAGCGGCGGCGGCGGCGGCGGCGGCGGCGGCAGCGGGCAAGTCAGTTGTAGCGAGGAAGGAGCAAGTGCAGTATAAGTCCATCTGTGAAATGGACCTGTCGGCGGCAGAGCGCTGCTCCCCCAGCTACCGCCTCCTCCCTAAACCAGTGAGTTGCCTTTCACACAAATGCGATGGGCCCCGTGTCATGCCATCGCAAAGAGCTAGGGATGAAGGTGCTGAACGATGTGTGATGTCTCAACCGAAATGCACTTCCCCTCCCCCTCTCCCCCCCTCCCCCCCCTCCTCCCCTCCCACTGCACGGAGCTGGATGAAGGTGCTGAACGATGTGTAATGTCTCACCCATTATGCACTTCCCCTCCCCCCCTCCCCCCCTCCCATCGCACGGAGCTGGGAATGAAGGTGCTCAACGACGTGTGGTGTCTCCCCCAACCACCACTTCCTCTCCCTGTCGCCCCATCCCTCCCCCTTGTCCCCCCCTTTTCCCCCCTCTGCTGCAGCAAATGCGCCCCGTGTCGTGCCATCGCAAGGAGCTGGGAATGAAGGCGCTCATTCACGTGTGGGTGTCTTCCCCAATCTTCTCTTTCACCCCCCCTTCACCCCTCCTCTCGCCCCTTGATTGCAGCAAATGCGCCCCGTGTCGTGCCACCGCACGGAGTTGGGAATGAAGGTGCTCAACGACGTGTGGGTGTCAGTGACGTCAGGCAGTGAGGATTACTCCTTCACTCTCCCACCCTCTCTTCTGCCCTCCCCCCTCCCTCTCCTCTTGCAGCAAATGCGCCTTGTGTCGTGCCATCGCACGGAGCTGGGAATGAAGGTGCTCAACGACGTGTGGGTGTCCTCCACCTCTCTCCTCCCCTCTTCCCCCTGCCTCCAACCCCCTTTCTTCCTCTTGCAGCAAATGCGTCCCGTATCGTGCCACCGCACAGAGCTGGGAATGAAGGTGCTGAACGACGTGTGGGTGTCGGTGACGTCAGGCAGTGAGGACTACTCGTTCACGCACATGCGCAAGAACCAGTACGAGGAGTCTCTCTTCCGCTGCGAGGACGACCGGTGAGTGCCTCACGGATGCGCACCCAGCCCCACCCAGCTCCACCCCTGCACATCCAGCCCCATCCAGCCCCACCCATGCCCACGCCTCCCTCCCGCCACCTGTCCGCACTACTCCTTCACGCACATGTGCAAGAACCAGAACGAGGAGTTGCTGTTTCGCTGCGAGGATGACCGGTGAGTTGCACCCATGCCCACGTGAGTGTTTCTTGAGTCTGTTTGACAGCAAAACTTGGGCATTTCTTGAATCAGTTGCTCCTATCCCCCACCACACCACCCAGCACCCTCCCCCCCTTGTCCCTTACTCCTTATCATCCTCCCGCAGCTTCGAGCTGGACATGCTGCTGGAGTCCACGGCAGTGACAGCTGTACTTTACCCCTTCCCCCCCTCCCCCTCGTCCTCCCTGCCGTTTTCCGTGCACTTCCCCCTTGCGTGCCCCCCCTGCCCTCTATCGCCCTCCTGCAGCTTCGAGCTGGACATGCTGGATTCTACAGCAGTGACAGCAATACTTGACTCATCTCCGCTCATCCCCACCGTCCCCCCCTTTTCCCCTGTCTCCCCTTGGTCTCCATCGCCCACGCGCAGTTTCGAGCTGGACATGCTGCTGGAGTCCACGGCAGTGACAGCACGGCGAGTGCAGGAGGTGATCGACCGCATGCACGGCATGACTGACGCTGAGCGGAGTGGCTTCCGGGTGGAAGAGAGCCTCACAGGTGAACGAGATGGGGACTTTAACAAGTGACAGGGGACTCGTTGAAGGGCGAGTGCAGGAGGTGATTGATCACATGCACGGCATGACCGACGCTGAGCAGAGCGGCTTCAGGGTGGAGGAGAAGTTGAGGGGTGAGAGGGGCAAGGAGGGGTGAAGTTTGATTGAAACGGGGTGGGGAGGGACCTTGTTCAAGGGCGAGTGCAGGAGGTGATTGACTGCATGCGCACGCCCACACTCCCACCCCCTAACCCCCACGCGCCCGACGCCTACCCCCTTATCCCGCCCAGCCATCAACATGAGGTGCATAGAGCGCATATACGGCGACCACAGGCTGGATATCCAAGAGCTGGTCAAAGGCACACCAGTGTGCATCTTGGTTCAACCGGGTCATTCCCTGACTCCCGCCCCTCTCTCTCTCCCCCATACCCCCCCAGCCATCAACATGCGGTGCATTGAGCGCATATACGGCGACCATGGGCTGGACATTCAAGAGCTAGTCAAGCGGACCCTGCTTCAACCGGATATTTTCCCCTTCTGCTCCCCTCCCCCCCACCCAGCCATCAACATGCGGTGCATAGTGCGCATATACAGCGACCATGGGCTGGACATCCTACAGTTGGTCTAGTGCACCCTGCTTCACTCGCTCCCCTGTGTCCCCATTTCTCCCGTACCCACCCAGCCATCAACATGCGGTGCATAGAGCGCATATACGGCGACCACGGGCTGGACATTCAAGAGCTGGTCAAGCACACACAACCTGGCTCAACCTGATTCTCCCCATGCCCCTTCTGCTCCCCTCTCCAACACCCCCTCCCCCATGCAGCCATCAACATGCGGTGCATCGAGCGCATATACGGCGACCACGGGCTGGACATTCAAGAGCTGGTCAAGCGCACGCCAGCGGTGGCGCTGCCGGTGGTGCTGCAGCGGCTGAAGCAGAAGCAGGAGGAGTGGGTGCGGTGCCGGGTGGAGATGAACCGCGTGTGGGCGGACGTGTATGCCAAGAACTACGCCAAGTCGCTGGACCACCGCAGCTTCTACTTCAAGCAGCAGGACAAGAAGAGCCTCAGCATGAAAGGTGCGTGTAAGGGGGGGCGGAGGGGGCGTGGGTGGTGGGAGGATGGGCGTTTGGCTGACTCAGATGCAGGGAGAGAGTGCGGCAGCATGGAAAGTGAGAGGAGAAGCAGGTGAGAGGAGAAGCAGGTGAGATGGGAAGCAGGTGAGATGGGAAGCAGGTGAGATGGGAAGCAGGTGAGATGGGAAGCAGGTGAGTGGGTGGGAGGTGAAGCAGGAGGAGTGGGTGCGGTGCCGGGCGGAGATGAACCGCGTGTGGGCGGACGTGTATGCCAAGAACTACGCCAAGTCGCTGGACCACCGAAGCTTCTACTTCAAGCAGCAGGACAAGAAGAGCCTCAGCATGAAAGGTGCGTGCGGGGGAGTGGGGTGAGAGGGGGGTGAGGGAGGGGCGTGGCTGGTGGGAGGATGGGCGTTTGGCTGACTCAGATGCGGGGAGAGAGTGCGGCAGAATGGCAGGTGAGAGAGGAGAAGCAGGTGAGTGGGTGGGAGCAGAAGCAAGAGGAGTGGGTGCGGTGCCGCGTGGAGATGAACCGCGTGTGGGCGGACGTGTATGCCAAGAACTACGCCAAGTCGCTGGACCACCTCAGCTTCTACTTTAAACAGCAGGACAAGAAGAGCCTCAGCATGAAAGGTGCGTGAGGGGGAGGAAGGAGGGGTCGTGCCTGGTGGAAGGGTGGCTGTTTAGCTGCTTTATATGCAGTGAGGGCGGGAGCATGGAAGGTCGGAAGCATGGAAGGTTTACACCCCCCCCTCTCCCCCTCTCCCCCCCCGCACACCCACAGGTCTACTGTCTGAAATTCGGGAGTTGAACGAGCAGAAGCGCAAGCAAGACGAGGTGGTGGCGGTAGTGGCACTAGCTGTTCCCACACGCCCCTTTCATTTATCTTCGCCCCCTTCCCCACCTCCCCCCCCCCAACAGGTCTGTTGTCGGAGATTCGGGAGTCGAACGAGCAGAAGCACAAGCAGGACGAGGTGGTGGCGGCAGTGGCACTAGCTGTTCCCACACGCACCTTTCATTCACACCCCCCCCTCCTCTCCTCCCTCCTCCAACCCCCCCCCCCCCCCCCCCCACCACAGGTCTGCTGTCTGAAATTCGGGAGCTGAACGAGCAGAAGCACAAGCAGGACGAGGTGGTGGCGGCACTAGCTGTCCCCACACGCCGCCCGCTCATCCCGGATGTCCGGATGGCATACAATGACGCCGCCATCCACGAGGATCTCCACGAAATCATTAAATTCTCAACAGAGGAAGTGTGCAACTCGCCAGAGCAGTCTGCTAGGGTTATGAAGCTCTGGACGGGTTTTATTGAGATGTTTTTGAATGTGCCCGCGGTCTGGTCGAAAGTTGTTGCCGAGGAGAAAGCTGCCCGGGACGCGGAGATTGCTGCCCGAGAAGCTGCGAGGGCTGCCCGGGGGGGGCGTGAGGGGGAGTGGAATGGAGAGGTTGGTGGGGGAGAGGGGGAGGGGGAGGGGAGGGAGAGGAGTAGAGAGAAGGGCAGAGGAGGGGAGGAGAGGAAGCGGGAGAGGCAAAGTGGGGAGGCAGAGGGGCAGAGGAAGAGAGGGAGGCATGAGGGGGAGGGTGATGGGGCGGGGGGTATTAGTGAGGGGCAGAGATCAGGGGGTAGGGAGGCGGGGTGGGATGGGCTGGAAGAGGGCGAATTCAATCCTGGGGGAAAGGCGTCAGAGGGAGCAGGAGGGGGAGAGGAAGAAGAGCCTCATGTGGTGAGGAAGAGCAGAAGCAGCTTGGTGCACGTGGGTGGAGGGGGCGGGGGCGGAAATGGGGGAGGAGCAGGGGCGGGAGGGATGGTGAATGGGGCAGCGCTGGGGGGAGCAGCAGGGAAAGGCAAGGATGCTAGTTCACGAGCTGCCGCTGCTGCTGCTGCTGCTGCTGCTGCTTCGGCTGCTGCTGCTGCAGCAGCAGCAAAGAGGAGGAAGAGGGGGAGGAGGGAGAGGGAGGAGGGGGAGGATGAGAGTGTGAGGTCGGAGGGGTCTAGTGCGGGCGAGTCTGATAGTGGGGGCGATGAGAGGAGGAGGCAGAGGCGGAGGAGGAGAGAGAGTGAGGGGCGTGAGGATGAGGAGGGGAGAGGGGAGGAGGAGGAAGACGAGGAGGAGGCAGAGGATAGGGAAAGCGGGGGGGAGATGGGGGAGGAGGGTGGGGCGGGAGACGAGGAGGAGGAGGATGAAGAGGAGGAAGGGGCGAGGGGGTGGATATCGGGGCTGGGACCCAAGGAGAGGCGGTACAGAGGGGGGAAGAAGTGGGGGAAGCATTGGTACAAGGCGTGTCGCCCTGTGGTGGCTCATAGGGATTCGTTTGAAGCAGCTCGTTTGGAGCTTCGTGGTATACTAGCTGGTGGTATACCACCCGCTGGTGTGCCTCTGCTGCTCCCTGCTGCTGCAGGAGAGGGTGTGGGGCGCAAAGGGGGGGATAGTGGGAATGGGAGGAGGGGAGAGAATGGTGCTGGTGGGATGGGAGAGGGCGGGAGGGTGAGGAAGGGGAAGGGGCGAGCAGAGGCAGGGGGAGACGAGGAGGGCAAGGAGGGGAGGGAGAGGGAGGAGAAGGAGGAGAGGGAGAAGGAGAGGGAGAGGGAACGAGAAAGAGAGTTGTCTGAGGAGCTGTGGGGAAGAGCGCAGGCAGAGGCAGGGGCGAGCAGAGTGATGTATGGCAACGACAGCATGTACATGCTCTTCCGATTGCACCATGTGAGTAATCATCTGTTCCCGAGGCGGTTCTTGGAAGTGAGTGATCGTGAGTCCTTGAGGTGCTTCTTAGAAGGGGCGATCAGAGTGATGTATGGCAACGACAGCATGTACATGCTCTTCAGGTTACACCATGTGAGTAACAGCGAGTCATGCCATGTTGAGTAGTATGTACAGTTGTGCTTCTTGCACGAGATGACTGTGTGGCTTGAAGGAAAGGTGTTAGTAAATTCCGTGGCTGCAATCGACCTGTCACATTCCGTCACATTCCGACTCGGAGACTTTGGCTGGAAAGATTTCAGCGTCTCTTCGACCAGCTTTTGATCGAATGGAGTGGGTTAAGGCTGTGACCGCAGATTATAAGACATGGGTAACCCTGCTGGGAGGTAGCACGGTAGCACTGTGACTTACCCATGTCTATGATTCTGCAGTCACAGCCTTAACCCACTCCGCTCGATCATAAGCTGGTCGAAGAGGCGCTGGAATCTTTCCAGCCACAGTCTCCCAGTCGAATTGTGGAGGCATTTATGGCAGTGTGGCAGCAATCGACCTATCACATTCCGTCTTTCATCATCTCACCACCTGTCTTTCATCATCTCACCACCTGTTCTCCTGCCTCTCTCCCTCACCTCCTTTCTGCGCCCCTCTCCACCACCAGACGCTTTACGAGCACATTCTGAGTGCCAAGGTGAATGCGCGGGCATCAGAGGAGAAGTACCGTGCACTCAACCACTCCGACTCACCTCTCTCCCTCACCTCTGCACCCTTCTCTCTCCCCTCCCTTCCCCCCCTCCCCTTCCACCCCCCCTGTCACCAGACGCTGTACGAGCGCATTCTGAGTGCCAAGGTGAATGCGCGTGCATCAGAGGAGAAGTACCGTGCACTCAACCACTCCGACCCACCCGACCTCTACGCCAAGTGAGTGTCTCTGCACCAAGCAAGCGTCTCTGCACCACTCGAACCTTTGAGTTTCACACGTCACAAAGACTGGAGAAGTACCGTGCGCTCAACCACTCCGACCCGCCTGACCTCTACGCCAAGTGAGTTTCTGTCACTTGTACTGCTTTGGGGAGTTTGCGTAAGTTCCAGGTGCAAGTCTTGCAAGTACCAACTTTTCAACAGAAACTCTTCTTGGACGCCTCAGGAACAGACTTCGCAACCTGCTGGATGGGCAGAGAAGGGCACGTGGTGTGCTGCGCGTGCGCTAACTGTTGACTTTCTTGATTTCTTCCTTTGACCAAGCAGGTTCTTAGAGGTGCTATACAACCTGCTGGACGGGCAGAGAAGGGTACATTGTGTGGTGTGTGCTCTAACTGATGACTTTCCTGACTTTCTTGACTTCTCTCATCACCTGAGCAGGTTCCTGGAGGTGCTGTACAACCTGCAGAAGGGGCAGAGCTGGATGCAGTGGTTCTATTTAAAGACTGTGTTCTCAAGCCTGTGTTCCCCCATTTCTCTCATTCACTGGCCAGGTTCCTGGAGGTGCTGTACAACCTGCTGGACGGGCAGATCGACAACACCCGGTTTGAGGATGAGTGCCGTGCTGCCATCGGCACCCAGTCCTACGTGCTGTTCACCATTGATAAGCTCATCTACCGCCTCGTCAAGCAGGTGAGTTGCCGCACCTCATGTCACCCTCCCGTGCCACTCTCCCGTGCCACTCTCCCGTCACCATCTTCCCATCGGCACCCCGTGTGTGCATGATTTACTGGATCGTTCGCTCATGCCATCATCTCTCCCACCCCATTCTGCTCTCTCGACACCCCCCCTTTCCTCCTCTCTCTCATCAACAGCTGCAGACGTGTGCGGGGGACGAGGTGGGGGCGAAGCTGCAGCAGCTGCACGACTACGAGGTGGCCAAGGGGGCGCGCGGCTATGTGGACCTCGTGTATCAGGCTGCTCCCTCATGCCAATCTTCCTTGACTCCCGCCCCTCTCTCTCTCTCGTGTTTCCCCTTGTTCTCTTCCCTGCTTCTCTCTTCCCCCTTCCCTCCCTTCCCCCCTCTTCCCTTCGCCCTCTCCTCTCTCTTCCCAACAGCTGCAGGCGTGTGCGGGGGACGAGGTGGGGGCGAAGCTGCAGCAGCTGCATGATTACATGATTCACAGTAGTCGCTCGCTTGTGTCATCATCTCCCCCACTCCATCCCCCCTTCTCGACCACCCCCCTCCTCTCTCCCACTACAGCTACAAGCGTGTGCGGGGGACGAGGTGGGGGCGAAGCTGCAGCAGCTGCACGACTACGAGGTGGCCAAGGGGGCGCGCGGCTATGTGGACCTCGTTTACCAGGCCAACGCGTGTGCGCTCATGCATGACGACTCCCTCTATAGGATCGAGCTGGTGAGTGAAGGAGGGGCATCACTTTGCCGGTGGGTGAGGGATGGGTGTTAGAAGGCTGCTGCCAAGGGGGGCACGCGGCTTTGTGAACCTGGTCTATCAGGCCAACGCGTGTGCGCTCATGCACGACGACTCGCTGTACCGGATCGAGCTGGCGAGTGCAGGAAGGGCAGCGGGAGGGATGATGTAAGGCTATTTGAGGGGCGCGTGGCTATGTGGACCTCATGTATCAGGCGAACGCGTGTGCACTCATGCACGACGACTCTCCCCCTCTACTTCCCTCTCTGCAGCTAGAGCAGCAGCCACGCGAGGGGGAGATGATGGTGCAGCTGATGGAGAGCATAATTGACCCCACCAATCTCACCCACTGCATCCATCCACGAGCTAATAAGCCCGATTTCTTCCCCACTCCCTCTCTTCTCCCCCACTCCCCCCTTCCCTTCCAAACCGCAGCTGGCGCAAAAACCAGGCGAGGGGGAGATGACGGTGCAGCTGATGGAGGGCTGGCCGGAGAAGGTGGAGGTGCCGGCAGCACCACCCTCTCCTGTCTCGTGTTTCAAACCCCACCTCTCCACTCCCTTACTTCCTGCTTTTTCCCCCATCACAGTTAGCACAGCAACCAGGCGAGGGCAAGATGACAGTGCAGCTGCTTCTTCCCCCATCACAGTTAGCACAACAACCAGGCGAGGGCGAGATGACAGTGCAGCTGCTTCTTCCCCCATCACAGTTAGCAACACTCTCTCCCTTACCCTCTCTCATCCTGCACCCTCCCTTCCCACTTCTTCCCCCCACTGCAGCTAGCGCAACAGCCAGGCGAGGGCGAGATGACGGTGCAGCTGATGGAGGGCGGGCCGGAGAAGGTGGAGGTGCCGGCAGCAGCCATGGATTCCGCCTTCCTGCACTACCTCTGGCACTTCCTGCACTCGCCTCCCTCCCACGCACCCGCGCGTGGTCATGTGTTCCTCGCCAGGTATGGGCTTGTCTCTCTCTCTTGTCTGCATGGGGTGGGTTCCATGAGTGTCCCATGTGGTGCCGGCAGCAGCCATGGAGGCTGCCTTCCCACACTACCTCTGGCACTTCCTGCACTCGCCGCCCTCCCATTCCCCTGCTCGTGGTCAAGTGTTCCTCTCCAGGTATGCGCTGCACTCCTGCCCTCCTCTTTCGCCCTCCTTTCGTCCCGCCGCTCTACCTCTGGCACTTTCTGCATTCCCCGCCCTACCTTGCACCGAGCCGCATCCATGCCTTCCTTGCCAGGCATGCACTGCTGCCTTGCGCTGCATTCCTGCGCTTCTCTCTTGCCCCACACTCTCTTGCCACTGCTTCTTCAGATGTTGCCATGTCTTTTGAGGCGCCTCAAAAGCCAGGCTTGCACCACTGCTTGTGTGCCCTCCTCTCTTGCCCCACACTCTCTTGCCACTGCGTCCTCAGATGTTGCCAATGGCTGTGCGTGCGCTGTGATATGTGTGCACTTTCCAATGCGTGAGCATCACCAGGAACGTGAGAAAGGCATCATCGTCTTCATCCTCAGCAGCAGCAGCAGCAGCAGCAAAGAGGGGGCGCAGCAAGGAGGACGAGGAGAGGGCAGCGCTGGAGAGTGTGCTTATAGTGAACGGCCTCGAGTGCAAGCTCTCCTGTGTCACCTCCAAGGTAAACCCTAACACCTCCCCCCATCTCCCCTCCTGGTGTGCTTTAAGTCGACTTAAAAGTGCGCTCTGAGTCAAAACACGCCTCGAGTGCAAGCTCTCCTGTGTCACCTCCAAGGTAACCCCGCATCACCCTTATCCTGTTCTCTCTCTCGCATCTGAACATCCTGCTTAGGTTGTTACCCTGGGCGAGCCCTTCTCACTCATTATTTCCATTACCGACCCTCAAGGTGCCTAAATAATCGTACGACTCCCCAACTCATCCGATCTTCATCCTACCAGGTGTCTTATGTCCCTGGTAGTGACACGGAGGACTACCTGTTCCGCCACAAGAAGCACCGCCGACCCAGGAGTGCATCCCAGGCACTGGCTCTTGCCTGCAATGCCTGACCTCTTTCGTAATCCCTTGCCTCCCCAACTCGCTATACTATTTACACCCCATCCAGGTGTCCTATGTACTAGACACGGAGGACTATCTGTTCCGCCACAAGAGGCACCGCCGGCCCAGGAGTGCTTCCCAGGCACCAGCGCTGCCGCACAAGGCCCAGGGGACAGCTGGCACGCAGGGATTGGCCGAGCGCTCGCACCGAGCGGCAAGGCGGTTACGGCGTTACCAGCAGTGGATTTCGGCAGGCGTGCCCCCGCCCTCCTCATGATGGGTTTTTTCCGATTAAGTTAAACGGGCAGCTCGAGCAAAGCTGTAAGTGCTGCTGCTGCTATTGTGTGATTTGATCATGTGTAGAACCCCCTTCGCTCCTCTCGAAAAAACTTTATTTGCGTAAGGGTATGGAGGTGAAAGTGCTGGTGCTGTTTCTTGCTGTGGTCTTGCTTTTAAGAATTTGCCAGCGGCTCTGTTTCCTTCTGTGTTGCCCGCGCTGTTTCCTTCTGTGCTGCCCGCTCTGTTTCCTTCTGTGCTGCCTGCGCTGTTCACCTTGCTTGCACTCTGTGCTCTTCAGTATTTTCTTGAAACCATTTGATTTGACCCTTTTTCGTTCCATGCCCTCCTTCCCTCCATCTTTGTGAACAGTGTGCCATGCAGAGCTCTCCTTGCTGGTGCTCTTAGGCGGGCATTAGGCTGCGTGGTGTTTAGATTCTAGAGTAATATGTGGATGTTCGTTATCCTGTATATGTGGGATGAGCGCTAAGGAGGTCTCCCTCCCTTCATGGCCACAGCATTTTGTGGCCCCAAGTTACCGTTCCGCATGTCCCTGGCAGCACTATTTTTTTTTTTATGTTGAATGCTGACCTGCCCTTGTGAGAGTTTTATTGCATTGTGTTCCGCAGACATAACCTGAATGCAGTGCGCTTAGGAAGGGAATGAATATGAAAAGAGAGGGGCGTCAGTTCACAATAAAGAATGGTGAAACTCGGCTGTACACGAATCAGCCAATATCGAACCCGCACAAAACTTCAGTTCTCCCGCAGTTGCACTTTGTTTACCCAGGGAGACGTCAACTGTCTCGTTTTCGGATAGTCTTTCGGGAGACTGCAGGCACACTTCCTCAACGTTCGCTGCTTACTGTCGCACGGAGCAGCAACGAAGAACCCCTTCCTTCTCGCGTCACTTCGTTCCCTCTCCCCCCCGGTTCTCGCGCCTCCTCTCCCCCGTCGTTCGCGCCAATGGCGGCGGCGGCGGCGTCCGCGGCGCTGGGCGATCTGCTGCTGCTGCAGGGGCAGGCGAAGCGCGACCCGGAGGGGTACCGTGAGGAGTTCGAGCGGCAGCACCGGCACTACCGCGCGCTGCTCGCCGTGTTCTCGTTAAAGCCCCACGCGGAGAGCAAGGAATTCGGCGACCTCGTCATGTTCCTCGCGCAGGTGGGCTTTAAGTCGCTCCTTCGAGCGACTTAAAGGCTGCTACAGCCGATATAGCACTGGCGCTAGAGCACCGCTGCTGCTGCGCGCCGGTGGCCGTGTTGCTCTTTGACCCGGAAGCTGAAACAAGGAGTTATTCACTTTTGAGAATTTGAAGAGGGGATTTTGTAGTATTCTTTGCGCGCGGGGAAGGAGTGAGATTGAAGGTTAGGTTCAAAGAGCAGCTACGGTAGAGGTTTTTGGTTTCGGGTGAGGGTTTTCACCCTGTCTGCGAGGGTTAGGGTCGGGGTTAGGGTTAGTGTTTAGTTATTTACAAATTTAGGTTTTTCGTCTGCGAGGTATATGCTTGGTCCGCTCCGCATCAGTCCGTTTATGTTCTGAACCTTCAATCTCAAAACCTCTCCTTAAACCCTTAACCCCGAAGCCCTGTGGGTCCTTCCCCCTTTGCCCGCCTTGTCGTCTCCCCCAGCCCCTCTCACCACCCCCTTCCCAGCTCGCGCCCTTCTACCGCAGCACCATGGGCGGGTTCCCAGGCGAGGTGATGGGGCTGCTACAGTGCACACGCGCATGAAACCCCCATTTTCACCTGTTCTCCTGCCTTCTCCCCTTCTTTTTGTCCCCTCGATTTCCCCCCAGCTCGCCCCCTTCTACCGCAGCGCCATGGGAGGGTTCCCGGGGGAGGTGATGGGGCTGCTGCAGTGCACACGCGCTTATACTGTTCCAACTTCTTCCTGTTCTGCCCTTCCTTTCTCCGCTTCTCCCCCCTCCCACCCCCCCAGCTCGCGCCCTTCTACCGCAGCACTATGGGGGGGTTCCCAGGCGAGGTGATGGGGCTGCTGCAGTGCACACGCGCTAACAGTATTGCGCTCTGGACATCCCCATCTTGTCCCCCCTTTTTCTCCCCTTCCCAACCCTTTCCTCTCCCCCCAGCTCGCCCCCTTCTACCGCAGCGCCATGGGCGGGTTCCCGGAGGAGGTGATGGTGATGGGGCTGCTGCAGTGCACACGCGCATGAAACCCCCATTTTCACCTGTTCTCCTCCCATCTCCCCTTCTTTTTGTCCCCTCGATTTCCCCCCAGCTCGCCCCCTTCTACCGCAGCGCCATGGGAGGGTTCCCGGGGGAGGTGATGGGGCTGCTGCAGTCCCACGTGGACGTGCTTCACCCAATGCTACGCCGCCAGCTGGCACACGCGCTCATCCTCCTGCGCAACCGCCAGGTGCGTGCGTGCCTGCTTGCATGGTGGAATATTTTGCACCCTGCCTGCTTGCTCCCCTTGCTCCCCTTGCTCCCCTGGCTGTCTCGCTAGCTGGCTTGCCTTCTCGCCTGCTTCCTCGCTTTCTTGCTTTGTCCGCCTCGCCCCCGCACTCGGCACGTTACACTTACAGAAGAGTGAGCCTGGCACTTAGAAGAGTGAGCCTGGCACTTAGAAGAGTGAGCCTGGCACTTAGAAGAGTGAGCCTGGCACTAAGAAGAGTGAGCCTGGCACTTAGAAGAGTGAGCCTGGCACTTAGAAGAGTGAGCCTGGCACTTAGAAGAGTGAGCCTGGCACTTAGAAGAGTGAGCCTGGCACTTAGAAGAGTGAGCCTGGCACTTAGAAGAGTGAGCCTGGCACTTAGAAGAGTGAGCCTGGCACTTAGACGAGTGAGCCTGGCACTTAGACGAGTGAGCCTGGCACTTAGACGAGTGAGCCTGGCACTTAGACGAGTGAGCCTGGCACTTAGACGAGTGAGCCTACACGTCTGCTTCCTCGCTTGTGAGAATTCCACAGATAGGCATCGAAGAGTGTGAGCCTTGAATCAAGTTCAGTGGGGAGATGAGTCTAGCTGCTTGATTCTGCGCCTCTGCTTGCCCCTTCCACCTCCTCCTCTCCCTTCCTTGCAATGAGTCGTGTTTTGAGTCAACTCAAAACACGACTCATCACACGCAGATGAGTCTAGCTGCTTGATTCTGCACCTCTGCTTGCCTCGTCCACCTCCTCCTCTCCCTTCCTTGCAACCCCTCTCACAGCCCAACAACCCACTCCCACCTGTTTTCCTGCAGCTATTGGGTCCCACGGACCTCATTCCGCACTTCTTCCGCCTCTTCCGCTGCCCCGACAAGGCCCTTCGCAAGCTGGTGTTCTCCCACATCGTGAACGATATCCGGCGGCTCAACCAGAAGCACCGCCACGAGGGGGTCAACAGGCCCATCCAGAACATGCTCTTTTCCCTTGTGCAGGTGCGGTGGTGGTTGTGCAGGTGCGGTGGTGGTTGTGCAGGTGCGGTGGTGGTTGTGCAGGTGCGGTGGTGGTTGTGCAGGTGCGGTGGTGGTTGTCCAGGTACGGTGGTGGTTGTGCAGGTACGGTGGTGGTTGTCCAGGTACGGTGGTGGTTGTCCAGGTATGGTGGTGGTTGTCCAGGTATGGTGGTGGTTGTCCAGGTACGGTGGTGGTTGTCCAGGTACGGTGGTGGTTGTCCAGGTACGGTGGTGATGGTGTGAACGGCAGGTGAGGCATGTGGGTGGTCACTTGAAGCGAGGTTGTTGGTGAGACGTCTCAAAAACAACCTCGCTTCACATGGTGTGAACGGCAGGTGAGGCATGTGGGTGGTTGGGTTGGGCACGGGTTGGTGGGACAGGGTGGGTCAGACAAAACCCTCCACAAGCTGGTGTTCTCATCTCACACATCGTGAACGATATCCAAGAGCGAGCATGGTGCCGCCGCTGATTTCCGGCGCCTCAACCAGAAGCACCGCCACGAGGGGGTCAACAGGCCCATGCAGTGCGAGCATGGTGCCACCGCTCTTCTCTCTCGTCCAGTCACGTGCGGCACCATGCTCGCTCTCGAGCGGTGTTGTCTCACCGCTCCTTGAGAACGGTGTTGTCTCACTCCGTGCTCCCGACCACGCGCTCCTTCCAATAGGAGGAGATCGAAATGGCAGCCAAGAAGTCCCTGGCAGTACTAATCGAGCGAGTTACTCCAGCGCAAGGTGTGGACCGATGCCCGCACTGTCATCTATATCACACCCTTTCCCCCCGACCTCGCCCTCCTCCCTCTCTCCCCCCAAACAGGAGGAGAACGAAGTTGCAGCCAGGAAGTCCCTGGCAGTGCTGATAGAGCTGTACCGTCGCAAGGTGTGGACCGAGGCGCGCACCTTGCTCTATCTCACACCCTTACCTCTCCGTGTTTGAAGAAGTGTTTTGAGACGTCTCAAAACACTTCTTCAAAGACGCGCGCATCTTGCTCTATCTCACACCCTTACCTCTCCTAACCATGCGTCCCCCCTCAAACAGGAGGAGAACGAGATGGCAGCCAAGAAGTCTCTCGCCGTTCTGATAGAGCTGCACCGGCGCAAGGTGTGGACCCACGCGCGCACCGTGAACGTGATCGCCACGGCCTGCCTGCACCCATGCACGCGCATCATGGTGGGGGCTCTCAAGTTCTTTATGGGGGCTCTCTCAACCCCTCGAGGCACTCTCTCTCCCCTCACCCCCGCACCAGGAGGAGAACGAGATGGCGGTGAAAAAGTCTCTCGCAGTGCTCATCGAGCTGTACCGGCGTAAAGTGTGGACTGATGCGCGCACCGTGAATGTGATCGCGACAGCCTGCCTGCACCCGTGCACGCGCATCATGGTGGGCGCGCTCAAGTTCTTTGAGGGGCTCTCTCAACCCCTCGAGGCACTCTCTCTCCCCTCACCCCCACACCAGGAGGAGAACGAGATAGCGGCGAAAAAGTCTCTCGCAGTGCTCATCGAGCTCTACCTCCGGAAAGTGTGGACCGACGTGCGTGCGCACTGTGAACGTGACGTGATTGCGACGGCCTGCCTGCACCCGTGCGCGCGCATCATGGTGGGCGCGCTCCAGTTCTTCCTGGGGCCTTTCAACTCTCAAGCCTCTCCCTCCCTCTCCCGACATTTCACACACCCACCACCAGGAGGAGAACGAAATGGCAGCCAAGAAATCCCTGGCGGTCCTGATTGAACTCTACCGACGAAAAGTTTGGACCGACGCCCGCACCGTGAATGTGATCGCACCTTTCCCTACCTCGCCCTCCTCACCCACCACCAGGAGGAGAATGAAATGGCAGCCAAGAAATCACTAGCAGTGCTCATCGAGCTCTACCGGCGAAAAGTTTGGACCGACGCCCGCACCGTGAATGTGATCGCGACGGCTTGCCTGCACCCGTGCACGCGCATCATGGTGGGGGCGCTCAAGTTCTTTATGGGGGCGGACCGGCAGGGCGAGGGGGAGGATGGGAGCAGTGAGGAGGAGGAGGACGAGGAGGAGAAAAAGAACCGCAGCAAGGAGAACTCTGCTCTCGCTCTCGACAGGAAAACGGTCTACACGGTGAGTGTGTGTGCCGGTGTCTTGGCTTGCTTGGTGGTCACTTTGTATGTATGCAGCACTCACCAGTTGTATGTCACCAAGTGTCCACCTGTATGTGGTCATTTTGTATGTAGGATACAGGTTGCAGGCGGAAGGCAACACGTGCTCCGGTTGCAGGCGGACTCAGGGAGTATCCCAAAGCACGTGTTGCCTTCCTTTCCTCCACCGCCACACCATTTCTTCCCTCGTTCCCCCTTCATCTCCCTTACTCCTATCAGGCGTACCACAAGGGAACACCCGCCAGCAAGCGCAAGGAGCAGGCGAATTTGAAGCGAGTGATGAAGGGGCTGCGGAAGCAGCAGCAGGGTGACCCCTGGGAAACATGAGTCAGGGTGACCCCTGGGATACAGCAGCGGGGACCATTAGTCAGTCTATCTCTTCCTGGTTCGACCATGTCACTGCCTCAACACTCCCTCGCTCCTCCCTCCTCCCCCACTGCCTCCTCCCCCCGTCTCCCTTCCCCCCAGGCATACCACAAGGGCACGCCAGCCAGCAAGCGCAAGAAGCAGGCGAAGCTGAAGCGAGTGATGAAGGGTCTGCGGAAGCAGCATTGAGGACTGTTGATCAGTCGCCCCCTGCCCTTCTGCCCGTATATTCCCTTTCCTCCACCCCATTGGCTTGGCCGCTGCCTCTGCCTGCCTGTGTTCCCCCCCTCCTCCTCTCCCCCAGGCATACCACAAGGGCACGCCAGCCAGCAAGCGCAAGAAGCAGGCAAAGCTGAAGCGAGTGATGAAGGGTCTGCGGAAGCAGCAGCGCGCCGTGATGGGCGGAGGGGGGGAAGGCACGGGGGAGGGCGAAGGGAACATGCACTTCGCTGCGCTGCACTTGCTGCACGACCCTCAGGTGGGTGGGTGGTGATTTGATTCGATTCATACTGGGTATTCATATCAGGACGGCGGGAGGGAGGGGAGGGAAGGGCAAGGGCGTGAGGGAGAACAATGGGAACATGCACTTTGCTGCACTGCACATGATGCGTGTCAACCTTCTTTTTTTCCCTTTATTCACCCCACTCCCCCTTCCACTCTCCACTCCTCCCACCCTCTCCTCCCCATTTGCTGCAGGGCTTTGCAGAGAAGCGCTCCAGCCGCTTCTCCAAATGCCACAAGAAGCCTGTAGTGTCAAGCTCGTACCTCCCCTACTCCTTCCCACACCTCTCTCCTTCCCCCTTCCCTCCCCCCCTCACCCCCCTTTCCTCCCGCTCCTCCACAGGGCTTTGCAGAGAAGCTCTTCAGCCGCGTGTCCACGTGCAACGAGAAGTTTGAGGTGCGTGTCCACGTGCAACGAGAAGTTTGAGGTGCGTGTCCACGTGCAACGAGAAGTTTGAGGTGCGTGTCCACGTGCAACGAGAAGTTTGAGGTGCGTGTCCACGTGCAACGAGAAGTTTGAGGTGCGTGGGCGGAATCGATTATCTCTGAGAGCGCATGGAGGTGAATGAGAGACTTTTGAGTCGACTAGGTGACTTTTGAGTCGACTAGGTGACTTTTGAGTCGACTAGGTGACTTTTGAGTCGACTAGGTGACTTTTGAGTCGACTAGGTGACTTTTGAGTCGACTCAAAAGTCACCTTGTTTGAGGTGCGTGGGTGGAAATTGATCATCTCTGAGATGAGAGTGCATGCAAGTGAATGAAAGTGCATAGACCACCTCGCAACAGTTGAGTTGCGTGGGTGAGATAGGCGATTGCATGGGAGCGACGAGCGTCAGAGGGGGGTGGTGAGGTGTGAGACAAGTGGAACGGGGTGAATGAAGGGCTTTTTTTTTATTCTTTTTCATCATAACTCATTTTAGCTTATCAGTACCACCACTTTTCACACCACCCGCCTCCCTGCAGGTGAAGCTGCTGATGCTGAACGTGGTATCGCGGGTCATGGGGACACACCGATTGCTCCTACTCAACTTCTACCCCTTCCTGCAACGCTACCTCATGGTACATATCACTTGTACCTTTTTTTTTCTCTTATTTTCATTTATTAATTTATTCGTTCATTCATTCATTTATCTTAGGTGCCTTGGTCTGTCCCTTTCAAGGTTGCATCCCACCCGTCGATTTCTGCCCTTTCATCCCATCCTATGATTGCAGCCGCACCAGAGGGATGTGACGCACCTCCTTGCCATCGCCGTGCAAGCCTGTCACGATCTGGTGAGTGTGTCACAACCTGCTGAGTGTGTCACAATCTGGTGGGTGGGTGTTGCAGTTGGGCTGAACTCGGTAGGGGAGGTGTGTTGGACCTGGTCACTTCATTTGCATACTTCAAACAAAATAAAATAAATAATAATAATAAAAAAAAATCTCTTCTTCTGAAAATCCTCAAAACACATATTCAGCTTTTGTGGTTGGGCGGAACACCGTAGGGGATGTGTGTGCGGGCATGCCTCTGGTGATGGGCGAGGAGGTGTTCTCCTCAATCCCATACCATACTCCCCCCTCCTTACTCTTTCTCTCCCTTCTCCGCCTCTCCGCCCCTCTCCCCTCCCCCAGGTCCCCCCCAGACGCAGGGGAGAGCATGGTGAAGCAGGTCGTGAACCTCTTCGTTCACGACCGAGCAAGGCCAGAGGTCATAGCAGTGGGGCTGAACGCAGTGAGGGAGGTGTGTGCGCGCATGCCTCTGGTGATGGGCGAGGAGCACGTGTAGCTGGTCTCCTCAATCCCATGCTTCCTCCACTCCCCCAGGTGCCTCCACTAGTGCATGACAGGGCCCGTCCCGAGGTCATAGCAGTGGGGCTCAATGCAGTGAGGGAGGTGTGTGCGCGCATGCCAGTCTCCCTCTCGCCTTTCCGTCCCCCGCCTCCCCCCTCCCCAGGTCCCCCCAGACGCAGTAGAGAGCATGGTGAAGCAGGTCGTGAACCTCTTCGTTCACGACAGGGCCCGTCCCGAGGTCATAGCAGTGGGGCTGAACGCCGTGAGGGGTGTGCGCGCTTCACTCTTCGTAATCCCATAGACACCCTTCTTTCTCCGTTCTCCTCCCCTCCCTTCTTCCTTTCCCCAGGTCCCCCCAGACGCAGTAGAGAGCATGGTGAAGCAGGTCGTGAACCTCTTCGTTCACGACAGGGCCCGTCCCGAGGTCATAGCAGTGGGGCTGAACGCCGTGAGGGGTGTGCGCGCTTCACTCTTCGTAATCCCATAGACACCCTTCTTTCTCCGTTCTCCTCCCCTCCCTTCTTCCTTTCCCCAGGTTCCCCCAGACGCAGTAGAGAGCATGGTGAAGCAGGTCGTGAACCTCTTCGTTCACGACCGAGCAAGGCCAGAGGTCATAGCAGTGGGGCTGAACGCAGTGAGGGAGGTGTGTGCGCGCATGCCCCTGGTGATGGGCGAGGAGTTGCTGCAGGACCTGGCCATGTACAAGAAAGCCCGCGAGAAGGCCGTTGCAGCTGCTGCTAGATCGATCATTTCCCTGTTCCGAGAGGTATGTTGGGGGTGAAGAGCGGTACAGAGAGGTGCAGAATGGTACGGGAGGTGTGTGCGTGCATGCTCCTCCCTGGTGATGGGCGAGGAGTTGCTGCAGGACCTGGCCATGTACAAGAAAGCCCGCGAGAAGGCCGTTGCAGCTGCTGCTAGATCGATCATTTCCCTGTTCCGAGAGGTATGTTGGGGGTGAAGAGCGGTACAGAGAGGTGCAGAATGGTACGGGAGGTGTGTGCGTGCATGCTCCTCCCTGGTGATGGGCGAGGAGTTGCTGCAGGACCTGGCCATGTACAAGAAAGCACGAGAAAAGGTAGTTGCTGCTGCAAGATTGATTATCTTACTCTTCAGAGAGGTATGGAGTGGTGCACAGACGTACAGAGAGCTACAGCAGAGAGTTACAGAGAGGTACAAAGCGGTACAGATCCATTATCTCCCCCTGTCCCCATCCCCCATCACTTCCCCCCTTCCTCCCCCCGTCTCCCCCACAGGTGAATCCGTCGCTGCTGCAGCGGAAAGACCGGGGCAAGCCGGGGAAGGCAGGGGAAGCTGTGCAACCAGTGGCGTTTGGCCACGTGGCAGTGTCTGATCATGTGCCTGGGATTGAACTGCTGGGTATTCCGGAAGAGGAGGGTGATGGGGAGGAGGGGAGTGAGGAGGGAAGTGATGAGGGGAGTGAAGGGGAGAGTGAGGAGGAGGGAGGTGAGGAGAGTGAGGAGGAAGTGGAGGGGAGTGACGAGGAGATGGAAGAGGGAGAGGAGGGAGAGGAGGGGGAGGAGGTGGAAGGGGATAGTGATGAGGAGGGGAGTTCAGGGAGTGAGGAGGTGGAGAGTGAGGGAGAGGAGGAAGAGGAGGAAGAGGGGGAGGAAGAGGAGGAGGAGATGGAGCAAGTCAGGCCAGGAATTTCCAGAAAAAGAAAGGCAGAGGGGGAAGCAAGTGGAGATGGAAAGCGGAAGCGAGAAGGACCGGTGAAAGTGGAGGGTGCGAGTCTGAGGCAGCTGAAACGACTGGCAGCACAAGGGGAAGAGAAAGCCGGAGAGGAAGCAGGTGGAGGGAAAGCAGGGCAGAAGGGGGAACTGGAGGAGGAGGAGGAGAAGGATGGGTTTCTGTCAACAGAGGATTTCAGGAAGATCAGGAGGATGCAGGCGAAGCAGGCTGCTGAGTCCATGTTGAGGCGCAAGGGCATGAAGAAGGCGGCTAATGCGCTCGCTCACTCCCATCAAGCACGCTCGCACTCTCTCAGTGACCGCCGCGTGGACGCGTCTGACCTGGAGGTGAGTCGTGCTGAAGAGAAAGAGGAAAGCAGAGGTGATGATGCACTCGCCCACATGCACTCGCCCACATGCACTCGCCCACCTGCACTCGCCCACATGCACTCGCCCACGTGCACTCGCCCACATGCACTCGCCCACGTGCACTCGCCCACATGCACTCGCCCACGTGCACTCGCCCACGTGCACTCGCCCACATGCACTCGCCCACATGCACTCGCCCACGTGCACTCGCCCACGTGCACTCGCCCACGTGCACTCGCCCACGTGCACTCGCATCAAGCACGCTCGCACTCCCTCAGAGTGAGTCGTGCTGCTTACAAAGTCTCAAAAAGTCATAGTCATGCTGACGTGGATAGGACTTATACTGTCTGTGGCATCAACATGTGGTCGCACATTTTCCAACACAGAACTTTTCTTTCTCTCTTTCCCTTTTGAGCCTTTACCAGCAATTCTTCCTCGGTTCTGTCTCCAAATGTGTAACGTGTCTCTGTATACGCAATTGTGTGAGTGCATCTCTGTCTTGGTCGCTGCATCTCCCCTCTCTTCTTTGTCCCCTCACCCAACCCCGCCCAAGGTACACATAAAGACACAGATGGGCAAGGAGGAGCGAATGGCAGCATTGATGGCGGGCAGAGAGCACCGCAGCTTCCCACTCACCCCTTCATTCCCCCTCACCCATTCTCCACGAATTCGCTCTCCTCCACTCCCCCCTCCCTGCCCTCCCCCCCCCCACAGGTGCACATAAAGGCACGGAGGGACAAGGAGGAGCGCATGGCAGCAGTGCTGGCAGGCAGAGAGGACCGCAGCTTCTTTGCCAAGTCGAAGATGAAGCAGCAGAAGGTACGCAGAAGCTTATTAAACTGTAGGCAAGAACTTTTTTGCCAAGTCGAAGCTTGAGCAGCAGAGGGTAAGGCTGCTCCCATCACAGCACCGAACACTCCGCGATGCACGGTGCCTTGATGCATCAAGGCATCCACAGTCCAGTGCATCATGCGACGCGTTCTGAAGACGTGACTTGGCGAATTTTCAAAATCAACTCTTTGCGATGCACGTTGCCTTGTGAATGCCTCAAGACATCCACTGCATCCTGCAACGCATTGTGAATGCCTCGATCAGTCTTTTTTAAAATTTAATGCGCCTCATGAGCACTTCGCGGTGCGCGTCACCATCAAGACACCCATCCCTTCCTCTCACCCCCTCCTTCCGCTCCTTCCATCCCTTCCTCTCACCTCTCCTCTCACCCCTCGCCCTCTTCTCACAGGTGGGTGGAACATCCAACAGAGAGAAGGAGAAGCGCAAGGCAGCGCCAATGGCAGCACAGCGGGTGCATCCCCTCCTCTTGGGTCCTCCCTAACCCCTCTCCCTTCACTTCACCCTCTGTTCATACCCCCTCCTCTCATCCCCTCCTTGTTGTAATCGGTGCGTGCCTGCAGGTGGGTGGAACGTCCAACAGAGAGAAGGAGAAGCGCAAGGCAGCGCCCATGGCAGCACAGCGAATGAAGCTGAAGAGGCGCACGCAGGGCAAGCGGCGCAGTAAGGGGAAGAATTTCCAGGGGAAGAAGGCCTGGAAGACATGAACTCTGGGTCTCTCAATTCTGATATAAGCTATTGTTAGTTCTATTTGTTATGTTGGTATTTGTTCACGCATGCTCAAAATTGTATATTCGGCTTTCATTTCGACCAATTCCCGCAAAACTTCCCCTCAGCTGTATAATTGCCCTCGCATTCCTCAGGGATGAACAAACCTGATCTCGAGGAATGGCGCTGTTCAGTTCCCAGCGCAGGATTCACACTTGCAAGGCCTAGCCATGGCGTCCGTCAAGCGCACTGTCGCCGTCGCATTGGCTTTCGTCCTCGCGCTCGTCGCTGCGTACACCGCTGTTCACAGCGTCGCCCTCCTCGCACCCACGCGCGCGCGCAACTCTCGTCCCCTTTCTTCCCAGGACTCGCTGACTTCCGAGTCGACCCAAAAGAACTCTCCTCGCTCCCTCGCACCCACGCGCCCACGCGACTCTCGTTCTCTCTCCTCCAAGAATTCGTATATAAGGCTGTTCGCATTCACCGCACCCGTCAGAAACCCACAGTCAAGCGTGAATGACGCCGCAATCCCCGCTGTGGTCCCCAGGCCCGCGCCGCCGAAGCTGCAGCAGCAGCCCGCGATTCACGCTCCCGCCGACAGCGCTCCGCTCGAGCGCGTGTGCGGCTCGCCAGCCGTCGACGGCTACGCGCACGTGAACGCCACGTGTCTAGAAGCGTCGCCCACGAATCGCATGTGGTGGTCCATGCATCCTCAGGTGAGTCCTCTCTCTGCTTCAGGTGAATCTCCAGGCAATCTTATGAACCTCCTGAGGAGTTGTTCCTGAAACGCAAAACAGCACGTCTGTCGCTCCTTGCCATGTGACTGTGATTGTACGCAGTGATAGAATGAGCCAATCAACTGTCATGTCGGAGTGTGAATGTGCGCGCGACTTACAGCATGTGACTGACGGCATGTGACTGACGGCATGTGACTGACGGAATGCGACTGACAGAATGTGACTGACGGCATGTGACTGACGGCATGTGACAGACGGCATGTGCCTGACGGAATGTGACTGACGGCATGTGACTGACGGAATGTGACTGACGGCATGTGACTGACGGCATGTGACTGACGGCATGTGCCTGACTGAATGTGACTGACGGCATGTGACTGACGGCATGTGACTGACGGCATGTGACTGACGGCATGTGACTGACGGAATGTGACTGACGGCATGTGACTGACGGCATGTGACTGACGGAATGTGCCTGTGCTTGTGTCGTTTGACATGGTTGTGTGTGTGGGCAGGGAGGGAGGAGCGGAGAGGGGTTGGATTGCCACATGGAGCGGGAAGTGAGCTTAGATGGGCTGGCCGTGCGGTGGGGCATCGGGCACAAGACCACCACTCCAGAGCAATGCTGCCAGGCCTGCAGGTAAATCATACATGGACTGGACTCACATGCCTCCGAGGTGCCGTAATACTTTACTAAGTCACCGTAGATGGGCTCGCCGTGTGGTGAGGCATCGGCCACAAGACTCACACTCCGGAGCAGTGCTGCCAGGCCTGCAGGATAAGGATGGCCCCTTATCCCGCTTGCCCTGAATCATCTGAGTCTACTGTCCTCCCATTATTCCACTTCCACTACTGATACCCTCTCCTCTCCGACCACCCTTTCTTCCTTGAGACCACGAACAGGACCTACACCACACCCGGGCGGGCCCTTCCCCCCCTCCTTACAACAGCTGGTTCTTTTGCCTTCTTCTTATTCCACCACCCCTCGCCTGTTCTCTTCCCACCCCTTCCCCCCAGGGACCACAGACCGGACCCACAAGTTGCAGATCCCTTTGCGCACCTCCCCTGCAACGTCTGGGTATTCTGCTGCGCTCCGACCTGCTTTGAACCCGACGCGCACACGCACACCTTCGGTGACTGCTGGCTCAAATTCTCTGAAGCCCCGCAGAGCCCCGAGGTGAACGCGCGGGGGGAGTACCCTCGGGAACTCCGTGCGAGGCATGCCGAGGCGCCTGAGCGGTGCCAGTGGGTGGCTGGGGTGCTGCTGCCGCCCGGACAGACTCTCACCAACGGCACGTGGAGCCCGAGGCATGAGTGGTAGCGAGGGCCTACCAATGCATGCACAAAGACAGCGCCTTTTATTATGCAAAGAGAATCGACGGTTCAGAGAGGAGTGTGCGTTTACACAGCGGTACGTGCATGCAGATTTATGCCTAGCAAGCCCTTTTTTTTGTGCTTTTTACTACTTTTAATAATCATGCTGCTGCCTACTGTGCATGTGCAGGCTTCCTGGTTCCTCCTCCTATGAATCCAGGCAGGCAAAGTACGGTAGGAGTTGTCGCCAGAAGGCATTCAGCGAACCTCCTGCCAGCTCTTGCATCAATTCATTTCCCATCCATGCCCTGTTTGTTGTTGGGTTTGATTGACCAGACACCCGCTCAAAATGTTGCAGCTTCAATCTCGTCTAGAAATGCTATCATTCTTACACGCTCAAATAGCGTTCAATGCACTGTAGTATCAGTTGCTGCAATTGCCGCCATCTCCTGTCAGCTCTTTTGAAAGATCGCCCTTGGATGTCAACTGACAGATGTAAACAGCGAGGCGAACCCTGTAATCAAGGCCTTTTGTACGGACTTATTTGACACGGTCTGAATGAGTAGGCTTCAGGAATCAGGAGCCGCTGATCAGCGTCGTGTACGGTTAGATAAATCCGAACAAGCGACTACTCTTTTGTAAATCCACTAACCATTGTCGCTGTTGATTAGTCAGTCATGGCGGCGTTGCTGCACGCGATCTGGGTGAGGTATCTCGACTCGCTCAAGCATCGCCCGGTCCTCACCAAGGTGCAACGCCCGTGATCCCACCATTCTGATCATCACTCGCATCATTCTCACTGTCCGGATTCACGCATCACTCCCACCCGTTCCCCCAGTACACTTCTGATTCATCTGTAAGCCATTTCTCTTATTCCTCGCCCGCAGTTCGTATAGTCTCGACTCCGTAGCCTTTACTTTCGCCACACCGTTCCCGCTGTTCAGGCACTTACGTCGGCGTCGCTAGCGGCCGTGAGCGACCTGATGGCGCAACGACTGGCGTCCCGCAAGCCCGTGGAGCTCAGGCGAACGATTCTCATGTGGGTGCGTGTAGGAGGGTGCATGCAGAGGAGATCACTCGTTGACAGAAAGGGTCAAAACGGACATGCCATGCCAAAGATGGTGTTGAGTCCCACCTTGCTTCATCTTTTTAGTCCACTCGCGATGCGGACATAAAATGCAAATTATGGCTGCGATCATTCCTTGCTCCTTCGTTTCCTTAGTTCATCTGACCTTTCTCCCATTTTAATCCCTTCACAATCCTTTCAGATTATGGTCATCTTTCATTATCACTCCACCCCTCAATCCACCCCTCACTCCATCCCTCACTGCACCTCTCATCTCAGCTGTTCGGGCTGCTCTACATGGGCCCATCGGCGCACATGGTGCATCGTGCGCTAGACGCCATCTTTGCTGCAAAGAGAGACACCAAAACCGCGTTGAAGAAGGTAAGCAGAACGAATTAAGAGATAGACGTGGGAATGGATTGGCGAACGAGAAGAGGAGGTGAGGGGCGGAACGAGAGGACTTCTCTCAGAGTGTTGAGAGTGTGCATGCATTGCCCTGGCCATGCAATCCTCCATTGCATTGTAATCCAAAAGGCTCAGAATGTCCAGTTTCGGCTGGGCGTCTTTGTTTTCCTTGTTCTCAGGTGGTGGTAGAGCAATTGTCATATGGCCCGTGCTGCAATGTGGTGGCCATTATGTGGATTGCCTACGTGGTGGAGCGACGCTCATGGATGGCATCCAAGAGACGGCTCTTTGCTGCATACCCAGGGATCCAGATCAATGGATGGAAGGTGAAGTGAAACTACTTGAATGAATCACTCCCAATTTTTCATCTCATTGAGTCTCAAATTTGTGGTCTCACCTGACTCATTATTTTGTCGTTTGCTTCAGGTGTGGCCACTTGTAGCTCTGATTAACTACAAGTTTATTCCATTCAACCTCCGTGTGCTCTTCTCCAATGTTATTGCCATCTTCTGGTGAGTCTTCGAAGTCGCATGTGATTGTCTCGTTTGCACAATTTGCATCTTTCTGAGCTGCTGGAGTATTTCATTGCGGCATCTTATCCCACATTCCAGGTCTACATTTCTCATTCTAAAAGCACGAGGAATCAAGGACAAGCAAAGCCTGGATTAATGCGTGGATGCACCCTTTGCATCAGTGTAAATACTTTAGGCTGTACAGGCTCTTGATTTTACTTAGCAAACACTGATTTTCCACACTGGTCAGGCCATGAACTACATGGCCACCAACGGCACTAGGAGTTCGTCATAAAATATGTAAAGATTGGCTATTTTGACGAGGTCGAGTATGATTGAATTTCCAATATCGAGGTTTTTCGTGAGCAGCACACACGGGCCGACAGGGAATGCGACTGTCTCGTCGCCAGGCAAGGGTGTCGGTCGGCCTCTGGCGGAAACACGCGCCGCTAGAAACTGCGTTGTGTCAGGAGGGGCAAACGAGCGGCGTTTGGCCAATCACATCAAATGACACCTCGTTCGCTGCCAGTCAGCCGGTGGGAGCGAATTTGTGGAGGCAAACAAACCGCGTGCGACTGCTTCGCATTTTGTTCTGGGGAGCTTCGCTTCGCCTTCGTACGTACAGCTCACCACTCGCCGAGGCTGACAGATGGGTATGGAGAAGGTGGATGGACGCACCAGATTCAGGAGAGGAGGTAGCGCGCTAAACGACAGGACCCGAACCTAGAACAAGCTAAGCAGAAATCATCGGTTCGAGCAGAGGGCGTCAGAGTCTGCTCTGCAGCAGCAAAACCTGCACCAAAATCCTTCCCTCCACAGTCCTGAAACAAGAACGGTCCCTCCATACCTCCTCAGTTGTCCCTCCACACCTCATTTCCCAGTGCAAGCAATCCCTTCCATTCTCCCTCCCGCACCATTCCCTTCCCTCCCTCCTGCAGCTGTGAGCGGCCCTTCGGGGCTGTGAGTCTTCTTGACCCTTTTTCGCACTTCGAACTGTTTTTCACCATCCTTCTGGCATGCTTCTTGAGTTTCTCCGTCCAAAAATCCCGCGCTTGACTTGACTGCTTCGCGCTCCGCCACTGCGCGTGGTTCCAGTTCCATCATCAGATTGCACCACCGCTATATCCGAGCTGCATTCCAAAAAGTCTGTTGCTTAGTGAAATTACATGCCATACTTGCTCTAAGGCCCTCTGACTGGGTCCATCTCGAGCATAATAATAATTCGCCCTTCTTTTAATCCTTTTAACTGTCGCCACTCGTTCTGAGCCCCGCCCGTCATGCACCGTAAACCGGTACTCCTCTCGCCCGCGAAGGAATGGCGCGACCCAATATTCGCCGCGCCTTCACCATCTCGTAAGGACGCCGGACCGCTCACCACCCCTCGACACCGAGAGCCGCCGCTTTCCCCATTTCGCTCGCCATTGATGGGCTCCGCCAACCCCGCCATCCCCGCGGGGTCTCCGCTCGGGTCGCGCTCCCGCCGCGCCTTGGCCTCTCCGGTGCGGGACGTGCGGCTGGCGGACCGCGGGGAGCACGGCGGCGGCGGAGGAAACAGCAAGCGGCTGGCGCAGCTCTGCATTCTCCGCACAGCGCAAGCGCAACTCAACTCCGCGCATCCCCTGCGCCCCCCGTCTTCCGCGCAGCCGTCCCCCATTTTCTCCGCCGAGTCCCCCAGCTCTCTGCTGTGTCAGGCGGGAAGCGCACTATCGTCTTCTGCGCAGGCGCGGGCGTCGTTTGAGTCGGTCCAGGCGCCGTGCAGCGCGCCGAGCGGCCCCATGTCCGCGCAAGAGGGCGCAGCGGACATGTTCGACCCGTTTCTCCTCCCCGCGCCCGCCTTTCCGCTCCACGACCAGCCCTCCTCCCCTCCGCCCCTGCCGGTGGCGCAACCCGCGCAAGCACCGTCGGCGGAAGACACGGACGCAACTTCCGCGGACCGCGGAGACAGGTGTGGGACGGCGGAGCCTCTCCAGCATGGTGATATCGATGCCCCGGCAGCTGCTATGGCGGCGGAAACCACGGAGAAGAATGGGACAATGGCGAGGGATGAACGGAATGGGGAGAATTCGGAAAAGCAGGATGGAAACGGAGTCGGGCGGATTCGGATGGTGGGCGAAAATGGCGCGCAGATGGGCGTAATGCGGGCTGGGAAGGCGGCTCAGGCGGAGCCTTTCGGAACGCGCGCTGGCGCCGAGTGCGCAGATCGTGAGAACGTGGGGCGCATTGACAGCCGGGGGACCTTGGGGGGGAAGCGGGGCGACAATCCTGGCGCATGTAGCCGCGACGCGCAGAACCCGTCAGTACGAAGCACGCTCATGGAACTGGCAGCCAATAAGAAGCTGCCACATGGGCCGCGCAAGGGCGACCCGATGTACGAGTGCAAGCGCTGCCCGTTGGCCTCCCCCGCCCGCTCCCCCCTGTCCCACTCCGCCGCGCTGACTCCCCCCGTGCACCTCCCCTCCCGCCTGCACATCCCTGCTGCGCTCACCGGTTTGACCCGCGGGGGGAATGGGGGGGTGGGCATGGGGAGGCTGGGGCTGGCGGCGCCTGGTAGCTGTGGTAGCAGCCCCCGAGGAGACTGTTCCTCCCTGTGTGGTCGGCAGCTTCAGCAGCAGTACGGACAGCAGCAGCAGAACCAGCAGCAGCAGCATCATCAACTGTTGGTGCAGCAAGTAAAGCTGCTACAGCAGCACCAGCAGCAGCACCTGAGTGAGTCGCACTGCAGAGAAGATACTCATTGCTCTGGTGTGAGTCATCGTTCGCTGCATCCCAGTCATGCCAGCTCAGCGGCCACGTGTCCCAGTGGTTCAGTTGCTCCACTTGAAGCACAACTGGTGTCAGCCTCGGCTCGCTGGCTCGGTCGGAGAAGCAATGGAAGTACACCTGCCGCGCCTGCTGGGATGGTTGGAATGGGAGGAATGGGAGGATTGGTTCCTGCTTCATCGAGAGAAGGAAGCCGTGCGGCCTCTCCTAACCGCTCTGCAAGGCGTGCCATTTTGTTCGGAGGAAATTGAAGCAGTTGGCTCTAATCCAAGGCAAGACCGTACATGCGAGTTCTCTTACGCGTTTCAGCAGCTGTGTGAACTACGTGCAAATGCCCTAGTGTGGCTTGTTCAGGCAGGGTATTGATATAACCAAGATAGATTGACTTGTTTCCACTGTACCAAAGTTATGACGTTATGTAGGTTTGAATTTGTGTTGCGTGTAGCGCGATCAATACAATCGCTCAATCCTTCACTATCCGAACTTTTCTGGCGTCCTCGAGAATCTCCTGTGATTTCTCACATCCCACCTCCCGCTCTTTCACCTCACATTCATTTCTTCAAGAATCACGACACCGTTTCACTTTTTCCCAGCGCGTATGACGCTCGCTTCCGTTGCACGGCTCTAGCGACGATGCCAGCCGCTTGCGCTTCGACCCTTAGCCGTGCCGCTAACAACCCTAGATTCGATTCCGTTGTTCCCTCGATACCTTCGCATCACCGCCCAGCCATGCTTTCTCTCTCCCGTTCCGCGCAGCGCGTTCTGCGGGGCAACGGAGCCAGCGTCGGCTCCGCGATGCACATAACGAGAAGCACAATACAGCGTATAATACCGGCCGCGTCTTACTCGTCAGATCAGTACGGCGAGAGAAAGGGACCGTATAGGCCGCAATCGCAGGGCTATAAGGCGGGAAATCAGCAACGGTCATATGAGAAGTCGTCGTATGGCGGGAACGAGTACCCGCAGACGAGTCAGTATAAGCGGTCCGATCAGCAATCGCCAAATCAGTTTTCCCAGTTCGACCAGCAGCCGTATCAGTCTAGATCGTCGGGTTCGTATCCGCGACGGGGCGAGCAGCAGCAACCGCCGCAACAGCCGCCGCCTCCACCGGCGGCGCAGCAGCAGCAGCAGTACGGGCAGGAGGAGCCGAGCGATGAGATTAAGACTATTGAATGGCAATCCGATCTGTCGAATTCCGTGAATCTGATTGGTCAGTGAATCTGTTCTGTAGATGCATCCTATCCATGCGCCTGTATGTGCCGCTCCTGTTTCACATGCACCCATGCATGCATGCCGTCCATGACCCACGCACAATCCATTTATGACTTATCCAGATCCCATCCATGACCCATTCATGATCGATCCATACCATGCATATCCCATGCACGGCCCATGCAGGCAACTTGGCAGCGGATCCAGAGTACCGGTTTCTCGACAGTGGCAAGTCCGTGGCGAGTGTGAAGCTGGCCGTGGGGTGGAAGAAGGCGAATTCATGACACATGCATGCCAGCCTTGCCCCATCCTCGCCCCATGCAGGCAACTTGGCAGCGGATCCAGAGTACCGGTTTCTCGACAGTGGCAAGTCCGTGGCGAGTGTGAAGCTGGCGGTAGGGTGGAAGAAGGCCAATGGGGAGAAGCACACTGACTGGTGAGGAGGACCGTGCACCTAATTCTGGACCTTCTGGACCGACTACAAGACATCTCAAAACTCGGCTTATAGTGCTCAACACGTAGGCTTGTCCGTGCGTGCGTGTGTGGACAATTGTGTGCATGTGCGTGTGTATCCGCGCGTGCATGTGTGCCCACACAGGTGCACAATACAGATGTGGAACGATGTCTTGAGCAGAACCTCAAAATGTATAGTTTGAGGCGCCTTAAAACCACACTGCTTGTGTGTGTATCCATGTATACATGTGTGTGCATGTGGGTGCATGTGTGTGCATGTGTGTGCATGTGTGTGCATGTGTGTGCATGTGTGTGCATGTGTGTGCATGTGTGTGCATGTGTGTGCATGTGTGTGCATGTGTGTGCATGTGTGTGCATGTGTGTGCATGTGTGTGCATGTGTGTGCATGTGGGTGCATGCATGTGGGTGCATGTGGGTGCATGTGGGTGCATGTGGGTGCATGTGGGTGCATGTGGGTGCATGTGTGTGCATGTGGGTGCATGTGGGTGCATGTGGGTGCATGTGGGTGCATGTGGGTGCATGTGGGTGCATGTGGGTGCATGTGGGTGCATGTGGGTGCATGTGGGTGCATGTGGGTGCATGTGGGTGCATGTGGGTGCATGTGGATGCATGTGGGTGCATGTGGGTGCATGTGTGTGCATGTGGGTGCATGTGGGTGCATGTGGGTGCATGTGGGTGCATGTGGGTGCATGTGGGTGCATGTGGGTGCATGTGGGTGCCCATGCAGGTATACAATACAGATGTGGAACGACGTGGCTACGCTTGCACAGAACCTCAAGAAGGGCACGCGCGTGTATGTGAAGGGGCGACTGCACATGGAGGAATACACAGACAGCAGGGGGGCGACGAGGCTGGATACCAAGGTGTGGCTTTCTTGTGCATGTGCCTCTGGTTGCGCAGGTGTGCTTGGGGGGGAGGGTGGGTGGGTGGGTGGGTGGGTGCGAGGAGGTGTGCACAGGTGTAAGTGAAGGGGCGATTGCACATGAAGGAGTGCACAGACAACAGGGTGGCGTCCCAAGGTGTGGCGTCCTGTGCACGCACCATGTCACTGGGTAACCAGGTGGGTGGGTGGCTGGGTGGCTGGGTGGGTGGCTGGGTGAGTGTGTGGGTGGGTGGGTGGATGGGTGGTTGGGTGGGTGGGGGGTGGGTGGGTGGGTGAATGTGCACAGATCCATACGAAGGGTCATTGAGCAGGTGCATGCATGTGAGAGGGCGACTGCACAGCACATGGAGGAACACACAAGGTATGAGGCGTAAGGCACATTGAGGGCTGGATTGAGGCATTGAGGCTGGATCTCAAGGTATAGCGTATTGTGCATGACTTAGGGTGCCCAGGTGCGCTTGGATGGCTGGCTGTCTGGATTGATATGTGGGTGCGCGGGTGTGTGTGAGCAGACGAGTGCACCTGGCGTAATTCAGTGCACAGCAGTAGGACAATTTGAGAATTCTCAAAAGCCTGTGTGAGCAGACGAGTGCACCTGGCGTAATTCAGTGCACAGCAGTAGGACAATTTGAGAATTCTCAAAAGCCTGTGTGAGCAGACGAGTGCACCTGGCGTAATTCAGTGCACAGCAGTAGGACGATTTGAGAATTCTCAAAAGCCTGTTTGAGCAGACGAGTGCACCTGGCGTAATTCAGTGCACAGCAGTAGGACAATTTGAGAATTCTCAAAAGCCTGTGTGAGCAGACGAGTGCACATGGCGTAATTCAGTGCACAGCAGTAGGACAATTTGAGAATTCTCAAAAGCCTGTGTGAGCAGACGAGTGCACCTGGCGTAATTCAGTGCACAGCAGTAGGACAATTTGAGAATTCTCAAAAGCCTGTGTGAGCAGACGAGTGCACCTGGCGTAATTCAGTGCACAGCAGTAGGACAATTTGAGAATTCTCAAAAGCCTGTGTGAGCAGACGAGTGCACCTGGCGTAATTCAGTGCACAGCAGTAGGACAATTTGAGAATTCTCAAAAGCCTGTGTGAGCAGACGAGTGCACCTGGCGTAATTCAGTGCACAGCAGTAGGACAATTTGAGAATTCTCAAAAGCCTGTGTGAGCAGACGAGTGCACCTGGCGTAATTCAGTGCACAGCAGTAGGACAATTTGAGAATTCTCAAAAGCCTGTGTGAGCAGACGAGTGCACATGGCGTAATTCAGTGCACAGCAGTAGGACAATTTGAGAATTCTCAAAAGCCTGTGTGAGCAGACGAGTGCACCTGGCGTAATTCAGTGCACAGCAGTAGGACAATTTGAGAATTCTCAAAAGCCTGTGTGAGCAGACGAGTGCACCTGGCGTAATTCAGTGCACAGCAGTAGGGCATTGATCCCCAGGTATGGCGAGGTGACTTTTGAGTCGACTCAAAAGTCATTTCGCCTTTGCTCCCAAAACAGGTGGATGTGTGAGGCGAGGTGACTTTTGAGTCGACTCAAAAGTCATTTCGCCTTTGCTCTCAAAACAGGTGGATGTGTGAGGCGAGGTGACTTTTGAGTCGACTCAAAAGTCATTTCGCCTTTGCTCCCAAAACAGGTGGATGTGTGAGGCGAGGTGACTTTTGAGTCGACTCAAAAGTCATTTCGCCTTTGCTCTCAAACCAGGTGGATGTGTGAGGCGAGGTGACTTTTGAGTCGACTCAAAAGTCATTTCGCCTTTGCTCTCAAAACAGGTGGATGTGTGAGGCGAGGTGACTTTTGAGTCGACTCAAAAGTCATTTCGCCTTTGCTCCCAAAACAGGTGGATGTGTGAGGCGAGGTGACTTTGAGTCGACTCAAAAGTCATTTCGCCTTTGCTCTCAAAACAGGTGGATGTGTGAGGCGAGGTGACTTTTGAGTCGACTCAAAAGTCATTTCGCCTTTGCTCCCAAAACAGGTGGATGTGTGAGGCGAGGTGACTTTTGAGTCGACTCAAAAGTCATTTCGCCTTTGCTCTCAAAACAGGTGGATGTGTGAGGCGAGGTGACTTTTGAGTCGACTCAAAAGTCATTTCGCCTTTGCTCCCAAAACAGGTGGATGTGTGAGGCGAGGTGACTTTTGAGTCGACTCAAAAGTCATTTCGCCTTTGCTCTCAAAACAGGTGGATGTGTGAGGCGAGGTGACTTTTGAGTCGACTCAAAATCATTTCGCCTTTGCTCTCAAAACAGGTGGATGTGTGAGGCGAGGTGACTTTTGAGTCGACTCAAAAGTCATTTCGCCTTTGCTCTCAAAACAGGTGGATGTGTGAGGCGAGGTGACTTTTGAGTCGACTCAAAAGTCATTTCGCCTTTGCTCCCAAAACAGGTGGATGTGTGAGGCGAGGTGACTTTTGAGTCGACTCAAAAGTCATTTCGCCTTTGCTCTCAAAACAGGTGGATGTGTGAGGCGAGGTGACTTTTGAGTCGACTCAAAAGTCATTTCGCCTTTGCTCTCAAAACAGGTGGATGTGTGAGGCGAGGTGACTTTGAGTCGACTCAAAAGTCATTTCGCCTTTGCTCCCAAAACAGGTGGATGTGTGAGGCGAGGTGACTTTTGAGTCGACTCAAAAGTCATTTCGCCTTTGCTCTCAAAACAGGTGGATGTGTGAGGCGAGGTGACTTTTGAGTCGACTCAAAAGTCATTTCGCCTTTGCTCCCAAAACAGGTGGATGTGTGAGGCGAGGTGACTTTTGAGTCGACTCAAAAGTCATTTCGCCTTTGCTCTCAAAACAGGTGGATGTGTGAGGCGAGGTGACTTTTGAGTCGACTCAAAAGTCATTTCGCCTTTGCTCCCAAAACAGGTGGATGTGTGAGGCGAGGTGACTTTTGAGTCGACTCAAAAGTCATTTCGCCTTTGCTCTCAAAACAGGTGGATGTGTGAGGCGAGGTGACTTTTGAGTCGACTCAAAAGTCATTTCGCCTTTGCTCTCAAAACAGGTGGATGTGTGAGGCGAGGTGACTTTTGAGTCGACTCAAAAGTCATTTCGCCTTTGCTCCCAAAACAGGTGGATGTGTGAGGCGAGGTGACTTTTGAGTCGACTCAAAAGTCATTTCGCCTTTGCTCTCAAAACAGGTGGATGTGTGAGGCGAGGTGACTTTTGAGTCGACTCAAAAGTCATTTCGCCTTTGCTCCCAAAACAGGTGGATGTGTGAGGCGAGGTGACTTTGAGTAGACTCAAAATTCATTTCGCCTTTGCTCTCAAAACAGGTGGATGTGTGAGGCGAGGTGACTTTGAGTCGACTCAAAAGTCATTTCGCCTTTGCTCCCAAAACAGGTGGATGTGTGAGGCGAGGTGACTTTGAGTCAACTCAAAAGTCATTTCGCCTTTGCTCCCAAAACAGGTGGATGTGTGAGGCGAGGTGACTTTGAGTCGACTCAAAAGTCATTTCGCCTTTGCTCTCAAAACAGGTGGATGTGTGAGGCGAGGTGACTTTGAGTCGACTCAAAAGTCATTTCGCCTTTGCTCTCAAAACAGGTGGATGTGTGAGGCGAGGTGACTTTTGAGTCGACTCAAAAGTCATTTCGCCTTTGCTCTCAAAACAGGTGGATGTGTGAGGCGAGGTGACTTTGAGTCGACTCAAAAGTCATTTCGCCTTTGCTCCCAAAACAGGTGGATGTGTGAGGCGAGGTGACTTTGAGTCGACTCAAAAGTCATTTCGCCTTTGCTCCCAAAACAGGTGGATGTGTGAGGCGAGGTGACTTTTGAGTCGACTCAAAAGTCATTTCGCCTTTGCTCTCAAAACAGGTGGATGTGTGAGGCGAGGTGACTTTTGAGTCGACTCAAAAGTCATTTCGCCTTTGCTCTCAAAACAGGTGGATGTGTGAGGCGAGGTGACTTTGAGTCGGCTCAAAAGTCATTTCTCCTTTGCTCTCAAAACAGGTGGATGTGTGAGGCGAGGTGACTTTTGAGTCGACTCAAAAGTCATTTCGCCTTTGCTCTCAAAACAGGTGGATGTGTGAGGCGAAGAGCCCTTGTGGTCAGTAGGTCTCGGGGCAACAGCAGCATCATTTTGAGATTCGCTTTTGAGAATTGCTTTTGAGAATGCTCAAAAGAGAAGAGCCCTGTGGTCAGTAGGTCTCGTGGCAGCTGCAGCATCATTTTGAGGTCGTTTGGAGCCTTTCTTTCTTTCTTTCTTTCTCAGCCCCTTTCCCTTCCATTTGCCTACTCTCCCCACCCCACAGGTGGATGTGAAGCAGATAGCCCTCGTGGCCAGCAAATTCGGCAACAGCAGCAACAACCAGGGCAGCAGCAGCAGCAGCAGGGGCCGTGAAACCAGTCCTGGGGGTTACAATAAGGGCAATTACAATCAGGGGAGTTACAATCAGGGGGGTTACAACCAGGAAAGTTACAACCAGGGGGCGTACAGCCCACAAGAAGCTGCATTTTCTGAACAGAGCAGCTACAGCAACAGTCAGGCGAATTACGGTGACCAGAGCTTTGGTAACCAGAGCTTTGGTAACCAGGCGGCGAGCAGCGGGCAGGGGGAAGCGATGGATGGACCGGTGGTGGCTACAGATGACAAGGGGCTTCCTCGGATTCCACGGTTTGATGGCAAACTGAATGGTGCGTGAATGGGGGAGGGATGGGTGGGTGGTTTGAGTTGGAATGGAGCAGCAGGCAGGGGGGAGCGATGGATGGACCGGTGGTGGCTACAGATGACAAGGGGCTTCCTCGGATTCCACGGTTTGATGGCAAACTGAATGGTGCGTGAATGGGGGAGGGATGGGTGGGTGGTTTGAGTTGGAATGGAGCAGCGGGCAGGGGGGAGCGATGGATGGACCGGTGGTGGCTACAGATGACAAGGGACTGCCTCGCATTCCGCGATTCGTTGGCAGACTGACTGGTACGCTTGGGAAGAAGGAAGCTGGGTGTGGGGTTGAGTGGTGGGCTGGGGGAGAAGAGAGGCGAGGGGGGGTCTAATGGAGTGGTGGGCAAGGGGGGTTCTCCCTTCCTTGCAAGTGGGAGGTGATGGATGGAGGCATTGTGGCGTGAGTCCTTTGATGACTACCACTTGCCCACCACTCCATTAGACCCCCCCAGACATTGCGGCAGGAGTCCGTTGACGACCCTGTGCAACTCACTTGAGTTTGGAGACGTCTCAGAACCTCCCTACCCGCTGTCCTCTCTGTGCCCCGTCGCTCGCCCCCGCTTCCCCCCCTCGACTCTGTCTCCCGTCGCTCGCCCTGGCAGCGGGGCAGGTGGAGGCATTGTGGCGTGACTTTTTCAACGACCCAGTGCAGTTCTTCGACTACCGGGAGATGAAGGTACGGCATGCATGGGTTCAAGCATGGGCTGTGGAAGCATGCCGTGTTTGAAGCTTGCTGTTGCAGTTGGTGAGGATTGTCAGGGAGAGCAGGTGGAGACATTGTGGCATGAGAAGCATTGTGGCATGAGAGGCATTGTGGCCATGGCTTTATGAACCGTTTACCCTTCCCTCCCCTCCCTTTTCTTCCCTTGCAGCAACACGCAGAAGTGCCCCCCAAGTACCCGGATTTCAAGAAGATAGCTACAGGCGAGCCGCTGTGGGTGGAGAGCCGCGGCACCCCTCCCTGGGTGCATGAATGCTTGCAAAAATACGATGATGCCTTTGCTGCAGCCCTGGCAGGCATGCCGCTTGAGGGGCAGGGGGGGCAGGAGGGTGCGGCAGGGGCAGGTGTTGAGGAGCAGTTTCAGGAGGAGTTTGGGGGAGGGGCGATGGACGCTCGTGGGTTTTGATAAGGAAGAGGGGCTCCATCCCTCCCCGTACGATGATGCCTTTGCTGCAGCCCTGGCACGCATGCCGCTTGAGGGGCAGGGGGGGGAGGAGGGTGCTACTGGTGGGGAGCAGCTTCAGGAGGAGTTTGGGGAGGGGCAATGGACGCCCGTGGGTTCTAATCAGGAAGAGCTTCGGGTTTATGCCTTCTTGTGGGTGCAGAGTCGAGAACTTCCTCCCCTTGGGTGGATGATTCCTTGCAGAAAATACGATGATGCCTTTGCTGCAGCCCTGGAAGGCATGCCGCTTGAGGGGCAGGGGGGCGCGGAGGAGGGTGCTGCTGGTGGGGAGCAGTTTGGGGAGAATTAAAAAGAAGAGTTTGGGGGAGGGGCGATGGACGCTCGAGGGTTTTGATAGGGAATGCTGGTTTCTTCTTGTGGATGCAAAGTCGGGACACCCTGTCTGGGTGCACGATTCCTCGCAGAAATCCGATGATGCCTTTGCTGCGGCCTTGGCTGGCTTGCCCCTTGATGGGCAGGGGGGCGCGGAGGAGGGTGCTGCTGGTGGGGAGCAGCTTGGGGAGCAGCCGGTGAAGGGAGGAGGTTGGGGGAGGGGCAATGAACGCGCCTGGGTACCGGTAATTTTCTCATGAGGGTTTACAGCATGCTGCCTTGCAGCTCTACGATGCTGCCTTTGCTTCGGGCAGGCATGCCGGTACTGCTTGACGGGGAGGGGGGTGCGGAGGCACAGGAGGGGTCGGTGGAGGGGCGAAGGGGTTGTAGTGAGGGAGGGTCCTGGCCAGGCCTCACGTTTTCAGAGTAAATTACTCTGTTTCTCTGAAAGTCAGAGTCATTTTTGAAAGTAACTCTGTACCCGCCGGGTAATTTTTTTGGGACTTCCGATTTCTCTGATTTGTCAGAGTTATGCTGTAGTTTACTCTGAGGCCTCTGGGTTTTTTTTTCTGGGACCGAATTTACTCTGTATAGGAAAACCTGCCGGCCCCCCTCCCCCGCCCCCCTCCCCTCCCCACCCCCCCCTGCGTTTAGCGGGTTTTCCCCGAATCGTCGAGATCATTCTCCTGATTTCTGTCGTGTGTTGGCGGCAATATGAGCGCTGATTGGCTACCGTAGTTTGACGACTTTCCCAACCAGCGCACGATGCCAGCCAGTCCCCTCTCTCTTTATGTCTGAAGTGAACGTCGACGTTTCCCGACGAAACTTTGAGGGACGTCGAGGAATCCTGACGGTCGGAACGCTCAGTCCGAGGGTTGAGATTTGCCAGCATTCCCCGACGGAACTGTACATCCGTCGAAATTTCACTTCAGACACGCTCTTAGTCAGATTATCGGTGCCGCCAACACCTCACTCTGAAACATCGCAGTGAGGGGGGAAACGTGGGCGACGCGGAAATGAAACATAAAGCAAGCACAAAAGGCGTAACAAAAACCTATTAAGGTCATGGTACACCAAACTTAACTAACATCAGAGTAGAGAAAAATATTACTCTGACGTGCCTGGTTTTTTTTTTTGTAAGTATAGGGTTACTCTGACAAATCAGAGCAAGGCGCAGGAACAACCTTAGATTTCAGAGTTGGGAAAAAAACTACTCTGGAAATCAGAGTACCTAATGTTGGAAACAATAAGTCCTAAGTGCGCTTCTGTCGTATCAAAACCCAAGGCACCAAGCGAAGCAGTCCCAATCGGAGCATCGAGTCAACCTCGGAGGTTAGGGTAACCGCCTGGAGGTTACGAGAAAGTCAAAGGTCGCTGACCTTTGACTCGACAATTACAGCGCGACAGTTAAGGACACACAACTGACTCGCTACAGAGCAGTTGCCCGAGTCGCACTGTATCGAACCGCAACAGCAATACAGTTATCTACATATCTATTCGTATTCCCTGTACTCTTATATAAATCCTTGTATTTGCTTGTTTAATTCAATCAACTTTGCTCTCACACACCAGTGCAAGGTCGGTTCAAATTCTTCACTAAACGCTTCCGCTATTACAACTACTTCACCTAGAGTTATCCCTTGCAAAGATCCTAAGGGGCTTTCTCAGCCCAACATGGTATGAGAGCTGACAAGGGAAACTCTACTCCTTTTTTCAAGATCATTACAAGACATGGCGACAAACAAGGAAAGGAGCTCCCCTAATGGCTCCTCGGGCACTACTCCTACTCCACCGCCAGCCTCTGGCCTACAGACAGAAGAAGGCACGGCAACAAGACCAAGAGGAACGTCAACCGAAACCCCCATGAACCACCCTTCGGACTTTGACCAGAACATGATGGAGAAATTTTTCTCCTTCATGTCCTTCTACGAACAACACCAGCAGTCGGGACCTGCACAAACACACAACAGCAACAATGGAGCGACACCCATGAGTCTTGATGGGTCGTCATATGCGCGAGGAAACCAGCAGCAGCAACCTACCTTTGCTCCGTACGAGCGCGGGTCAATCAGCTTCGTGCCCCACCCGCAACCTTCACCTGGACAAGAAAGACCACTGGACGCACTTCAAGTTCAGTCGCAGTTTGCACACGTCTTAAAACTGCAAACGTCAAGACCCTTCGACGGCAAAGACTTCTTTACCTGGTCCTTTGAATTCGAGCTGATGATGGAGGGCGCGCAGATACTCGGCTTCTTCGACGGGTCCCTGCAGTATCCAGCCAACGGGACACAATATGAAAAGCAGCAGTATACGTATCAATCAATGATGGCGTATACAATCCTATTGAGGAACGTGACACCAACTCAGCAGCAGAACATTCGCTCTTACCGGACCTTCGGCAACTCGGCGGAGCTCGCGTACAGCCATCTGAAGAACCTGTATCAAGCAACAGACAGTGTAAACCAGAGCAGGTTAATGGCGCAGTTGACGACAGTTGAAATGAAACCAGGAGAAAAAGGACTGGCGTATATCAGCCGATGTCGCGAACTACGCGACAAGCTGCTTCGATGCGGAGGGTCAATCTCTGAAGACGCCTTCGTGACAGTCATCATTGGTGGGCTTGGTCCTCAGTGGCGCGCCACCAAAGCCATTCTTCGAGCCCACGGAAGAATCTCTGAAGCTGCACTCTGCGCCGAAATACATGCCGAGCAACAAGATATGGACCTGCAGGAAGAACGACACAGGAAGAAAACGACAGTATCAGAGTTTGCATTCCACACTCAACGACGACACAGCAATTATAACAACCGACAGCAGCAACCGAAGATAGTACCTCCTTTCTGCCACATCTGCAAGACTTCAGGGCACCCGCGCACACACTGCCCGAATCGTCAGCAATCAACGGCATCACAGCGACAACTTCGACCTTCAAGCTCCCAAATGGCTTCAACACAAGCAAGTGCGACGACCACTATTCAAGCTTCAACGACTTCACAACCTGCACGAGGAGCAAGAAACATAATCAACTGCATGACGAAGATAACCGATTCGTGTACAACCGAATCACCACCACACTACTCACCGGAAGAAGAGCTTGACAACAGAACGCCTCGCCGTGAGCTACTCCAGCCGAATCCAACGTACGCCGCCATCGCTCAAAGTGAACCGTCCGGCCAAGACACCTGGTTCTTGGACAGTTGCTGCGGGCAACACATGTGCTCGTCCGGGCGTTTCGTACAACGCGAACATCGACTCCAACGGGAAGTAATCATCACGGTTGCCAACAACCAAAACCTGCGCACACGAAGACAAGGAGTGGTACAACTTCAGTCAAGAGAAACAAACGTCATACTGCACATGTCTAAGGTACTCATCGCTGAAGGACTCGGCTACAACTTACTGAGCGTTAGCCAGTTGATGGCGAAAGGAATTCATCTGGAAGCCGACAGCACGACCCAGGAGTTCAAGCTTTACCACGGGAGAGGCGGTCTCTACATCGGAAAAGCAGTACTGAAGAACAACGTCTTCGTCCTCGACTTCGTTCCTGACCTCGGCACTGCAGACAGCGACGCCATCGTGAATTTCACTGATTGGACACACCCTCCGGATCTCGACCCCGACTTCAGCCCGGGAGGTTTCTGGTACTCGCACACCATTCCTGAAGCAGAACGAACACGAGCATTAGCAACAATTCGACAATCGGCAGCAGTAACAACATCGACATCAGCAGCAACAACATCGGTAGCAGTAACAACATCGACATCAGCAGCAACAACATCGGCAACAGTAACAACATCGCCAGCAGCAACAACATCAGCAGCAGCAGAAACAACGACACCAGTCACAGTCAACGAAGCACCACCAACACCCGCACAACAGCTGAATCCGACTCAACGTGAAGTCCACCGAAGCGCCAACCTCGTCGCCAGCTTTTACTCCAACTCCGACGCATATCAGCGTTCACCTGGACACCGCGCCTCTGAAGAGATCTGGCACGCACGAACAGGACATCCAAGCAACACGGTTTTGAATAACACGATAAGAGCAGGAGTCCTTGACAAAGATTCTCTGCTTCTACCCGATGGCAGAGAACTCCAGAAGGCACGAGGGACTTGCCTTATATGTCCCGAAGCTGACTTACCTCATCGACCGTTTGCTTCACATCACAACCCGAGCGCTCCAGCGTACGCACCACTCGAAAAAGTCTACAGCGACATCCTCTACAATCGCGAACCAGGACAAGTCAACTACAACTACACCATCACCTTCATCGACGCCGCCACTCGATACGTCTGGCATCGCAACCTACCCAGCCGCGACATGGCACTCGCAGCATTCGCCGCCTGGCTACCGATAGCAGAGAGAGAGTCTGGAACACAACTAAAAAATTTTCAGTCAGACGGAGGTGGCGAGTACACCTCTCACCGCTTCAAGCAGTTCTTGGCGGAAAGGGGGATCAAGCAACTCCTCTCCCTTCCCTACGCACATCAGCAGCAAGGTGTTGCAGAACGACTGAACAGGACCCTGCAGAACAGCATGCGCAAACTGTTACGTGGCATGCGGCTACCCAACCACCAGTGGCTAGCAGCAATGGACCACGCTGTCATGCTACACAACTTGTTGTCGTCGTCGTCACTCCCGAACAACGCATCACCGCATCTGCTGTGGACAGGGAAGCAGGGCAGCACGAAAATGTTACGAGTTTTCGGGTGCATGGTACAGTACAGACCCCCAGAAGCACGAGCGGGAAGATTTTCGCAACGGGCACAGTGGGGACTACACCTCGGCATCGAGAAAAATTACAACGCATGGAGAATCTTCGACGTCCACACAAAGGAAACAGTAGCAGCACGTGACGTGATCTTCTACGAAAGACTCACCCTTCAGACGTACCTCGCCAACTTGCACGAGAATCGGGACCTCACCAGTGGTTTTCGTGGTGACCGAGCCTTCGCATCAGCAGCGGATGAAGCAGACTGGGACGAGCAGAATGTTGACAACGCATCGGCAGAAGCCGGACCTCTCCCGTACTGCTCCGTCAACGTGCCCATGGACGAAGAAAATCCTCGCGACAGTAACAACGCCGAAGTCTTCTACCACTTCGCCGACACCGGTTACGTAACACCTGCAACCGTCAACACAAATGAAGCAGAAAGGATAGGACCGAATTTCATCCCTGATCCAGAAGCGGGAGACGAAGCAGCTTATCCCGAGGATCCAGAACTCCCTCGATACTCACAGACTGGGCTGCAAATCCTCGGCCTCGTCACCGCAGTCCACGGGAACACACGCAGCTCGCTTCCTCAGGAGCCTGCAACGGTTCAGCAGGCTCTGGGGGGGGAACACAGGGAGAAATGGCGTGAAGCCATGGATAGAGAACTGAAGGCATTAGAGGAACGCAACACTTGGAAGGTTGTTCCCGTAAGCGTGGCACGGAACAAAACCATCCTTACCGGGAAATGGGTCTTCCGCATCAAGACGAAAGCAGACGGCACGATCGAAAAATTCAAAGCACGCTGGGTCGTACGTGGATTCGACCAAGAGCAAGGACGAGACTTCACCGAGACCTTTGCTCCAGTCAGCCGCCACACGTCACTCCGAATTCTCCTCGCCATTGCCGCCATGAAGAAGAAGAAGTTACGGCAGATCGACGTAGCGAATGCCTTCCTCTACGCACCTGTGGATGCAGAAATCTACGTCGAGCTCCCGCACGGTTCCCACGGCGAACCCAACCGAATCTGTCAACTACTTAAGTCGCTCTACGGGATCAAGCAAGCACCGCGACTGTGGCAGCAGTACCTGCACGCCCGTCTCATCCGCATCGGCTTTAGTCAACTACCTCACGACCAAGGCATGTACCGCCTCACTAAGGGAAGCGACTACGTTCTCCTGATCGTCTACGTGGACGATCTCCTCTACATTGGGTCGACCGACGGCATTGCCACGTGGTTCGAAGGAGAGCTCCAGAAAGATCTCACGCTCACGGTCTCCTCCACCGTTACACAGTACCTCGGGCTCAACATCCGCGAAGAAGAAAACGCCATCTATCTAAGCGCCGAGAAATACGCCGACACCATCGCGAAACGCTTCAGCCTCACACCAAGCGCCATCTCCACGCCTTACCGCTATACATCAGGAACCGAGAAGGAACGAACTACTCTACTCAAGTCCGCCGGCATACGCGACTATCAGAAGAAGCTCGGATGCCTGCTATTCGCCGCCGTCACCTGCCGCCCTGACTTATCCTACTCCGCAAGTCAGCTCGCCACCTATCTCAAGAAGCCTGAAGCTGAACACCTGGCGGAACTTGATCGCGCTCTCCACTACTTCGTCAGCACCGCGACGATCGGGCTAACCTACCACAAGAGCGCAGCTACACCAACTAAGCTAATCGGCTACGTCGACGCCGATCACGCCGGCGACACCGACAACAGGCGCTCACGCACCGGCTATGTCTACCGCCTTGAGCCTATCGGTCCTATCTCATGGCAGTCGAGCAAGCAGGAGTTAATCGCACTATCTTCAGCAGAAGCAGAATATATTGCACTCTGCTCAGCCACCAAGGAGGGACTTTACCTTCGCGAACTACTGGAAGAAGCGAAGCTAGCCGAGTTACCCAGCTTCACCGTGTTCTGCGACAACCAGTCAGCAATTCGCATCGCCAACAAAAACGGCTTCGCAAACAGGACGAAACACATCGCCCTGCGCTATTTCTTCGTGAAGGACGAGATAGAAAAGGGGAAACTCGATCTGTCATGCTGCCCAACATCCGAGATGGCAGCCGATTACTTGACCAAGAAACTCGGAAAGCAGAAGTTCGAATACTGCATGATGCTGACTGGACAAGGCCACGTCACCAGCAGCGACACTCCAGAAGCGAAGGGGAGTGTTGGAAACAATAAGTCCTAAGTGCGCTTCTGTCGTATCAAAACCCAAGGCACCAAGCGAAGCAGTCCCAATCGGAGCATCGAGTCAACCTCGGAGGTTAGGGTAACCGCCTGGAGGTTACGAGAAAGTCAAAGGTCGCTGACCTTTGACTCGACAATTACAGCGCGACAGTTAAGGACACACAACTGACTCGCTACAGAGCAGTTGCCCGAGTCGCACTGTATCGAACCGCAACAGCAATACAGTTATCTACATATCTATTCGTATTCCCTGTACTCTTATATAAATCCTTGTATTTGCTTGTTTAATTCAATCAACTTTGCTCTCACACACCAGTGCAAGGTCGGTTCAAATTCTTCACTAAATGCTTCCGCTATTACAACTACTTCACCTAGAGTTATCCCTTGCAAAGATCCTAAGGGGCTTTCTCAGCCCAACACCTAAAATCCAAAAATAGGCCCTGGTCCTGGCCATGGATGCATGCTGGTGTAAATGCTTTTGAGTCGACTCAAAAGCAGGCCCTGGCCATGGATGCATGCTGGTGTAAATAACGAGGGTGAACTTCTTGCGGGTGCTGCACATAGCCTTGTAGAACCTTTTTTTTCTTTACAAATCACAAGAGGCTCTTGGTTGATAGCATGTGTGGTCACATCTCACATTTGCACCTCTGTTAGCAAATATTGTGCTCACTGCATGTTGGTTCAAGAGAGTGTTGCTCAAGAAAGTGTTGCACCTACTTAGCATTCACAAGTCACGAGAGGCTCTTGATGACGTGTGAATTGAACTCATGATGGATTGGCAGCTCTGTTGCTCCATCACTAATAAGTACCTCACATACCACATGAAGGAGATCCCATCCCATGCACCACGCCCATAACATATTGGAAATTACTCTAAAGAAGCAGCAGGGCACGGCAAATGTACCAAGGGTCGGCTTGTGGACGGCGATAGCAGTGTAACCATAGGATGGGATAGATTCTGAATAGCGGCAGCAAGCATGCATGCACGCCTAAAGCAACAGCTTACTTTTTATCTTTTTTTTTTTTTTTTTTTTTAAGGAATGTCGAACTACAACCATTGCGTGCCTAAAAAAGTGTGGGAATGATTCTGAATAGGGGCAGCAGGTACATGGTAGCAATCACCGCATACTGAGGTCCAGTGTACCAGTATATATCATACCCTAGCTTGCGTGCACTATACCGCTCCCCATGTGCGGCACGACAGACCACCCACACAGCACCCAGTGCTGCTGCCACTGTACCGCCTTCAAACAGCGTGCAGAGGAACATGGCCGTGATAAATGACGGCTGTGATTGTAACGAGGGGGTGGGGAAGTTGGGGGTGTGAGAAGAAGTTGGAGGGGGGATGGGAAGGCGGGGGGTGGGGTGGGGTGTTTGTTTTGGGGAATGGAGGAAGTCGTGTGTGTTTTTTCTGGACTCAAGATCTGGAGGCGCCTAAGAATAAGAACGGACTATCCTTGGAATCGTCCAGCATGTAAAAACTGAGTTATAAAGCCGACATTTGAGACGACTAAAAAGAAAGAGAAGAAGAAGATGAAGAAGAAAAAGAAGAAAAGAAGAAGAAAAGAAGAAGAAGAAAAAAGGGTTTACGTAGAATCAGGTTGTAACATTTCTAAAGAATATTATTTTAGCGTAGTACTGGATAGAGCAACCAGCAAAATCACTTTTATAGCCTCTACAGAAGGAGGTGTAGATATCGAGGAAGTAGCATTGCACCACCCTGAGAAAATAATAAAAATCTCAGTAGATCCAGTCATGGGAATTCAACTTTTTCATTGCCGCAGCATAGCTTTTAGGTTGGGCTTTTCAGGGGATCAGGCAAAACAAATGATGAAAATTGTCGAAGCAACTTATAATGCCTTTATAGGAACTGATGCTTCACAAACAGAGATAAACCCTTTGGTAGTTACCACAGAAGAAAATTTACTTGCTCTTGATGCAAAAATCAATTTTGATGATAATGGTTTGTTTAGACACCCGGACATTGCTATGCTTAGAAAAGTTAAGCCTGGACTTTTTCTTTTCTTTTCTTTTCTTTTCTTTTTTTTCAGAGGAGTACTTCTCCATTGTCAATCACGTACAAACTGCTCGACGAAGTTGGCCTGCACGCGGATGACGCGGTCAAAGTCGGGATTGCCGGACATGACGGGCGCGAAGATGCGGTACTTTATGCGCGCCGCGCGGACGCCCAGTATAGTCTGCGGGGGCGTGAAAAGGGAAAGAGGTGGGGGGGAGAGAAGAGGAGGAGGGAATGAGAAATGTGGTTCCTGGTGCGCGCTCCCTAATATCCTTGGAGCGAGATACGGGAGTTCAAAACAACTTGCTAGTAGAGGAGGCATGGTGTGACCTAGTACCCGCATGTATACGAGGTGCGCCGCGAACGCGACGAGCGCTGGTAGTTTAAACTCCTCGCGCAGCGCGAACAACGCCGCCATGTTTCCCGCCATGCTAGGTTATGCGGGTATCAAGTTGTGCGGTCCGAAGATAATGGAACCACTGGTTGTACCGCGGCACGGCCAGACAGAAATAATCGGCGCTCGAGACGAGACGAGACGCACCTTCACGAACTGATGGCACGAAGTAGCAGAGGAGGACAAGTGATGTTGACGTTGACTGCCGTGTGGATCAATCCAGCAAGCAAGCCAATAGTGACACGCCATTTTTCTGTTGCGGAAATGCGCACGAAAGCAGCAGCTGCGAGAAGCTGTTGAGAGGGGACGAGACGACATGACGGGGGGAAACTGGAGATTTTGGGGGGGGGGGGGGGGGGGGGGGGGGGGGGCGGGGGGGTAGCCTTGGGGAGTTGGAGGGAAATACGTCAGCAGAACGAAATAAATACAAACGGGTGTAGCCGTATCTACACTTCCTTAGGTTTCCTGCTTACTGAAGGATGATTCCACCCATAGGGCAAATATGTACATGAATGCTAATAAATGTGAAGAATCCAATGATGATTTGTGGATGAAAATATTGATATTCTGTTTTACAACAAACAAACACCTGTCCATATTGTGTTGCGATATTGTCGTGTAATATCAACAACCCTCTTTAAATTTGCCAACAAGGTCATACATAATTGACATTGGCAACTGACTCTGAAAAGGGAACATACTGGATTATAATGTATCATAAAATTTTATAATATTGTTCCAAATATCTGGTTGATATACAGCGAAAAAATAGGTGCAACAGGAAATTGGGCCCTGAACATACTAATAATCCTTTGTCCTAGAATACCTATATTCACAAAAATTTGAAGCATGAGTGTTTATCTTGAATTGCAGGGCATAGTCAGTGTCGGGAACAAACCTTGTCCAGTTTGCAGAGGCGCACGCGCTTGAGAAAAGTGCACAGAACTGCTCGCGCCAAAGCGGGCTGACTGAAAGTTCTGTGTGAAATGTGTGAAATTACACGTTCAAGAATGAAATCGTGCAGATCAAATTGTCTCCATCTGGCACTCGCATTCCCAGTAGACATGACATGGTACTGTGTGGGACTCGAAGAGAATCTGCCCAGATTGTGCTATACCTTCTCTTGTCAAATACGTGTACAGTGCTGTAAAGTACACTTGAATTTCGTTTGACTAATTCAAGGTCGTCTTTTGAATAAGGCTTTTAACTGATTCCAGGAATTCCGCAAATTTCGTCATTAAAAAAATGTAACTCCACCCTGTCAGTTTGACTGCAATCTCTTCTGTTTGAATTCGGTTTCTGTGGCTTTTATTGGTTCACAACCACTGCACCACAGTGGTGCAGACTTTCCATCCTCGACTGAGAAAATTCGCGCGCAGGGGTTGAGTGTCGTGTGTAAGAGGTCCCTCTTTCAACACACAGTTCGCACAGCTTATCGCTGACCGTTGAAATTGGCCTAGAAATTATGCGCCTTGCCGACACCGAATGGGAGGCCCTGCCCGATCGGATCTCTATTTGTCAAACTGACCACATGCCCTGTATGTGGCGGACCTTTTGGTGTAGGACCTTGAAACTGCAGATCGAAGGGAGAATCCATAGATATTTTCACTCGATTTGATCCCACAAAAACTACACGCGCAAAATGAGTACTGGCTACAGTGTTTGGACGTAGCGGGCTGGTGCGATAACTCGGTTGCGGGCAAAGTCGCACGAGGTGACGAAACAAGCCTCTGGCAGTAAAAAACCGTTAACGCTGAATAGCCATCGCAACCGTTTTAAAAACGACAGTACCTTTTATAAAAGTTTTAAACCCTGACTGACCGCCTTGGGTCAAATTGTCACTACAACGCATGTGTTAGGACCTTCTTTGGTCCGTTGCGGTTACACTAGGTGTCTCGGTCAGTCTAACATATGCCAGTCTATCGAGAATAAGGGTGTACACTTTGAACCTTGATTACAGTACGAGGGACGACGCTCCAGCATTCGGGAAGAGTTTCCCCACAGAAATGATGAGAATGCTCGCCGCGTAAAAGTTGGGACCACATTGCAACGCGCTTTCCGTCAACGATTCGCAGATTGGGCATCGATTTGCGGATTTGACACCGCCTCGCAACCTGCTTCGATTTCGCCCACAAGGACACCCCTCCCTCCCTCTCTCCTTCGCAACCAGCTGGCAGCCCTGCGTTTGGCCCTTAGGCCTCGAATCTAAACCAGAATTGAATTTCATTTGTTAGCTGCTGCTCACACGTCAAATCTGGGCCAAAAAACCCAACTTTCTAGGTGTTTTCTGTGTCAGTGAACAGCCGTGGTCTCCGCACGTGAATAACTTGCATGAGGCATATCAGATAGCTATCTCTTCCAACCCTAGTAGCGTTTCTTTACTTTCCCCATTCGGAATGATCGGCAACGCTGTCGACACGTGTTACGCTGATCCAACTGCTGCGTTTCTTGTTTCAGACAGCACCAACACCCGCACCGCACAACCCGCAGATTATTCGAGTATCGACCCGAAGAGAGCATCTCACATCGACGTTTCGCGGCGCGGCGAGGGAGAACTTCCCGAACTTTGGGATGATATGCGCGCCTCGAACGAACTAGGCGGTGACATGGCGGCGGGTGACCTGGAAGATATCATTCTCCGCGCCGCTTCGTCGTCCGCCGTTCCGAATGGTGTAACTTTGCCATGGTCGTTCGATGCCGTAGTTCCCGCCGCGACCGCCGCTACCTCAGCTGGGGGGATCTCGTACTACACAGCCCAAGTTGACGCAGGGTCACTGCCGCAGAACGCGCCGCAAAACACGGTCCCGCAGGACACGGCGCCGCAGCAGTTTCACCAGGAGTGGTCGAATGGCGGCGCATGGATGAACAGTGGGCGCAGCGAGTATGATCAGTTGGAAAACGCTGGGTGGGCTTCGCCTAGGATCCGTCGTCACGGTGAAAACGCCAGTACTGCACGCACGGACGACGATTTCGCAAACGGCGGCGAAGGCATGCCGCAGCTTTGGTCACAGGATGCCGGCGGAGCCGCAGAGGGCGCCGCCGTCGGAATTAGTGGTAGTCACGCCGCAAGACACGAAGGCGGGGGCTTCAGTCCCAGCCATCTCCCCGCCATTCTCCGCTCCCTCGCGGCGCACCAGCAGGCCGTCGAGGCCCTCGCGCCGCTCGCTACCGAGCCGCGGCGGCAGGCTGGTGAGTGGGATGGGCGCACGGGGGAAGCCGCCGCCAGCGCCGTTGCCAGAGCTGCCCCCCCATGGCGCAGTTCCGCCAGCCTGACCCCTGCAGTGGCGGTGGCGGCGCAAGCGCCGGGTTTTCTGCCGGCGGAAGGCATATTCCCGCCGCTTCCCCTCACGCGGCCGGCTCCCGCAGCTTCGTACCAGCGCGGGTCCCCCCGCTCCGCCGCAATCGTCGCCGCTTTCCCCGCCTTCTCCTCCTCCGCCTCGTCCGCGCACCTTTCCGCATCCGTCGCCGCCTCCCTCGCCGGCGAGCGACTCTGCTTGGTAGGAGGCGGAGTGAGCTTCGAAACGTCTCAAGACCCGCAACTACCGCAACTTGAAGCAGGGGACGGCTTGGCAGGTGGCGGGATGGCGTCTAGTAAAGCGGGTGCAGAAGCGACGGCGGAACCCGCGGGGGCGCAGAACCCGAGCGCCATTGACGCCCTGGCGTCCATGATTCTGGTTGCTGCGGCCGCTGCGGGCGGGCAAGGGGGCGGATTCGCGGGTCCGCCGCAGGGGGCGGTGGGCGGCGGTACCAGCGCAGGGGGTGGTGAAATGGATGGTGGTGATGCAACTGGGGGAATATGGGGGGGAACGGGGGGGGGAATGGATGGGGGAGTGGGTGGGGGGATGGCTGGGGGAGTGGGGGGGGGAGAGGGTGATGAGTGGCGGAATGCTGATGTGGCTGGGAAGGCGGAAGCAGATGGAGATGGGTATGGGGAGTTTGGGGATAGAACTGGGCATGGCTTCTATGGGCATGGCTTTTATGGGCATGGGAATGTGGATGCGCTACTGCAGAGAAGAAACACGGCAACCAGCGGCACGGGGAACATGGGGAACATCGGAGGCGTGATTGCCGGTACCAGTGCCAGCGCTGCTGCTGCCAAGAGAGCCCGCAGGAGCAGCAGCAGTGGCAGCTTGCCGCCACCCCTGCACCACTCCCAGGAGGACACGTGTCTAACTGCTGCTGCTTTTGGGAATTCTCAAACGCGCCAAGCTGCTGCTGCTGGTGCTGCTGCCACGGGTGCTGCTGCTGCTGGCAGCGGAATGGCGCCCCTGTTTGCAGTGCATCAGAAGTCGTCCCCACAGAACCTACGCCTGCCTGCTGCTGCTAGCGCCGCCTTGCCTCTTTCTGCGCAGATTCCACAGAGCCTGCGGGAGCAGCTACAGCAGCAGCTGCAGCGGCAGACCAGCAATTTGAGTGGCAGCGTCAGCGGCGGCGGCGGCGGTGCGAGCGGCGGTGCGGCAAGCGGTGGGGAGGGGCGTCCTTGGGCCGGCCCCACCATCACCACCATCACCACCACCTCGCTTGAAGGCGTGGGAAAGGCGTTCCCAGGGGCGTTCCCCCAGCACACTCAGGCGGCCCCTAACGCCCCCTCGCCCCTCCCCATCTCCTCCCCACCTGCCGCCATTCCCCTCCACCCTCCGCATTCCTCTTTCCCCGCCAGCGGGCCCCCTGATTCATCACTAGTGGATGAGAAACTAGATGCAGTGGCACAAGCACCGGGTGAGGTGGGCAGGAAGCAGCAAGCGAGAGGGGAGACTCGGAAACGCGGACGGGGAGGCGAGAGAGGAGGCAGAGCGGCAGGGGGGAGGCAGCAGGGAGCGAGTGACGGGGCGTGGGAGGAGGGAGGTGCAAGGAGGAGAAAGCAGCAAGGAGCGAGTGAAGGGGCATGGGAGGTTCGCGCAGGAGACGGAGACGCGGGTGGTGGAGCTAGTGCTGCTGTGGGAGGGTTTGAGGAGGGGGAAGGTGCGGAGGGAACGCGAACTCTGGGAAGGGTGTCTGGCGCATGTCTTGCTGCAAGGGTGAGTTGGCACATACCTGAAGCAGCTGGTGACTTTTGAGTCGACTCAAAAGTCTTGCTGCAAGGGTGAGTTGGCACATACCTGAAGCACCTGGTGACTTTTGAGTCAACTCAAAAGTCTTGCTGCAAGGGTGAGTTGGCACATACCTGAAGCACCTGGTGACTTTTGAGTCGACTCAAAAGTCTTGCTGCAAGGGTGAGTTGGCACATACCTGAAGCACCTGGCAAAAAGAACTCGGGTGGGGTGGAAAGCGCACTATTTCCTGTGTTTTCTCGCGCTGTTTCTCCGCACTCTCTCCTCGCCTCGGGCATTTGGGCTGGGGAGCTCCTCTCCCCGAAGCATAAGTTCCAACTCCTCCTCGTCCTCCTCAGCTTCTGCTCCCAACATCCCCTCTCTTTCAGGGTTAAAAGCAGGGTCACCCTCGTCACTTTCCTCATTCTCCACTTCCTCCTCTGCCTCCTCGCTAAGCGGTTCCTCGCCGCCCTCCGCGCCGTTTCGCATCAGCCTTTCCGCATTTCTCGCGTAGCCGCTTGCACCAGTGCGGCGCCTGTTTGAACCCCGTGTTCCACCACCTCTTCGTCCTCTCTCGTTACCTCGTCGTCCGCGGCGGCTGCCGCGTCCCACGCGGATTCCACGCGTTGCTCTTCCAACTGCAGCTCCCTCTCTCTCTCTCTCTCTCTCTCTCTCTCTCTCTCTCTCTCTCTCTCTCTCTCTCTCTCTCTCTCTCTCTCTCTCTCTCTCTCTCCGTCTCCTCCCCACTCCCTTCTTCCCCGTGCAGAAGCGGAGGGAACGCATAGCGAGTCAGATGCGCACGCTGCAGCGGCTGGTGCCGGGCAGCAGTCGAGTGGACACTGTCTCTGTTCTCTCTGATACCATCCGCTTCCTCTGCAGCCTCATTCACCAGATTCAGGTGCGTGCAGGGCACATACACACCCATCGCAGCATTTCTCTCTGTAGCTCCATAATCTGACGCTCATGATCCGACGCTCATGATCCGACGCTCATGATCCGACGCTCATGATCCGACGCTCATGATCCGATGCTCATGATCCGACGCTCATGATCCGACGCTCATGATCCGACGCTCATGATCCGACGCTCATGATCCGACGCTCATGATCCGACGCTCATGATCCGACGCTCGTGATGTCATGCTCATGCACTGGTGCTTCTGTCTTTCAAGCAACGACACACCCCCCTCTCTTGCCGCTGCCGTTTCTCTTTCTCCCTGTGGCAGTCGCTAGGAGCAGAGCCGGAGGGGTATTCCACCAGAGAGGCTGCAGAAGCAGCAGCAGCAGAGGTGCAAAAGCTGGTTCGAGACGGCGTGATAGCAAGCCGTCGCCCTGCAGCCAATCAGAGGGCTCCTTCTCAAGGTGTCACAGCAGCAGACCCAGCTGTAGCAGGAGGGGCGGCTGTAGCAGCAGAAGGGCCTACAGTACCAGGTAGGGCTGTAGCAGCAAGTGGGGCAGTAGCTAGCCCCAACGCCCCTCAAGGCAGCACACACACGTCCTCCCAGGGGCCCTCGCAGTCAATGCTTCCCACTGTCTCCATCACTTCACCCTCGTTGGAGTGATCTATGGCCCGTGGTGACGGTGATGCTGTTGCTGATGCTGATGGCAGCAAGGATGGTGACTAAGGGGACATGAGGTGATGGCATGGAGCACGAGTCCCAGACAGCTGCTTCCCACTGTCTCCACCACTTCACCCTCGTTGGAGTGATCTATGGCCCGTGGTGACGGTGATGCTGATGGTTATGGCGATGCTGTTGCTGGTGCTGATGCTGATGCCGATGCTGATGGTAGCAAGGATGGCAACTGAGGGGAGTGAGATGGTGGCACGGAGAAGATGCCTAGATCAGTCCTGTACATATCACTAGCAGCTCTTGCTGAAATCCATTCTTTCATTTGTTGATGATACGGTCCTTTCACTGGCTGAATCCCTCTTGCTGGCCCAATGCTTGTTGCTCCACTCCACGTCACGTGTACCACGCACCCACGCACGGCCCAGGCTGTTTCTTGCACACGCTGCCCCACCTGTATCCAACACCCACGCCTCCACATGTATCCTATCATATATACTCAGTTCTCCACATGTATCACATGGCCCTTGCTCCATCTGTATTCTATGTCCTCGCGTGCTGAACCATGCAACCAGAACACACGTGTACTATATCCACCCTGATAACTGCTCCGTACGTTGTTGTAGCACTCTATACAGGGAAGCTGGGGCGCTAGGGTGGTAGGAAATGGCAGTGTGTTGGAACGTAGCCTTCAGCATTCTAGGACCGTATGCATCCTTCAATGGGACGTAGGTATCAGAGACTTCAGCATTGGATCAGGAGCGGCTGCTGCCGGGAACATACAACACTTGTTTGACCAGGGCAGGCCCTCAGATTGGTTTGAGGGTATGCTGATGGATCAGCGTGCCCCTGCCAACCAGGTGTCCAAATCAGCGTTGGTGGTTTTCAATATACTGATCCTGTCAGGGTAAAATTTTCCACTGTACTGATCCTTCAGTGTAAAAAAGTCCAAAATAAATATACCTAACCTAACCTACCTAACTAGTACTACTAGAGAACTAGCTCATGTCATCATCTGAAGAAGAAACGCTACTGCTACTGCTGCCATCATCATCACTCTCACTGTCATCGCCTGCAGAACCACTCATGCCCTCATCTAGCTCCTCCTCCACCTGCACCAGCCGGCGGCCACTCCCCTTAACAAACTTGGCCTTGGCCCGCTCCTTCTCTGGCGCAGCTTGCTCCTTGCGCTTGCTGGGGCGCCTGTTCCTGGTACTCCGCCAGATGTCCACCACCTTGTCCCAGTCCATGTCGTAGTCGAGCAGCGACATCGCCATCAAATCTCCCAGCTTGGCGTTGCAGAGACTCGTCCGGCGCCACGACTTTATCACATTCTGGCGGGAAAACCCGCGCTCGCACTCGACTGTGCTAAGCGGCAGTACAGCGACGGCAGCCCACAGACGGACTAGGTTGGGGTAGCTGGTTTGCCAGTCGCTGGTCTGCAAAATGGCCTTCAAGCCTGCGTGAAAGGGCTGCTCTTCCTTGGGCGTAGTGGAGAGCACCGGCAGGAACGTGCGCAGCTCCGCTCGAGCTGCACGCTTCTGGACACCTGCCAAACAGGAGAGCACAACCGGGTAGAAAGTCAAGCTCTCAACATGGCAATAACGCAACCACGGAAACGGCTACGCATACACGCAGAGCATAGGGGTTCCGTCTCTAGCTCACCTGGCAAGATCGTGTCCCGGTTCTTGGCCTGGAACAGATGGACGAGGCCGTGCAGGTGCTCCTTGCACTCGGCGTCTCTAGCCTCGGCGCCCCTCGGCCACGAGCGGGGCATGAAGAGCTTCGCCCCGTTCAAGCGCGTCAGGTCTCCCAAGCGCAGCTCGAGGTTGTACACCAGCTCGCGGGCGAAGGAGCGGCAACAGGTGTAGCAGCCTTGCATGTCCCCGCTGCTGGTGGTGTATCCCTTCACGGCCTCCTCGTGCAGGTCGAACTTGTGTACCCGGGCCTCACCATCCTTGTCCACCCCCTCCACAGTCACTTCACGGCAGTCCGGGGAGGCGTGCCGCGCGAGGAATGCAGACAGCAGCTCGCTGGTCCCACCGCCAAACTGCTGGCCACAGTGCAGGTACCGCTGCTCCATGTAAATGATGGTCCGCCTCACCTGGGAGTGCACTGCAGTGAGGTCAACCTGTTGGTAGGGGGAGAGTAGGTACACCGAAACAAAAGATAAGTAACTGGGTTTAGAAGATGAGAAAAGCACTACGTAACTCAACACCTCACCTGACGCTTCTGGAATAGCAAGTTGAGCGCGTTGAGTGCCGTGTGCACATCTGCCAAGAAGAACAGAAAAAAATGAAACTTGAACGACGTCACCAACTGGTACATCGTCTTGTCCGTCTCCTCGAGCATGACGATGACCGCAGGGAAAACGCGGACGAATCGGGCGATAGCATCGCCCCGACTCAACCAGCGGACCGAGTGGATCCCCTGGACCTCGAGGTTGGTGTGCGTGAACACCTCCTGCAGCTCCTTGAACTTGCGGTTGTAGTTGCTGGATCTGCCTAGATCTTCCGCCAATGCGCGGATGACCGCGTCAATGATGCCAAGCTCGGGCAGTGCCTTAGCCGCCTCCTTTGCAGCAAGCGCCTCCCTGCCACGGGTAGGAAAGCACAGGTGGGGGTGTTAGAATTCGCACTGCCACGTTGCACATTTCACACTGCTACAACACCAGCACAGCATCAGCTTACCTGTGTGCGATGCAGTGACAAGCCACCACGTGCGGGATCTCCAGGCGAAGGCGCCCAACGAGGCCCGTGTCGTTGCCTATCATCACAGGTGCCCCATCGGTGCTGATACCCGCAACCTTCTCCAGCGGGAGGTTGATACTGTCAAGGAATTCCGTGAGCTTAGAAAAAAGAGAAGCTGCATCACACTTCTTGATGGAGAGGTTAGTTAGGAACTCTGTGGTGACGGCGTGCTCACGTAGAAAGGTTGCAAACACAATCATGTGCTTGCCTTTGACGCGGTCCGTACTCTCGTCGCAGGTCAGACCAATAAATGGACTCGAGTTGATGAATTCTCTCTGGCGCGCACGAAGGTATGTCGCTATTGCGGCGGTTATCTCCTCGAATCCGTACCTGCACGGGCATCAACGGGTGGGGTCAGAGATAGCTGCAAGTACATCACAACCCGCTGCCAGTTGAACAAGAGCAGTGTCACTTACGTCGTATAGTACGCACCATAACTGTTCTTTGGGAAGCCCGGGGTGCCACGCTGCGCCAGGTGTTGGACGAGGTCCACGTACATCTCGATCGGGGCGTCGGACTTAGCGATGAAGAGCGCCGTCTGAAACAGCGCAAGCAGGCGCTCCTTCTCCACGTCTTTCACATTCGGGTTGTCGTCAATACGGGCATTTGCTTTGAGAGCCGCCTCGGCTGTCTTCTGTCTGCGCACAGCGCGGCAGTGCTTCCTTGTGCGCTGATGCTTCCGCATCGCCTGAGTCTGAACATCGGTCGCCCCTTCTCCTTTGGCGCCGAAGTTCGTCCCCGTACCGGCGTGCGCAATGCAGACCTTGCACTTGATTGACGGGAACCCTGCTTTATTCTGCAGCAGTACAAGCCACGGGTAGTCGTCAGACCATTGTTTGTTAAACATAGCTAAAGCCTCTTGGTATTTCTCCTCGGCAATGTCGGGCAGTTCTGTATCGGAAGACACCTCAACCGCTTTCCCCTTCATTTTACGCTGACGGGCCTTCGGGGAAGAGTTACCCACACCGGACGTTGGTGTAGCTTGACTGGAACCCCACCCGATCTTGGTCTGGTGGTACCTCACTTTAATACCCCTTTTAAGATGAGGACCTTGCCGAGTAGTTCCGGCAGCGACAGGTTGACGGTTCCGTGTGGGTTCGGGAGCGGCAGGTGTAGAACCGACAGCGTCAGGAGTTGATGCGGCAGCGACACGCGTTGATGCGGCAGCGACAGGCGTTGATGCGGCAGCGACACGAGTTGATGCAGCAGCGACAGGAGGTGAAGCGGCAGCGCCTACATGCGTCGAACACTCGCCCTGCGTCCAGATGGTAGGTGCCTCGGGGCCAGTGGAAGGGAACGGCACGGCTTGAGCTGACGGCGGGACTAACGCGGGAGCAGCGTGAACGCGTCGTAAAAAGTCTAAGCCAGTAATAGCGGCTGGCCTCGTGCCTGCGACGGGCGGAGGGCCGTCACCTGCGGGCGTCAAAACCGCCATGGCTGCTCAGCGCTGCAGAGCATGCCGAGCTTGAGGGAGAAGCTACTCCTGCTTCAGCTCAAACATCACTTCCTGCAGGGGTTCATGAGGAGTGCAGGAACAGAATGAGGGAGCAGATGGGGGTACCCCCTCTCCCGAGCTGCGATGACGAGGGATCTTGGTCCAGGCCAGGGTTTCCGTCTTCCCAGGCAAGATGACAATGTTGGGCTGAGAAGCCCTAGGATCTTTGTAGAGTTTAAGGACTGAGTAGGATTGTAATAGCGGAAGCGTTGTAATACAGAGTGGTTGAACCACCTTGCACTAGTATGTGAGAGCAAAGTAAGTTGGATTAAACAAGCAAATACAAGGTTTATATAAGAGTACAAGGAATACGAATAGATAGATTTAAACCGTTTTACTGTTGCGATTCGATACAGTGCGACTCGGGCAACTGCTCAATGTCGAGTCAGTTGTGTGTCCTTGCTGTCGCGCTGTATTGGTCAAGTCAAAGGTCGCTGACCTTTGACCTTCGCGTAACCTCCAGGCGGTTACCCCAACCTCCGAGGGTTGACTCGCGATGCTTCGATTTGGACTGCTTCGCTAGTGTCCTGAGTTTCGACACGACTTCTCGCCTTAATCGTGTCGGCGTATTTCTCGGCGCTTAGATAGATTGCGTTTTCTTCTTCGCGGATGTTGAGTCCAAGGTACTACGTGACGGTAGAAGAAACCATGAGCGTGAGATCTTTCTGCAGCTCCCCTTCGAACCAGGTGGTGACGTCGTCGGTGGAGCCGATGTAGAGGAGATCGTCGACGTAGACGATGAGTAGGAT